AGCGTGAAAAATTGAAAAAGGGGATAATATGATAATAGATCCGAGTGAATTAGCGCAAGTTCAAACAAATATGCGACTATCTGGAGTCTAAACATTGACTTATACACATGCGGGAACAATGTAGTCTCTATATCGTTCATTGAATTTTTCTCTTTGTTAATGTGATATGATTCGAGTAATTGTCCTTTCCTGTAGTGAATTTCATTTTATAATATCCTGCTGTTTTCCCAATCAATGCTGTGATCTGTAGAAAGGACATGTTTCGAGAGGGACAGATTTCTACAGATATAACTTGCGATAACTCACTCGGATCCATTATAATATTGTCCCCATTTTCAATTTTTCACGATGTGTTAGTTTTTTACCTTTTCTTTTTTGCTCTATATATATATATAAATACGATAGTGTACTCTTCATATCGTGCCCTGATGAAGTTTTTCAGGATAGAAATTTGAAACGTCAGCAAATTAAATCGTTTTGCTATATATACACCGGTTGTGCTACCCAGGGGTGGCCAACCTATGGCGCATGCGCCAAACGTGGCGCATTGCATGATTGGAGGTGGCGCATTGCATCTTTAACAGGAAAATAAATGAAGTTTAAATATTGATACTAAAGGCCTGTTGTCACAATATTACGCCTAACTTTACTTCTTAATCGTACCTTTTTCTCTTCGTTGTTAAAAACAGCTTTATTGCGTAATGCTCATAAGACAGAATGCGTTTTTCTCCTACTTTCAGGAAGGCTGTAGTTTTCATTTGAAGCATGGCGTCACAATGATTCCCTGTTTCGTAATCAATCGTAATCTGTTTATCGTAAATTGCTCGAATTTTTGCGTGGATACGTGAATTTTCGTTGAGTTAACTATATATATGCAGCTGTCATTGCAATTTATTCATTCAGTGTTTAATTCAGTGATTCGGTAATTCTCTAAATGAGTGGTTTTCTGTAAACTTAATTGGTAAAGTTTTTTCTTGTGTGTGTAAAGGCGTGTATTAAGGTTGATTTTTGTTTGTAAACATTTGCAGTTGTGTACATTTCAAGACTTAAGCTTTGCTTTTATATATTTTGTTACCCAACGCATTGCGAAAGAAAATGAACAAAAGAAAGGCGGAAACTGATAGTAAGCGTGAATTTAATGAACAATGGGAAAATGAGTTGTTATTTATTGCAGGTCCGTCAAGAAAACCGTTGTGCATGGTTTGTGAAAAAACTCTTTCACAAAATAGAACTCCAAGAATACTAAACTGGCGAAAGTAAAACAGCAGCAAAAGTCTCATAAAGGCGGTACTTAAATAAAATTAATCAGTTTTATTTATTATACTTCCTTGCTTAATTTCTATTCATGTGGAGTTGTAAATTGTAAAAACTACATATACGTGTGTATATATGTGTGTGTATTATAAATTTATATAATTTCAACAAGAAGCGGACATTAGGCGTGGGAATACAAGATATTTACGGCGCATCTGAAACATTATGTTTAAAACGTGGCGCATGGTATGTGAAAGGTTGGCCACCCCTGTGCTACACTTATCTTCGACATGAATATACCTGGTGGAAATCATGCGCTATGCAAAGTAAATATTTACAAATACTCATAATATTCAAATATTCCAACACAAAACCTACTGGAATCGCTATTTGTTTGCACAACACAAACATATTTATAGCTCATGACTCGAGTTGGGAAAACCCTAACAAATTTAGTTTCATGGGTACATTGAGCTTAGGTAGCCTACAGATAAAAGATTACAAATTTGGCCTGAAATACCAATATTTTAATGCGATATCTGGACATGCTTCCATGTGAACAAGCTCTCTATCCTTGCAAGAATTGAGGAAGAACGAACAGACGGTTAGTTCTTCTCGCCGGATACTCATTTTATGATTTCAAATATCTTATCATCATACTAAGAGTGTGTGATATTCCGTTTTGAATAACGTCGGCTAACTAGAACTACTGACAAATCTTAATAACCGAATACAATTTGTGATTCAATGCAGCGGTTACCAAAGGGTACGCCGCGGAGAGTTGCCTAATGCGCGAAAATTATCAGAATCAAATTATATTAAACTTAAGTATGGTGGAATATTTTATATATTTGAATAAATAAAAATGTTTTTCATTGTTTCTCATTTTAAATGCTGTGTACGTATAGCAATAAATTCATTTTACTTCTTTATGTCGTTTACTTTGTTACGTAATTGTCTGTCTTTATTGTTACGCAACAATAGAGATAGACACTACTACACACTACAATTTTGTGGGGTGCAGTTTATTTATCTGCTGAACCAAGTTTAGCGAACATGAATGATTTTTCCAGCATTTCAAAGGAAAATCAGGCAGAGATGAGAATGAAGAGTTGACATTTTGACTTTATTTCTCAGGTCTAAATGTTTACAAACTTTAAAAGACATAGAGTACACATTATCGATCGCAAAATTTAGTTTTATTTAAAAGCAGCATTTTTTTCGTGTGAGTACGCCCTGAGTTTTTTCCCCCTGATAATTTGGCGCAGATCGAACAAAAAGTTTGGGAATCGCTGTTATAATGTCTTAAAAACTCGAAATAAGATTTAGAAATTCCAGAGTTCGCGCTGTGTATTCTTCTTATCAAACAACAGATCCACTTTAAACAAATCTACGAACTCGGTGAATTTGTTATGATAAATATGTCAATCAAAATAAATTGAGAAACAACAATTTGGCGCGGATATTCAAAGATTTTCAAGTTCGCGCTGTGCATGTTATCATTAACAAACAACAGACTTTTCTTACCAGAATTCCAACCCAAATACGAACTTGGTGTATCTGTAATCATAAATATGTCAATCAGAATAAATCTAGGAACTCTAGTGTTTCGCGGAACACCCTCCCACGTGTGCTCCCAATGTTTGACAATTTCTAGTATGTATCATGTTTATTCGAGATAGCAGAAAGTCTTAGTTAAACGCAGAGTAAATATTTGTGTCTGATCAGTGCTGTCAGATTTCTTGGTGAAAATTGTGCTAGAGTGAGTGTTTTGTGAAGATATTTCAAATAGTCGTCAATTGTATCACAATATTTTTATGTTTAATACTCAGACTTATGTAAATCGATTTTTGAGTGAGAAGTACTGATGTATGATATATCTCATCAACCGCAATCAATTTTCATTGAAGGAGATGTAAAGTGAGGAGATATTGTTTTACCCATCTTAAATGGTTCCGCAAAGCAAATATCGCTCGTTAATTTTACACTAAAGAAAAGGTAGTTAACGCCTGTACTAAAGTGACCTTGAAAATTTCAGAGAAACGATTATCCAATAACAAAGTTGTAGTGTGCAAAACGTTTTTCATGTTTGAAACAGTAGTTTCTAAGAATAAAACCGCAATATTGAATTGACGAAAAATTTCATACTACTTGAGAGCAGTGGTGGGATTAAGTTTTTTGTCAGCCGTTTCCATCACAAAAGTCATATTTTTCAGTCGGTTCTATTACAAAAAGTCATTGACAGTAACCAGTAATGCTAACCGGTTCGCTGATCTCATAAAATTCCGTGAGACGGTTCTATAGAACCGGTGCGAACCGGCTAAATCCCACCACTGCTTGAAGTATTTATCTAATTAAAAATTGTTCTCATGCGTTTTGCTTTTCAATTTGTTCTAACGTTTGTCGCATACGAACGAGAGATTATAATGTTTACTTGGAAATTGAAACACAATAGTGGGCTTTGGAAGTTTTTAGTGTTTGTTCTATTTTACGACAGATCTCAAATACTATGATTAAAGTTTTTTTTATAAAGAATTTTGCTCAAATCAAGGCCACTGAGCGAACTTACGGGCGTTCATTAAATTGTCATAAGCTAACTATAAATCATGATAGGGTCAAGTATTGCGCGTTAGTAAACACTGATGAACGCAAGACTTAAGCAGTTCATTCATTTCAATACGACCAAGAAAGCAGTTGTGAGGTAGTGAGTTTCACATAACTGAAGTTCTTGAAAACCGTTTTTGTCTTGTAGGTATACTGACGGTGACAGGGAAAAAGCTCACAAGTTTGGCAAGTTGAAACTTTTTTAATAAAAGGACAATTACCGAAAGTTCAGAAGAACGCAGTCCCTTATGTGATCTGTAAAATAAGCACACGACGTAATATTTATTGATGGGATAGAGTTTGCAGTTCGGACGCCAATCATATTTGATATTACATTTTGAATTCGATGGAGGCGGTTTAATGCGGTCATGGGAGCAACCCCAATAGGACAGCAATGCTATACGCATGGACATATCAGTGATTTGTTCAAGCGGAATACGCACTCACGGGACAAATATCAGCAAGCACAGTATAGAAATCCAATTTTAATTTGCGAAATTTGAATAAATCATCAAGCTAGCCTAAAGATGTTCTACGACAGTAAAATGGCGTCGCTGCAGAAGTATGTGTACCAATGTGGAGGTAACTAATTTTGTTCGCCAACTACATTGAGTTGTGTAGACGGAAGCCTACGGCCAGGGTGTATATTCACTTGGCTAACACAAACAGTCCAGGAACTCGTAATAGAACTAAAATAAGAAAAGTCAGAATAAAATTATGCCCTAACCCTAACCTGGTACACATACTATATGAGAGTACCGAAATGGGATCTGTATCAGAGTTGATATAAGAATTGATTGACACAACAGGGGACACAGGGGCCCTCGCTTGTTCTAGGTGTAAATTGTTAAACTGAACCATTTTGCCCGCATCCGTCGTATCGTCATGATCTTTCAGACAAAAGTCTGCACTGAAGAGCAAAGTTATTGTTTCATTGATGCAAGGTCACACAAACAAATTGCACTCTAAAAATCTAATTGCCCACATCGATGTCGATCGTAAAAAAACAGTTATGTATTGCAAGACTGTATAAATATTTAAAGAGCTGAAATTAGAGTCGGAACAAACGTATCCGAAAAAAAAACGCATCCCAAACGCATAGTACTTTGATGCAGTCCAACTAATACTATTCCTAAATTCAGGTTAATATTAAATTATTACATAGGCAATACACAATTTTATTTATGGAATAATGGCTGTGGTTTTCATGTGCTCAAAACATGAGAAAAACTGGATATCATTTATTTTTATAACAATGCTTGCTCGATACTGCTGTAGTGAAGGTGAGATTTTTACTGATGTTATTCTTACAATGTGACACAGTGGATATGTTACTTAGCCGGGGTCAAGTGGTTGCAACGTCTATTACATAGAAAGATGCGTAAAATAGAATACTTCACTAAACCCCAAATATTATATATACTAGAGCAGTGGTTCCCAAACTTTTTTGACCATCGCCCCCCTAAAGTAGTTTATACAACTTCATCGCCCCCCGGCAATACAAAAAAATGTAAAGTCAGAAAAGAATATATTACAGACCAAATAAGAAGACAAATTATAGTTTATAGTGTTTTATGAGATAGATGAGCTTGGTGTTCGTCAGCGAGTTTTTTATTATATCTAAAATTACCCCGTTTACTGGTGGAAAGGCGATTTCGTTGTTTTGATAGCAATAGTAACACGACTGAAACCCCTTTTTCACCATATAATAGGTCAGAAATGAAAGAATCCAGGGTTCTACCTCCTCAAAAACCGCCGTGTACTCTTGTCTTATAGCATTTCACTTTTTAAATTCACCCCATTTCACATTGGAATAATGAAAACAAAGTTAATTTTCCCAAACTTATAATAATGATTTTCGTACATCCCATTCATTCGTACTGCCTGATGACCTGCACCAAAATCCTTCGGTAAAATTCATCCCCGATTCCTCATTCTACTACGGCTTCAAGTCTGATCACCTGTCCATAATTAACCAGCCATTTGTTTTTGGATTCATGGACTCGGATGTGGAAGAAGCCGTGACCGACTATCGGCTACGGCCCAGGGGTCGGCAAATTTTATGTCGCTCGCAGGACAAAATTCAGGGTTGCTAGTATTTTGCGGGTCGAATATATTTTTTGAAAGTCAAAAACGGAACAGCGCGCGAAAACTGCAACAATTGGTGAACTCAACTTAGTTGTCTTATTAAAAAAATATCACAATGACATTCAATGTGACACTGTCTTGTTGCTGCATCACGCTGGATAGCTTTACGACGCCAAGATGGAAACATTTTCTAAATGGGCATCACTAATCCCAGTTCTTTGCTTGTTCTTTGTAATGTTCATTTTCAAAAATAATTGTTCGCACAAATATGTACTTCCAAACATCGAAGTGAATATTTTCGCATGATTTGTGAAATTTTGTTAAAGATTTTCTTTAAGAAGATACATTCTTACAAAAATTAAGCAGTGATGAATCTCTCGAATAGAATATGAATTTCATTTCCTTATTGCTTTGCAATATATTCGAATATTGACTGCGCTATTGAACCCCTGCCCTCAGCATCAACTTTTCTTCGTGTTTCCATTTGTCTAATTATAATTAAATTGTAGGCTCGTTAAACGAGTAGCTAGCTGTTCAATGGAATTTTTAGGATATAATAAAATTTAGTCCAAACGTGTCTCACGATAAATTCTGTTACGTAAAAAAATGTAATTTACTCCTCGAGTGTAGATTATAAATAAAAAAATTTCATCGTCAAAACCGCCGTTTGGATGTTTCCCCGGGCATACCTTCTTCCTTGTTTACTTCGTGACATTGGCCAATCAGCAAGATGTAAAAAACGTAACAATGCCCCCTTTCGCATCCGCTCAGGCTCTCAGACACGCTCACTCAGACAGATTTGCAGGCGTGGTCGTGAACATTACCTCATTTTCGCGTTTTTAAATCATATTCGTTAGTTTTTAGTTGTTTTTCGATAATTTAAATCAAATAAGTCAATGATTACTTCCTATGTAAGTAATGACTGTCTTCCTATGAGTTTCAGTTTAAATACAGCAATCACAAATTAGTGTAGAAATAGCTGTGATAGACTAGGCTAAAATTCTTTATCGGTACTTTTAAAAATCAGATTGTTGAATGGTGTGTATTAGAATGATAGTTTGAAACACCCCATTTTACAGGCAACAACTCGCAAAACCATTCTTAAAATAAGCACCGAAAATTTTTAAGTGGTAAAGTATGGGAAGAATTTTCCGCGGTCAAAGGTCGGGGAAAGATCCATTCAGTGAATCGTCCCGGGCCAGATTATTTTACTCCGGCCGTATTTTGCCGACCACTGGGATACGCAAACTACCGTACCTTACTGCGAAGACGAGTCCAGCAATCCTTTCGCTTGTGATAATCGCCCACATGATTCAAACCTGCGAATGCACACAGAGTACAGAATTAAGTGCGCCGAACATAAAACAGGTTTCGCGAAATCGCCCCCCTATCGCCCCCTTGGACTTTTTCGCCCCCCTCTGTATCGTTTTCGCCCACTGGGGGGCGATATCGCCCACTTTGGGAATCACTGTACTAGAGTAACTAGACACTAAATTTTGTATATTTCTCCTCTTGAAATCACAATTGCTGTTTAATAATTTGTGACACATCACTTCATACTTTCCTTTTAAAATAAAATTCCCCTTTCAGGCGTTCACCGGAGATTCATTAGCTGAATAAATAGGTTATTTACTTTCTTGAGCGTGACATGCTTGATCATAATGAAATTTGAAATATACCAATCAAAATAGTTCTAACCTGCAGAAGAGCAGTTTCACTCGACTGCGAGATAACCCTTGCTATCGTAGTGTAGATTGTATACTGGAAATCTTTTACTTTCTTGTCTATGGTTTACTTTTGCAATGCATAATAGATCGTAAAAACATAATACAATTCAACACGTTTAGTTATTTGGAATGACGAACAGGGGGGCCCACGAGTGCAAAAAGGCGTCGGAAGGTGACCACGAACCGTAAAAGATTGGGAACCCCTGGGATATACCATAACATAAAATCAGTTTATTTTATGAAAATAATCGTTTGATAAAAGCAACAAAATAATCGTCATCAGTTTTATTTGCTTTTCACAAGTATTATGTATTATCTTACATACTGCTGTTCAAATTTACGATATAAATATGATGCGAGAAGGTTGCGCAATTCCAAAGTAACCAGATGAGCACGTTGAGGGTTTGTGATATCTACAAGAAATGAAATATAAAGGATTAATATGATTATGAATAGAATTCTTTGTGTTAATTTCGAATGCTTACTTTATATGATGCAAAAAAGTTTGTAATTTGCAGATTCAGGCAGTGGATTTGAAGAAAATACCACAGGAAGTAGCCACGGTTTTGGTATGATATTGCGGCTTATTTGATTATTGTTAGTCAATTTTTGTTAGTCGTGAGACAAATCAGAAATTGAAGGCGGGATATTCACTACATGATGGGAATAACTCTGATCAATGGCCACACGCTTGCTAGCTGGGATATTAACAGTGCCACGCACCAATTTCACGCAATCTGATCAACTGAACCGTTAACGATGCCAAAATGTTCAGACTGAGTTGTTTATGAAATTAAATTCATTAATTCGGAATATTAATTATTTTCAAATCTACTTGTAATAATTTGAGTGTTCTTTTTCTCAATTTTTAGAGACTACCACTCATCAACTGGGGAATACAACTGGCGAATTATTCACAAGTAAGATTATAATACAAGGCGGTATTATAAAAATGCTATAGTGTTACTAAATTATTTTTGTAGAAAAATAAGTTGTTCAAAAATTGGACAGCGAGATTTAGTCACAGCCGTAAAAATCAGATGAATAGCGATTTTCAAATTAGGAAAAAACATGAGAAATGATCAATTAATCACACTGCCAATAAAATGATCTAAAATGAATTCTATGTAGGCTATTCATTAGCATATGCCTCATTTTAGACGTGTTTTTTCATAATAAGCTTCAATAATTTTATTTATGATGAGAATTTTCACGAAGCAAAATCACGTACACTCACTTAGTAGTAAATAGTAATGGAATCGCATATTTGACCAAAGTCACGTTTAACTACCGAAGCCATAAACAATTATGGCTGTGCACGAGGGGAAATAAATATTGATTTACACGAGACTCGAGATATTATAAAAATAGCTAATTATAAATGAATTTTAAATTCTACATAACAAAAGATTTCAAAAAGTAAAAAATATTTAGTTTAGAACATGAACGTCAGCAAAACGTTGAAGTTTACTTTCGGAAAGATGCCGACAATCACGGCTGAGAGAATCATCTTTTCTTGATAACTTTTTGAAACAGTCAACTGTTTTTTTGTAATACTATGACGTATATATGATTATGTTATTGTATTGACAGCATTCATGTATTTTGTATCAGATACGTGTTCAAATTTTGGTTAAACCCGGTCTTTGAACTTTATACATATGAAAAATAATAGTTGTGATTTTGAGGTAGTTTTTGTAGACGTGACTTCACCAGACATCAGAGTAATGTATGAAAACTTTATCACCATTTTATCAGGTACAGCAAAACCTCATGACAACATTACAATGACAACACCTCGGCAGACAACTCGTAAGTAATTTATATAGCCTATTATAAGTATAGCTTATGAGTTTACAAATCTTTCAGTTCAGCTCGTTATACATTTTTGCCAGTATGGTCTCAAATAATTTTTCTAACATATTTTAAAAGACTAAGTGATTCAAGAGTCTTGCTGCACACTGACAAGAATATATTTTTGTAACGTTTCTCCCTCAGACAAACATTATTAAACTACTACTGCCGGTAGTTGGTAACTACTAAGTCTGAGGAAGCCTGACTCTTGCTACACCATTAGATCCATACGGATCCACCGACAGAAAAACATAGAAGAAGTAGTTAATCTCGTGAACACCCAATCAATATTTTGAAGCAATTGTAAAATGTATTTTTTCAAAGTATACATTTTTCACTTTATTCCAATGTTGGCTAATAAAAGACAACTGAAATTGATACCATTCAGTTTACATAGTTATCAACACACATAAAACCGGGTGTAATAAAAACAAGGCCATGGACTAACATTAAATGGCTTCGTTGGCACAAATTTGCTACCAGGGGCTGGGATATTAACAGCTAAAATGCTTCAAACCAGTTTCATGCAAAATGACTGACTGAACCTTTAACGATGCCAAATTGTTCAGCCTGGGATGATAATAAAATTATATTCCTTCATCGTTAATATTAATTACTTTCAATCCTACTCGATAACACCGAAGTCTTATATTTTTTTTCACAATTCTCAGAGAATACCACCTATCAACTGGGGAACACAACTGATGAATTATTAACAAGTAAGATAATAAAGCGATGGGGTTTTGAGTTAATGCTAGTGTCCTAAATTATTTTTGTAAAAAAATAAGTTGCTTGAATCAACTCGTGCCTTCACTTAGAAGTAATGAAAACGCACATATGAGCAAAGTTATGTCCAACCGCTGGTGCCATACGCAACCACGGTGGTTCACAGGGAGAAAGTAAATACATGTTGGCGCGCGACTTGAAGTATTATGAAAATAGCTGAGTGATATTGAATTCTACACAACAGAAGATTACGGAAAGTACATATATATATATATATATTTGGCATAAAAATTTCGATATGATAGGATGAAAATAAACGAATGAGAACTCGCACCTACTTTTTGTTGATGGAAAATCGCCTTTAGTTTGGGTCGCAATTGCGGATCAATTGTATTTAGCATTCTTTTTTAATTTCCTCCAGAAGATTTAGAACACCCAGGTTAGGTAAATTTCCGAGTGCATGAATGAAATATTACTCTCTGGGAAAAATGGAGAAGAGTGCGACTGAGCAGCATGTATTTTGTATGACTACGTATTGACATTGTGGCCGTATAGAAATATCACGTTCCCAACCCTGGCTTTAAACATCACACATATGAACAAAAATGTTATTGGTCGATATGCTTAATCGTCATCAGGCCAGAGTGAGTCTCGATGTAAAAATATTAAAGTATGTATGAACCTTTGATACAATTTTATCAGGTACAGCACAACTTCATAACATTACAATGACAACATTGCAGCAAACGACGGGTGAGTAATCTATCTTTTATAAGTAAAGCATATGACTCCAAATTTTTTTTGTGCCATGTCATACACTCTTGGCAGTATTGTTTTTTTGTAACTTAATCTAACTCAACTGAAAAACATGTATTTTTCACATGCAGTGCAAGTTAATCTTAGAATATCATTTCTAAGATCTTTACTATCCGATGTTAGCTCTTTAATAGTCTTTTTCTTTATTTATTTTATAGAGACAACTACCTACCACTTGGGGAATACAAGTGGTGAATTGTTTACAAGTAAGAAAATTATGTGAGGTGGTTTCCTGAAAATGCTGGTATTTCGAGTTGTTTTTATACAAAAAAATAACGAAGAGAATAAAATATATAAAGCTGTTCGAATGAACAACCGGCAACTTGTAATAATATAGACAAAATTTATTTACAGTCGTAAAGCATATAAATAACCCTGTACAATTGCGACCCAGACTGCATGAGCAAAAATGTGAAAATCCTTTCGCGGAAAAGATGCCGCAAGTGCGATACGGCAGCATATATGTATTTTATATTTGCTGCGTATTCACATTTTGGTCGCATACAAATATTGCTATATCATCCCTGTCGGTGAATACTACACATTGGAAATATATTAGTTATGGGCGATCTGCGTCATAGTCTTAGTTGCGTCATCACGCCAGAGTAAGTCTCGATGTAAAAATGTATTTGGTATGTATGAAAACATTATCACAATTTTATTAGGTACAGCACAACCTCATAACATTACAATGACTACATCTCAACAAACGACTGGTAAGTAATTTATACATTATAAGTAAAGCGCATAGGTTCACGGATCTTTTTGTATATATCGTTATACAGTCTTGGCAGTATGGTCCCAAATACTCTTTGTGACATATTTTGAAGCAATTTTAAAATATGGTCCTCACATGCTTTTACTATCTAGTGTTAGCTTATAAAAGGTAACTGTAAACTGAAAACATAATTTACACGACAATGAACACAAATGCAATCGGTTGTAATCCGAACATGAACAACACTTTTTGACTGAATCATTTCAATCTATCCCTCCCAATCTATTTGTGACCATACGTTCCCTGGGCTAATGAAGTGGTTGGAATTTACTGTTTTCAAGCCTGTCTGATTAAACTTTTACCGATTGCAAAATGTACAAACTGGGGTGGCAAAGAATATAATTTTCTTTCTTCAAAGTGTAGTTACTAGGTTTGTTATAAATGTAAAAAAATGTCTTTTGAATGACAAACACTATTGAGAAAAAGCCAGTCCCTCTCTACTCCTTGTTTCTTTGTTCACGAACTTAATTTAATATTAATTATTTTCAAACCTACACGTAACATTTTTTTTACACTTTTCAGAGAATACCACCTTTCATCTGGGGAATACAACTGGGAAAATGTATACAAGTAAGAAAATATTACGAGATGATGTTATTAAAATGACAGGGTTTCGAAATGTTTTTATAGAAAAATAACAAAGAGAAGTAGAAAATATAAAGTTGTCCTAATTAACAACCGGCAACTTGTGCTCGTGCTTAAGAACTAAATAAATTCATACGTAATACTCATAATCATATGCTCCATTTAGGACGTGTTGATAGTATTCAAATTCAATGAATTTCGCGCCGGGATCACCAAAATATAGGGGATAATTGACCCAACGTTGCGTGTCCACACTCTCGTGTTATTTAACATACAATGCATTGTAATTCCAAATGTTCGTATATTGTAAAGTTGCACAATCGAATTGAAACCAAACAGATTATACACTTAAACCTCAATACAGGTATTCGGTCGAAATCTAGAACAATACTTCAATAAACATCTAATTGTTCTATCCCAAACTTTACAGTTACCCTGTACAATTGGTCAGCTATTGCAACCCAGACTACATGTGCAAAAATGTAAAATCGTCTGGCCGGAAAGATGTCGGTGAATGCGTTTGTGTATTTTGCATGAGCTGCGGATTCACACTTCGATCTACATAAAATATAGGTGTTACCAGGGGCGTGCCAAAATTTCCTGCTGCCCGGGGCGGGTTTCTGATTACGACGCCCTTTATCCCTAACTTAAAAAACAATTTGGGGGTTAAACAGATTGTTTATATACACGAGAATAAATAAATTAAAGGTCAAGTAAGAGAGAAACGTTTTTTTTATTGAATAAATCATTAAACTAAGCAACAAACTTGCATGTATAAAATCGAACTCATTCATTAACAAAATGGAAGTTACTTATTTCTATGTCCAGTCGCTACTTTGCTGTCAACAAATGTCTGAACGACAGCCTCCTTCACCTCGCTCGTCAGGAATTTCTCTCGATGCTAATCAGAGATCAACTTGAACGGCGCTAGTTTGACATTCAACTTTGAGAAGGATCGTTTGCAACTAGCAATTGATTATTCAGTTTTGAGTAATAAACAATATGCAATGCAAAAAGTTGACATTTGGCATCCAGATTTTCTGGCATGGTTGTGAACATTACCTCATTTTCGCGTTTTTGCATGCTATTTGTTAGTTTTTGGTAATGGGAATTAAGTTGTTTAAGGCGTCAACTCGCAAAACCACCTTTACAATGAGCACCATAAATGTTGCAATTGTAAAATATAGGAAGAATTTTTCTGGGGTCAACGGTCGGGAAAACATACATTGTTGACTCATCATCACCACAGTCAGTCACACAATACTAAACTCATAATGTTAGCTTTGAATAAAATAAAAACACATCGAGAAAAACATGTGTAATAACGCAAACTCTACAGCTTGGTTCTGCTGCCCCCTACAACGTGCTGCCCGGGGCGGTTGCCCCTTTCGCCCCCCTCTAGGCACGCCACTGGGTGTTACCAACCCTGTCGGTGAACATTACACATTGAAAATATAATAGTTATGATTTTGGGCAATCTGCTTCATAGTCTTGGTTGCGTCATCACGCCAGAGTAAATCTTGATGTAAAAATATATTTAGTATGTATGAGAACTTTTATCACAATTTTATCAGGTACAGCAGAACCTCATAACATTACAATGACAACATCTCAGCAAACGACTCGTAAGTAATGTATATATGATATAAGTAAAGCTTATGGGTTTACAGATCTTTTAGTATACCTCGTTATGAAGTCTTGGCAGTATGGTCCCAAATAGTTATTGTAACATATTTTGAACCAATTTTGAAATATTTTTTACATATCTTTACAAACCGATGTTAGCTTGTGAAAGTCAACTGAAACTGATAGCATAAGTTTACATAGCTATGAACACAAATGCAATCGGGTGTAATCCGAACATGAACGAACGAACATTGTTCTAATGGTCACGATTACGAATTTAAAATATTATTAATTATTTCCAATCTTACTCGTTAAACGTGCTCTATTCTATTATACAATTTTCAGAGAATACCACCTATCAACTTGGGAATACGACTGGTGAAATATTTACAAGTAAGAAAATATTATGTGGTGGTTTCATGAAAATGCTAGTGTTTCGATTTGTTGAAATAAATTGGATATAAAATATATTTATTTAGAGTCGTAACACATATAGTTACCAATTTTTATATTAAGACAAAACAGACAATTCGTGTTGCATATCTTAGCAAAGTCACGTAGCCTCTAACCACAGAAGCCATAAGTTATCATGGTGGTGCACTAGGATTAAATAAATATCGATTTACAAGAGACTCGGAGTATTATGAAAATATCTAAGTGTTGATAGGTTCTAAGTTGTACATAAGAAAAATTTTGAAAAAAAAAAATGTAGAACATACACATCAGCAAAACTTCCACGTGCAAAAACGTTGAAGCTCACTTGCGGAAAGATGCCGACAACCAAGGTTGAGAAAATCATCTTTCCTTGATACCTTTTTGAAACACGTAAAAGCATATGTTTGTAATACTATGACATATATATATATATGCCTATTGTATTGACAACATTCATGTATTTTGATCAGCTATGTATTAACATTTTGATCGCATAATAATATCGCGTTACCAAACTCGATCTTTAAACATTATACATATGAAAATTAATAGTTGTGAATTGTGGTGTGATTTTTGGCGATAGTCTACAACAGGGTTGGTAACGTGACATACATATACTGCCAAGAATAGGCATAATACCGCCAACTCAAATTTACGCTTGGTGGAAAATATAAATCATAAAACTGCCGGTGCGCGTAGTTCTTGATAAATGTCCACTAGGCGCCAATCTATGATGTCATAATACCCCACATGAGCTGATAGTTGATAATACGAAAAATGTGCTGGCTGAAAATTTCTTTTTATAGAACTATTCTTTGACTATTGGCAATGAACTGTCTACAAAATATTCAAATTAACGCTTTGTGGAAAATATAAAACTGCCGGGGCCCGTAGTTTTTGATAAATGTGCAATACGCGCCAATCTATGATGTCATAATACCCCACAACAGCTCATCTGGAAAAACATGGAAAATGACCTGGCTGAAAATCTCTCTTCAGTTCCACTGCGTTGGTGGAGTACATTCAAACACACCCTAGTCCACAATGGGGCATTCTATTAAATTCAATGAAATATGCCGTTAAAAATTCGCAACGAGTCAGCATGACCATCTAACGAAATGTGGGACTTCGAATTTGGAGATTTATCAATTTTGAAATTAATTATCAACTGAAATATTTTAGAGATTCTTCCAAATATATCCCTAAAAAATGATAACATAAAACTACTTTGGAAACATGCGTATATAAAGAGTCATTATAGACTTACTTCTGAATATTTCAGATTCTTATGAGTTTTACTTTTGGTTTATGCCTAATTTCAATTGAAACTGAGTTCTGTAACTTTCATTCTTGATAATAACAGTTCTTTGTTCAAAAACATCAAATACGGGTTTTGATCAAAAAGTATATATATATTTTTTCAATTACTGTAATGTTCACTGTGTTCAATAAAACAACAAAACCCACATTTATATCCACATTAACAAGTGAAATGTCCAATTTTGACCAAAATCAAATAATTTACTGTTTTGAATAACCTGTGGAAAAATATTTTCGAATCTATAATATATTAGGCCATGGGCCAAATAAACCTAATATAACACCAAACATAACGAGTAGCTAGGCCTTTAATAAACACTTAATAGATAAAACACTTTCGACTTGTGCGCAGTGGAGCATGTCCTATTGAACCCCGGTCTCATTGTTCCCCACACCCGTCAGATATTTTCAGACTGCTCCATTTTAAGATTAAAAGGGACATCCATTCGCCAAACTTTATTAATATTTCACAGTGAACTAAAGCTAAAATATGCCAAACAGTCGTTTGTCCTGTAAAAAAAGAAAAGACTGAGATGGCGGGATTTTTGTTTCAACCCCCTAAAACCAATTTCATCTCATATCTTGCGTCGCTCTCAATAAATAATATATATTAATCGTCGTAAAAAATTATACAAGATTTATAAATAACGATTTCAAATGAAGACAAAACAGATTAAAAACTAAAAAAAATTTAACATACTAAGTTAAATCACATACTTCATTCAAACCGTATTTTTATATGATATGATTAATTTTTATTTCATGGGCATTTTCTGAAAGTAAGATCATATAATATCCCTGTACAATTCGTCCGCTATTGCGAGCCAGACAGCATTTGCAAAAATGTAGAATCCTCTGGCGAGAAGAATGTCGACGAATGCGAAAAAGCAGCAAACCTGTATTTTGCGTGAGCTGCGTTTTCACATTTTGGTGGGATATAAATATCACATTATCATCCCTGTCGGTGAATATTACACATTGGAAATATAATAGTTTTGATGTTGGGCGGCCTGCTTCGTAGTCTTGGTTGCGTGATCACGCCAGAGTAATTCTCGATGTAAAAATCTATATAATATGTATAAAAAATAAAAACTTCATTACAATTTTATCAGGCACAGTCGAACCTCATAATATTACAATGACAACACCTCAGCAAACGACTCGTAAGTAATTTATATATTATAAGTAAAGCTTTTAGGTTTACTGATCATTTAGTATAAATACCTCGTTATACAGTCTGGCCAGTATGGTTCCAAAAAATCTTAGTAATACATTTTGAAGCCAAAGTGATTCGGGAGTCATGCTGCACACTGACACAAATTTATATTTCTGAAACGTTTCTACCTCAGACAAACATCACTCAACTACCACTACCGGTAGTTAGTAACTACTAAGTCTGACGAAACGTTGCAAAAAGATATTTGTGTTGTCGTGCAACAAAACCCTTAAATCACTTAGGATAATTGAGACTATTCTTGCTATCCTTGCATTAGATGCATACGGATCCGCCGGAACATAAGAATAGCAAGCGGGATAAGCAGTTAGTCCCATAGAGACCCAGTCAATATTTAGAAGCAATTGTGAAATATAATTTCCACGTGTATTTATTCCAATGTTAGCTAATAAAAGCCAACTGAAAATTTCTACCATAAGTTTACATTGGTACTAACACAAATGCAATCTGGTGTAATCCGTATAGGCTATAAGGCCATTAATTAACACTATTAGGCAGAGCACTTTCAATCCCTCTGTTTCTCATTTGGTCACAAGTTGTTTAAAGTACTAAAAGGGTTTGGGACCTATTACAATCAAGCCAGACTGAATAAACTTCGACGTTGCCACATTCGTACTGTGAGTGACAAAGGAGAATATGATTTTGTTTGAATTACAGCCTACTCGGATTGTAATAAGTATAAAATATGACTTTTGGAAGACAAACATTATTTGACAAGGTCCTTTACATCTACCCCTTGTTCCATCGGTCACGAATTTAATTTAAAATTGGTTATGTTTGATGCTCTTCGTCAACATTAAATTCTTCTTTTTTACAATCCTCAGAGAATACTACCTATCGACTAGGGAATACAACTGATGAATTATATACAAGTAAGAAAATATTATGTGGTGGTTTTATTAAAGTGCTAGCGTTTAGAGTTGTTTTATATTTAGTATGTTTAAAACCTGCATCACAACTTTATCAGGCACAGCAAAACCTCATAACATTACAATGACTACAGCTCACCAAACGACACGTAAGTAATTTATATATTACGAGTGAATCTCATGGGTTTACACATATTTAGTTGTACATTGTTAAACAGACTTGACAGTATGGCCCAAAATAGTATTTGTAAAGTATTTTGAGGCAATTTTAAAATGTTTTTTTCACATGCTTTCACTATCCAATGTTATCTTATGAAAGTCAACTGGAAACTGAAAACATAAGTGTACATAACTAAGAACACAAATGCAATCGGATGTAATCCGACCAAGCACAAACACTGTTTGACAGAAATATTTGAATCTACCTCTTTTTCCTTGGTCTTGAGTTTATTGGGGTAGTAAATGGGCTTGGAATCTATTACATCCAAACCTGACTGAATAAACTTTAACGACACCAATTGTTCAGACTGCGGTTGCAAAGAAGAATATAAATCTACTTGAATCACAGGTTACTCACATTGTAATAATCGCAAATTATTTGTTTTTAATTTCGAATACTATTTTATAAAATCCTAACCATTTACCCATATTTGCATTGGTCACGAATTTAATTTACATTTTTCAGAGGATACTACCTATCCACTGGGGAATACAACTGGTGAATTATTGACAAGTAAGAAAATAATATGTTGTGGTCTTATGAAAATGCTAGTATTCCGAGTTCTTTTAATAGAAAAATAACGAAGAGAAGTAGAAGATATAATTATTCGAATCAACAACCAACAACTTGTAAAAACTTGAACAAGATATATTTACAGTCGGAAAGCAGATAAATAACGATTTCAAATAAGACAAAACAGACAATTCGTGCTCAAAAACTAAACAAATTTCTGTGTATTCGTTTAAATCAGGGTGGTCGAAACTGCGGCCCGCGGGCGGCGTGCGGCCTGCAGAACAATATTAGCGTACACTACTAAACCATTGGCCGATATTTGTATTTATCATCAGAATATTTTTGCTTTATTTAAACTACTTCAATTGGGATTAGTCCTTTCCCTACTCCCGATGTCGGGATTGGGGTTTGTTAAAATTTTAGTCAAAACACTCCTCTATTTCAAACGTTAGTCTGACACCAGTGGCGAACCGCAGAGCTGACTTAGCGCCGCGCGATCCAGTCTTTTTTTAAATTTAGGTCCGAGGTCCCAACTTGGACAGATTTTTTTCCCGGTAACACTAGCCCTGCTCATGCTACAAGTAATAAATTCATCATACAGTGAGTATAGAAAAAAAGGTGATCAAACGTGGGTGAGCAAACGCATTGCCTAACCCACAACAACGTTAAGCCACAGTGTCTTGTGTGTTTTCAAGTAATATCTGTCACGAAATAACTAAAGGATTTATATAGTATCCTTGAAAAACTAATTAGAACGTTGAACTCTCATTCCTAAATATATTTAATGTGAGTAAACTCGCGGTGTTTTGATCACTTTAGGGTTTTCTCCGACTGCGGCCCCGCGAGTCGGAGAAAGTCGCGAGTAAATTTTGCGGCCGTCAACTTCGCAACCTTGGACCACCCTGGTTAAATCATATTCTTCATTTAAAACGTATTTTTACATAATACGATTTATTTTTCATTTCATGAGCATTCTCTGAAAGTAGAATCACATGATATCTCTGTACAATTCGTCCGCTATTGCGAGCCAGACAGCACGTGCAAATATATAGAATCCGCTCGCATGAAAGATGCCGACGAATGCTAAAGAGCAGCAAACCTGTATTTTTCATTAGCTGCGTATTCACATTTTGGTCGCATATAAATATCGCATTATCATCCCCTGTCGGTAAATATTACACATTGGAAATATAAGACTCTTGATTTCGGGCGTACTGCTACATAGTCTTAGTTGCTTCATCACGCCAGAGTAAGTCTCAATGTAAAAATTAATTTACTATGTATAAAATCTTCATCACAATTTTATCAGGCACAGCAGAACTTCATAACATTACAATGACATCTCAACAAACGACTCGTAGTCGTAAGTAATTTATATTCTATAAGTAAAGCTTATGGGTTTACAGATCTTTTTGTATACCTCGTTATTCAGTCTTGGTAGTATGACCAAAAATAACATATATTTTTTGAAGCATTTTTAAAATGTTTTTCACATGTTTTTACTAATCGATGTTAGCTTATAAAAGTTGACTGAAAACTGATAACATAAGTTTACATAACTATGAACACAAATGCAATAGGGTGTAATCCTGACATGGACGAACAATGTTTAACAGAATCGTTTCAAGATTTATGTACAGTCATAAATTAGATAAATAAATATTTCAAATTGGGACACAATAGACCAGAGGTCGGCAACCCCTGGCACGCGTGCCAATTATGGCACGTCAAGTGATTTCACTACTCTCCGAAAAGCAATGGGTCAGAGGCCAAAATCTGTACGGGAAATCAGTGTGGATAAGCATGTGCGGTACAGCGTTGCCAACTTTGGCTACTTTCGGAAACGCTTCGCTACCTAAAACTACTCGTTTAACTACCTGCGACTTTTTGTGCTACTGTTGGGTTACTTTTTGTCCTTCAAAAATCGTGAAATATTGAATAATATTTTATCAGTTCATACTTTTGGGCAATTCCTACAGCTTTTTGCTAAAATCGCAGATTGTTTATGTCAATGTGACGTGTTATTTAGGCTGTAAAAACTTTTTAAGTTGGTGTTTATCTCCCTGAATCACAAAAAATCCTTTCACGGCAATGATAATTATTACTTTCTTACGCCCAGAATTAATAATTCGCTGAGAGTTATTATGCAATCATCCGCGGGGAGATGCTAAAGTCAAATAAAGTAAATCGGCGACGCGAAATTTTTGATTAAAAAGCAGCCATTTAAAATACTAAAAATAAAACCGTAAACAACTTGTTCTGTAGGAGACCCGCGACATATTAAAAACGTTTCTCCAGGGATTGTGAATTTCGTGTGCCTAGAGCACACGTAAGTTTGGACGGCGTTGAGAATCATAACGTCAATAGAATCAACACAGTTAATTGTGCACGGATTTTGCCTTTTTATTCTTTACTTTAAATTGCCGTCGAAAATTTTCGTGTTGATATTATAACGCGAGGTTTACCCGAGTCGTACTCACTCAATTTTTATTGTACTATAATAAATTTTACTCCCTGAGATTTTATAGTATACTTGGTAATTTTTCTAACGGTTTCATCTTTAAAATAATCTGAGTGGCATATGGCGATAGAGCGGAGTCATTGTTGCAAGTACAGCTCAGATTTGTCGAATTGGTAAAATGGCAAAAACACGGCTCAAAACTAGATATGACCGGGAAGTTTATCACACATTTTTATGTCCGCGCGGCGCGGATTGCCGTGGTATTTTAGGGGAGGGAAGCATTTATTTTGTCGACGCAACCGCAGATTGAGGACAAGTGAATTATAATAAAGCATGACATTTTAAACATGCCCGTATCGGTTATGGATCGATTACTTTGCACACCAGAAAAATCATTATTATTCTTCGAATAATTCGTTCCGCGGGAATTTCGAGGCGATAAATATGTATTTTTGATTTATTGTACATGTATTTAATTTAATATTTATTTTTCGGATTTTTATTACAAATCTTAAAATTTTTCTAATGGCGATAACAAATTCTCAAGATCACAAAAAAGTATTGAAACTAAATACAATTAGTGGGGCTCCCGAAGTATGCGAACCAAGATGGCGGACATAGGAATGTAATATGTGTACTAGGTTAGGGTTAGGCCATAATTTTAGGTATAAATACTACGGGAGGCTCTTGGCTAGTTTTCGAACTGATAATAGGACTAAAATAAGGAAAATTGGAAAAAAATTATCGCCTAACCCTAACCTGTTACCCATGTTACGTTCCGATGTCCGCCATCTTGGTTCGCATACTTCGGGAGCACCCAATTAGTCATGTTTATCTCATATTTTTACGTCAAAAGATTGAGCCGTATTTTAGACTAGTAATGTTTATATTTTGACGCAAGAAGACGCAAATTTTATAAATTCTCGTAGCTGTCATGAATTGAATATTTCACGCGACAGAAAAGTCGGTATATACTAAAAATCCCGACTTTTTTTACGAGCGCGTAATCATGGCGACTGTTCCACAAGGGAATGGAAATTTTCGATTTTGAATCCCCCCCCCCCCAAGTTTTAAGTTTTACATAAAATAGGTATCTATGTAATGCTGCGCACCTGTCTGTTAACTCAGATTTTATTTTAAAAATTCCGAAACCCATAAAAATAGAGATTTTGTATAATATGCAAATTTGTTCAATAGTTTCGTCATAATGAATTATCTTTGTAAACGTAGGATTATTGTGACGTCACAAAGGCAAAATAACCTCGCGATGGATTTTTGAGTTTTTGCATCTCAGATTCTAGCTTGGCGCTTATAAATTTCAATTTATACTACAGTATAGGAAGGCGTGCACTTGTGATATTCACTGTCTGAGTCTAATTCACCTTGGTTGGCTTTTATATAAGGGTACATAACTGTTTTATTCTCTATATTTAACTTTAGTCTTATTTCGGTGGATGTGCAGAGCGTGGAATATTAATGAAATATATATTTTGAAACATAAAAAATAATGTAATTGAAACAGATTAGCTATTTTGGGGATTATACATCGTATATACTAAGAATTACATTCGTTTTTGGATTGTTTGGTTTTCAGGACTGGTACATATAGTCAAGTTGCAAAATTGCGTATGTCCCCTAGTCATAGACACATTTCTGCCTAATTCACAGTGCACCATTATGACGTCACATGACTGCGTCATACAAATTAACTTAAATCCGGCTACGATCAAAAAATTGAACTCTGGCAAATTATTGACTCTCAATAGCTTAGCAATATCATTAGAAAGTTTTTTACGTTTTTCTCAAAACTGCTAAAAATGACTTACGCAATTCGGTTATTAGCGTGACGATATGTTTATTGTATTCACAGCATTCGCACTGTATATCAATAAATATTGCATTGGCAACCGTCTTTGAACAATACACATATGAAAAGTAACACTAATGAAATAAATATAGTTAGTATGTATGAAACTTGCAATTTTATCAGGCACAACAGAATTCCATGAAATTACGATGACAACATCTCAGCAAACGACAGGCAAGTAATTTTTATATCATACGTAAAGGTTCCTTATTTTTTTTACAGAATTTTGAGCACTTATTGAACAGTCTTGGAAATATGTATCCAATTATAATATCGATATATAAACATATCGATTTTAATTCACTAAGACCCTGGAACGATACTGAGTGTCGAAAACACTATGATTCGTGTTCAAACAAGAAAACCCATTTTATCAGTTGTATCGGAATCAATCAACGCGGAAAGCAAAATTTATTGATGCACAACCGGTGTTGCAATAATAGGCTAACATGATAATACACAAGTCAAATTCCACCCGCCTCTGTAATATATACTGTAAAGTTGAGCTGTAACAAAGAATACTGCCTTTTTACTATTCACTGAAACAAAAAGTCAAATATACCAAATTCACTCAATTATTCGATGCATTTCATATCACAAGCATTGCATATAGCATTGCATAGTAAGTAATACTAACAATATTGGAGTTTAAAAAATAAGTTAACAACATTAAAAAATTAAAGTTCAACAACATTGAAGATTAACATTTACTTTTATCAGGCGCGGTTACTTTACATGAAATCACGACCTCTACTGAACACATTACAACAAGTCAGTATCTAAAACTGATGTTTTCTACATTTTGAAACATTTTCTGTATATATTATTCATAATTAATTTGCAACATTGAGAGACACATATATATTTTGCAAAAATCATTTATTTCGTTGAACTGTTGAACAGCAGTAATTCCTTTAAAATTGTAACAAAAGTTGCAGCACCCCTGGCAGAGAATTTAACATCATATTGAATACTGTTTTGCAATGAAATAAAAGAAATTTAGCCACGTTTTTATGTAAAAGTATAATTAAATGCAATAATCTAACTAATTTTCCAGCACTGAGTTGTGAATTAATATGCAACGGAGGTAACCAAGAATGCATTGACGATAAGTGCGTATGCAGCGATGGATATGAAAGTGTAAATAAATATTGCACCAAAGGTAATGCTAGATTTTTAGTCAACTCGGCGTAGAATATCATTTACATATAATGTTCTTATTTGATGTTACTAATGCTTAATGTTACTAATTTGAGTGTGATTTGCAGTGTGTCCTGACACGTGCCCTAAACACTCCTCATGTAAAAACGCCGAGAATGGATGCCAGTGTGATAGCGGATTTACGAACTACGATGATGACTCTGGATGCATTGGTAGTATTATTTTTAAAACTTGTAGCATTGCAATTTATGTTTGTCATAGTTGAGCTTTCAAGTGTAATTTTTTGTTGCTCAAATTCCTAACCGTCATTTTATCAAATAAATAGAATAATCATCTGTAGGTAACGCTATTACTTATTTTTACAAATAAGAAAGTTTTTTTTGATATGTGAGACGGGCCCAAAGAATTGAACCCATTTACAATTGTGGTGATTATATAGGACGTTTTTAATTAAATTCGCTAATAAGGTATTGCTACATTAACTAAATTACATATTGGACGCAAAAATGGAAAATATAAAACTGGTTATTTTTTATTACAGATATTGACGAATGTAAAACTAACTGCAACGATATTATATCTCAAAATTGCACAAATTATCCAGGATCTTTTTCTTGTTCCTGTAAAGCAGGCTATTACTTGTATGAAGACAGTTGCTTACCTCGTAAGTTAAATTACTGATTACTATAACTAACCGAGTTATAGTTTAATATACTGAAAATTTATATATACTACTTGATCTAAAGTAGCATTAGTTATCATTATTATATTTCAAAGCTCCCGCACTTGCCACGAATCGGTTATTAAAAAATATATGTCTAGATTTCTTGGAAAAAATTTTGTTTTGGATGGAAAAATTTAAAATGTACCATGTTATAAGTCTAGTATCTCAGCATTTTTTTTTATTTATTAAAAACCAACTAAAAGGTGATGCGACTTTGCTAAAAATAGCCTTTCCACATACTTGGAATGAAAATGTGTATAAGTATGTTTTTCCGCCAACGGCTTTCCATATAAATATCGCACGGTCGCATGGATAGAATTATATCATGTTATGTGAACTTTTTATTTACACCAGCCGTTCAATTTTAAAACAGAATTACAGCGCCTTTGAGCCAGTTCAAAAGTAGAAACTTATGGTGGAACAAACAAGCCCAAATATAAAATTACAAAAAGTAAAGTTGTAAAGGAATGATGTATATGGAAATTAGCATGTGTTTATATTTTATTTAAAGCTGTATAGATTTGCATAACACCGCTTCACGAAGGACCGATTCACGGATCATTGTTATGACCGCTGATATGTGGAATGAGCTATTTTTTGAGGGACAGGCGATCATAACATGTGTTAAGATTAAAATTGAAATTGAATACATACTCGTATACATTCTCACACTACCGTCTTTAAAACCGGTCCGTTCTTTAATGACGCGTACATTTTCACCACAGCTGAGTTTAAGGCTATCAATTAAAAAACATATCGGAATTTTGAAACACAAAAATACAATATCTAGTAATACCTCTAGTAAAACAGACATCGGGCATACATATTTTGGTGACCCTGACGTGGTTCATGTCTCAAACAAAAGCATACTCCATGATGTCTACAAATTGGCTTCAAAATATGTTGTTACTTATCGATCTTAAGATCGGTAAGTATATTGATAGGTATTTGTCTGTATGTATGTCTGTCTGTGTGTCTGTTAGATGCACGCGATATCTCACGAAGGCGTGGTTGAATCTGCTCCAAATTTTGCATGTGCATTCATCATATCTCGGACCAGAAGCCTATTGATTTTGGATGAATTATGTCGTATAATTAGCGAGTTATTAATTAATTAGTGATGAAGAGATCTGGATTTTCACAAATCGAGAGATTTTCGAGACGCGCTGAATGTGTGTGTGCGTATCAGATGCGCAAGTGTCCACGCTAGTGAGTCAGAGCGAAGGATACACACCGCTAGATCGTATCTCGTGATTAATCTTTGAGCCTTGTCCATATCTCTCTTGTAACTTTGACGTCGTCGCGATGCGCAAGTTTCCTTCGAGAAATTTTCCACACTATTGAGTCAGAGCGAAGGATACACGCCGCGAGATCGTATCTCGTTACTTATAATTACTCCTTAAAGTTTAAGCAATGTCCATATCCCTAAATCAGGTTCGGGGTTGCAGAATTCCTCACCAAAATATCGCTAGGCTGTGTTTGAATAGCCGTCGCAACCTGGGTTAGCGCCGTTGTATTTGACACAAACTATAGGATTGGTAAATACAGAAATAGGCTATTGGCTGGAAACTAATCGGAACAATCCAGTTCGGATTTGCAGAATTCTTCATAAAAGTATTTCCTCGATTAGTATTTCGACGACATGGGGAGTTGGCTATTGTTTCCTACATTTCTGATATTGGCTGAAAACTAATCAAAACAATCCAGTTCGGGTTTGCAGAATTTTTCGAATCGAAACCGCAGTTTCTGTTTTGGGGGATCCCCTAACTTTCGATCGATAAGTCTTCGGTCTCTGACCGATATTCTCGTTTTTGTCATTGGGATGGTAGAGAAACCCAGCTTCACAGTACAACAGGCGAAAATGACTAAACAGACCTGAATGTTTTGATGGTAAAGAAATCTAAGTAATAAACTGGAAACGAAGAAAAGAATTAGTTGTTACACACTGTTATCTACTTAACGCGATTCAGATTCAGATATTTTATTTCGTCTAAGAACAATACTGAAGAACGCAAAAGAACTATACTGGCACAAAATGCTCAAACGTTAAAATGTATTAGATATTCCAAGGATTTGAAAATGTACATTACGAAGTAATGTAAAGAAATAAAATGTTTAAAAACCTATACAGACGGTAATGCGCACTATTCATAGTCCAACATACGAATATAATGCGTAAAAGATTTTAATCATCAGCCATGATTCAATATGATGAAATTGTGACAATGAATAAGAATATTGTTTTAAACAGAACCAGAGGAATGCCCAAAAGACTGTGGAGAACATTCTGAATGCAAAGACCCCAGTAAAGGATGCGAATGTGCTCCAGGTTGGACATATGGCGAGATTGATGAAAAGAGTTGTCCAAGTATGTGTTTAATTCGACGGTTCCATCACTATTCCACGAATATAATTTACCTCAAATCGTTAAACTAAATAAAATTTATGAATATTTTATGTACTCATAGAAAAACTATTTTGTATCAACTGACTTTGACTTCTTTTTCATGGAAACTATTTAAAGCAGTGATTCTCAAACTAGGGTTTGAGAGCCGCATGCGGCTCTCAACAACCTTCCCTGCGGCTCCCGTTAATATTTTAGAAATTTATTATTTTTAAAGAAAATTTTTCATTGAAAACTAATCATTGACTCGAAATTAAAATGCTGAAGTCTATTAGTTAGTCGAATGGATTTCCCCGTGTTTATTTGCGTAGCGTTGACTAACCTACAAGATACAATAGTGACGCAACAGTGAGCGTTTTCGCGGACACTCGGACACTTTTCGCTTGGAAAGATTTCAGACATGGCTGTAATCAATGGCTTTTGTGGATTTTCAGTTTGTGTCGCATTTCCAGATCTTATGTATAAATCAAATAACTCAATGATTATTTTAATTTCTAGAGCATTTTAATTTTGTTCCAGAAATCGAAAATAGTCCCGAAAAATCTGGCGATCATCTCAAGCAGCTACTGCACCTTGCATCCTCCACGATTACGACCCGTTTTGACAAACTTATTAGAAATCAAAGCCTAATTAAATCAAATAAAAAAATCGAAAAAATTTTCGAATCGAATAATTTGAATATTTTTTTTATACATAACAGGGATCCAGAACGTCGGAGGCCGATAGTCCATTTGGAAATTAATAGAAACATTGAAAAGTCGGCAATAAAGCGTTTTTTAATGGTTAATTTTATCATAATGGCTGATCGTCTTTGTCACCGCGATCGTTTTGGCGGCGATATCCTAAAGTTGGTATTCTATATTTCCGCCCTTTCTCGTTTTTGCAAGAATAAGCGGTCGCCGAATATCGAAATTCCATATTTCTAGTATACCCTTGCGTTCTCATCAGCGACAGCTGTTGAATACATTTAAGGACTGATTTCAAAACCAAATTAATCCTATTCTGAGTTTTATCCTCTGCCTTGGATTTGATCTTCCTTATCACCGCTTGTAAATTAACCGCGCCTGTTTTAAGTTAACGGTAACCGAGATGCAGATATTTATTATAATGATAATTGAGTTTCTCATGCTTTTCTATGGTGTTATTTTAGTATTAGATAGATAAACCTAGCAAATTTACGAATGCGTGAATCCTGAAAGTTGATTTAAAATAGCGATTAAATAAATTGTCAATAAAGGCATTTTTAGGCCTTTGTGCCTAATAGAGTGTCAGACTCTAATTGTACCTGATTATTTCAAGTTTTAACGTTTTTTTTTCAACAAAACAACTCCCCGATGGTTATTATAGCTAAAATACTTACTCAGTAATGCTCAATTTTCTTTACGGAATTTGCAAATTCAGCACATCACTTGATGATTTTGATTATATCATGCCTTATGGCTTAATTATTATTGACCAAATGCTTCAAAATTTAACAATTGTAATCATTTTCGATGATAATAGACGCAACAATTTGTGAACGAGTCAGTGTGCATTGTTACAACGAAATTCACGATTGATTTTGCGTTCTACTCTGGGCTCAACTTGGCTCGACGGCCATGCATGGTCGAGTAAAATGTTTACATATTCGAAAAATTACTTGGCAAAAGATGGAAGGGATCACTAAAGAGCTAATACAAAGTGCTTTAAAGGGAGTAGGACATGACATTTCTTATCTGGTTACAACTTAATGAATTTTCCCATACAAGTAACTCATACCAGCTTTTGGAAAAACTTTTGGTCATTTTTAAAATCCATGCTATTTTCATAACTAGAGTGTTTTAACGACCTAAAATCGTATTTTTCACAATGAAACGCCGAAATGTCATTTTAACATTTAATAACTTTATGTTCGGTAATGCAGGAAATGGCTATTGACATGTCACCAAGCATGCCGAGTTTAAATCTGAGAAATTTATTTTAAATACCTAATCTGGTTTGACGTTTCTAAATTTACGGAACGGTCGGTACGTTTTTTTTGCAAAACGATGAATTGAAAGGATACCATAAGTGCAAAAATAGGCATATAACACCATAACGCGAAGACAACTTTTCAAATTTTTCTTATTTTTCTCATAGCGATCGCCATTGGGAAATCTCGCACAATTCACGATTGAGTTGGAGACGCTCGAGTTCGGTGTCCAAGCAGAGAGGCGCAGGTCACGTAATACCAGATATTCAAATAGCAAAATGCCATTCGAATATTTTATTATTCGAATATTTGGCCCAGCCCTAGTTGTTACGTGTTGTTGTTATGATGACTTGGTATTTTAATTACGCGATTAAGGTTTGTTGCTATTTTTACCTTGCGTTGTTTGTGTGCGGCTCTTCATACCTTTGAGGTTTGAAATGCGGCTCTGGGACTAAAAAAGTTTGAGAACCACTGATTTAAAGCATCAACATTCTTTCACTTCAACATTCACTAAACATCGTAAATTCGAATTCGAGTTTTTGGTGAGGCCAAATCAGAGGGATTCGTAATAAAATTCTCGATTTCGATGTGAAATTGGTATTTATCAATCATATTTAACTTGCTATAGCTATCGCAAAGTATAACGAGGCCAAATTTTTTTTCGTTGGAAGCGCGGTGCGTTCTTACTAGAGGGTTGAGCATATCAAATGAAATAGAAAACGTTGGACAACTCGAAAAATGAAAATATTTGATTTCATTAGATTATAATATTTTTGACTTTCTTTCAATTTTAAATATTTATACAAAATGAGTGCGGCACAACAAATATTATGAAAATGTCTGCCCAGTTGTGCATACCGTGGGCTATAGCATTGGACACTGGAAACTAGTTATCTTCATACAGGCTGATACAACACCATAATAAAGTAATATTTGACAATTTCGTCTAGCTCTTCTGTATTGTCATATGTATTTTGGACTAGCAGAGTGTCCCAATTTATATGTAGAGCCGAAGAATTTGTATCTCAAAAACAAGCATTCATCTGCCTGTATCCCATTTCAAGTTGGATGTACATTGACTGTTGTTATTATATATTTATAAATATATCAGTCGTTCACTGTATAATATGAGTACACTGTACATATCACATTATTTTTGGTTGACTTATGATTCAAAATATGAATATTCATTTTGAACATTTACTACTATTTCAGACGATGTTGACGAATGTAAATACGACTGGGCATGTTCGGATCCGACACTTTTATGTAAAAATACTCCAGGGTCGTATATGTGCTACTGTATAGATGGCTATCGTTATAGCGAAACTGAAAGGGACAAATGTGTACCAGGTGATTATTTTGTCACTTTTGTTACAGGAATTACTTTGCGCACAAAAAAGTGAATTACTTCACATTGTTTTTATAAATCATTTAGAACGATGCCCTGAAGACACAGTTTCCTGTTCATCTGCCCCGTCGGACTTGTGCTTAAGTTCTGGCGAAGAAATAATCACTTTCCCGTCTACATTGTTTGGATATTCAAATATAAGCGACAACTCATGCCCTTCTGATACTGAGAATGGTCTGGTTTTTTTTCACATGACTTTAGATCCTCGAATCCTTATACATTTAGACGCGTACATACTCATACAAAGCAATTATATTAACATCAAATCATGAAGTTGTTAAACTACTAATTTAAGACGGATTTAGACATAATCATCCTGAGTATTTCCAGAATAAAAGTATTCTTCACCAAAAAAAAAGATGCACCTTGTGAAATTCTATTTTCTATAAATATTCCAGTAGTGGATATTTGAAGTGTTTAAACTAAAGCATTATCTCAACCAAAATTTATTGTACCGATATATATATATTGCTGACGCCTTCTCTTTTGACGCATCTACATTGATTAATCTTTTAAAGATTACAAATACAAAGTCAATGGATGTAAATGCCAATGTGTAAAGTTGCAATTGTTTGCTTGCAAACCAGCTGTATAATATACATATCAATCAAATTTCTTATTTTCATAACAATATATTATGTCATATGGCTGCCTGCCATTAATAAAAACAAGTGGCTAAATAATATTCACAGAAGGTAAACCATATGGAACCAGATTATGTTCAATTGAAGGAAGTTGGGAGACGCCAATTTGGTTATCGTCATGTAACTTGGGAATTGAGGTAAATAAATGATTTTGCTTGCTGTTAGAAAATTTGACTTATGTAAACAATATTTTTAATATATAGAATTTGGGTTCCAAACCAATTGAAACTGAAGAAGACCGAATACAAACTTCTGACGACCTCGAAGTTTTAACTTCATCACCAGAAGAACTGGATTCCGCTGATATTGCTACCACCATTGAAATAATTGATAACGTCACAAACACGGAGAGTATACCAAGTTCAGTAAGATATTATAAAATTTTATCTACATAGTTGAGTGCAATCCTATTTTGTCAGTGTCTGTTGAATCGAGTAAATGAATAATCAAACAAAATTAACAACTCATAAGGTTAGGTAGGAAATTTACAGACGCCGTCATAAAAATGTCGTTCATACAATTTTCAAGTTGACATATATATGCGTAAAATGGCGCATGGAACTTCTGTATAGACCGCGAATTTAGTTGGTTGGCCTCTTCACCAAACATATATCCAATTTCTGAACGAGTTATTGATATGTCTTGTGCCATAGAACTGTTTTCATATTTATACTCGTGTTTTTTTACTTAAGTTGTCATTTACAATTTTTTTTAGGTAGCTACGTCTGTCGTTTCGACTATCAGCAATGTTATGGAATCTCCAAGCTTAGAAGAAAGTCAGCAAACAGATGAGTATGCTTCAATAATATTGCTTCAAAAATAACAATCATGCAGCACTGAGTCTAATTGAATGGCAGAGTTAGCAACTAGGCTATTTACATGAATTGACACAGCTCAATTTCTCAATTTCGTATGTTATTTTTTCACTGAAGGGAAAAATAAACTTGACTATTACTATGACATTTAAATGATATTTATTTTCAATAACTAATTAGTACTCCCGAAGTATGTGAACCAAGATTGCGGACATCAGAACGTATTATGTGTACCAGGTTAGGGTTAGGCCATCATTTTATTCCAATTTTCCTTATTTTAGTTCTATTACGAGTTCGGGGATTAGCCAAGTGACTCTGGTAGTATTTGTACCTGAAATTATGGCCTAACCCTACGTACACATACTACGTTCCGGTGTCCGCCATCTTGGTTCACATACATCGGGAGTACCAACTAATTTTCAGATACGTAAAACATATTTTAATTTTTTTTACTAGATTACTCATGCAGCTTGACGACATTGCGTCAAAAGTGATACTAGATGAAGAAACAGAAGTTTTTACGGCCATAAGCAATAATGTGTCTATGCTGGTTTATGAAGGTGATATTAACTAAACGTGTTGCGCCCTTTCATTTAGTGAGGGAGCACGGTATACCGATAGCCACGTTCCAGATGAATATAATAGTGTCGAAGAGACAAAACTTAGCCAGCTCAAATCACACAATTGCATTAACGCAGAACATTTTGAAGTTATAATTGCTTGATTTAGGTTTCGATAAGAATAAGATGGACAATTTCCAGCTAACTAAATACGTCATTTTTTTCGAAAAATTAAATCATTCTTTTTCTATTTTAAAGCATTTGCTTCAACTGGTTCCATTACATTTGAACCCACGTACATTTGAACCCATGACAATTGCACCTGTATGCTATTGCACCTATGGAATTTTTTTTGTTTCACGGATAGTTAAACCCATACTAACCCTAACCCATGGGTTTAGCACCCGCATATAGATTGAACCCGTGGATATACGCATGGTTTCAAATGTACATGGGTTCAAATGTACGGTCACCGCTTCAACTATGAACAATAAGAATAAACGTGCATTATTTACATGCATTTTCATCATTAAAGCTTACGTTTTGTTGCTTAGGCTTTCCCAAGTGCCAATAAATTGACCAAGTATTAAAGTATAGCCACCAACCCCTCTTTTCTTATTTTGCAAAGTACCTACAAATGTACCAACTATAGTAGCTATCGGTCCAAATTTATCATTCCGAAATATAACTATTAAACTCGAGTGTATTTATTTACACCTGAATGAAGTCCATTCATACATCTCAAATAAAAATTCCAAACGCAAATGTCTTAAATCCAGCTTTTGTTCATGAAATATACTTTTTCCAGTGAATACGCGAGCTGTGACAGGAGTTGGAGTTGCAGTCTTGGTTCGACCAGACAGTTCTAAACTGGGGTTTCGTGCAGATCAAATGGTCACCATATATGAATCTTTGACCGCCGGTGGCATAATAGACAATAATGCGATCGAAGCTACAATATATGTTCCACACGCTGCCTTTAAAAGTATGTGATTGATTATTAAACGGTATATCGATTGATGAAATGAATATAAGGACAATGTTGTTATCTTTTTTTCATTGTCTGTATACCATTTTAAGTACACTGCGGAACAACTCTTAAATGTCTTTTGGTAGATTCGAGAGTTGCTATTTATGTTTTTGGAAATAACAACTTGTTTCCGCGAAATACGGTACAAGCCAAGACTGACCAGGAAAGAAGGACAAGTCGAGAATCAGCACCACCAAATGCAATAGTTAATAGCATTGTTTTGTCAGCTACTATTGACGGTGTCAACGTATCAAATTTACCCAAAGATAATCAACTCACGTTTTCGGTAAGCTTGTATATTCCTGCGATTGGCTACATGGTTATTTTCGTAAAATATTATGCGTTTGATTTCAGACTCCGTCAGATATCGAGGCAATAAATGGAACTCCATTTTGTGCTTACTGGGATGAAACCCTAGAAGATTGGTTTACTGATGGATGTACCGTCAACCATAGTAAATCGACGGACGTATCCATAGCCTGTGAATGCGATCATTTGACCAATTTTGCAACCTTATTTGTAAGTTTTTTCTACTTTTCATCAATTGTATGATATCTCATATCACCTTGTCAAGAAAAACCTAGACATTAATTAACAAAATATTTAACTTTGCCATGTGGCTCGACAGAGAGAATGCAATCTGAACGTTCTACAAAAAAGGAAATTTAACCGCATTTGCAATACAACCTAATGTTAGATGTTTTGCGCCACGATTTACTTTTTTACACGAGATTGATTTGTGAAGACGAAGGTCTTTTCAAGACTTTGAAAAAGTCACAGAAGCTTTCGTAGCATGTTCTGCAAATATGCGTATAGTCAGCGACCCATCCGTCGAATTTGAAATTGATCAATCTCCCACAACTTCTTTTTAACGATAATTATCATAAAACGGAATGGCCCTAAAATATTGGTCTTGCACACTTTTCTCTTTTATGAGCCATTGGAATTATACAGAATATTGATTTAACCCGCTTCAATCAGCGTTGGAGCGTTTGGAATCAGCAAACATTCAGAAACCTATAAAAAGCTTTATGTATCAGTGTAGACGGGAAATTTTGTTGTTATTATAATATACTGCTCATAGTTGATGCCCATTTTCCCAAGTTATAATTGTGTTATCTAAATTCTTGCTTTCACGTAATATTTTATTAATTTTCAGGATATCACGGGCACGACTGTAACACAATACGGACTAGATATTGTCACTATCGTAGGGTGCTCTTTATCATCAGTTGCTTTGATTCTCCTAATACTAACTTTTGTTTTCATACCGTAAGTTCATAAATATTTTTGGTACATTATTGAGTTCAATCGCAGTTTTGAAAAAATAATCTTATCTTATTACATATCGTCACGCTAATAACCAAATTGCGTAGTCATTTTAGGCGATTTTGTGTTTTTTATAAAATAGGTATTTATGTAATGCTGCGCACCTGTCTGTCAACTCAGATTTTATTTTAAGAATTTCGAAACCCATAAAAATGGAGATTCAGTATGGCATGTACATTTGTGCAATTGTTTCGTCATAGTGAATTATCATTGGTACCGCAGGACTATTGTGACGTCACAAAGGCAAAATAACCTCGGCTACGTATTTTCGAGTTTTATCATCTCGGATTCTAGCTTAGCGCGTATTAATTTGAATTTATACTACAGTATAGGAAGGCGTGCACTTGTGATATTCATTGTCCGAGTCCAATTCACCTTGGTTGGCTTTTATATTGGGTGCATTGCTGTTTTATTCTTTATATTTAATCTTGGTCTTATTTCGGTGGGTGTGCAGAACGTGTTATATTGATGAAATATATATTTTTAAACATAAAAAATAATGTAATTGAAACTGATAAGCTATTTTGGGGATTATGCATTGTAGATACTGAGAATTACATTCGTTTTCGGAATGTTAAGTTTTCAGGACTGGTGCATATAGTAAAGTTGCAAAATTGCGTATGTCCCCAAGTCATAGACACATTTCTGCCTAAGTCACAGTGCGCCATTATGACGTCACTAAACTGCGTCATACAAATTAACTTAAATCGGGCTACGATCAAAATATAGAACCATGGCAAATTATTGACCCTCAATGGCATAACAATATCATTAGGAAGTTTTTTACGTTTTTCTTAGCGTGACGATATTTAGACCGGGGGAGAGAAAAGCCAATAGCACGACTGATTCATATGGCGAACCACAGCCTCTTGTCCGGTCGCCAATCCATGTCGGTTATGGGATTGGTTAGCCAGGTATTTGTTTCAGATGCATGGACTTGATAGTGGAGGAAACCGCAACCGACTAGCGGTTACGTGAACCACATTACGACGGCGAAGCGTCAAGCAACCAATCGTCTTGCACATAATTATTGGAGAAGTATTTATTTTATTAATGTGTAAGATAAAACCTGACTTCGAATAGTTTACAATCATTATGTTTATTTATTAAAAGCAGTGTTTGTTTCATATTTTCTAGTAAAACCAGAACGGGGAGGAAATTCTTGCCAGCCTATTTATTGTTAAGCCTGTCTCTCGCGTTGTTGGGATTGAACATAACCTTGCTTGTGAGCGAGATGTCATTTGTTTCATCGCCAGAAAATGCCTCTTCATGCACGGCGATAGCAGTTTTTTTGCATTTGTTTTTACTGGGATCGTGCTGTTGGATGAACTGTGAGGCTGTAATGCTTTGGATAAATATAGTAAAGGTAAATAAATTGTGATCTTCCAATTATGATAATAATGTAGCTCAGGCTGCTTTAAACATCATTTTTGATCTCTTATTGTTTCTTATATCTGACAAATAATAGCTCAGGCGAATGAACTGATTTAATCAATCGTACACCATCGTTTTATATTTCAGCCCATTTACGCAAGAAGTCGAATGAAATACAAAAAAGCCGCTTTGTTTGCGACTTTATATGCTTGGATGTTTCCTATACTTTTTGTTGGAATTGTATTAGCTGTTGATAAGTCTGTATATGATCGACCATATGAGGAAGGGAAAGAAGTAACGTAAGTATTAAAATCTATGATGTAAAAAGTAATATTAAATAATGAGAAACAGTCCTGAAAAATGTTACGATAATCTACCTTGAAATTTGTATCTATCGCATGTATCGACAAGGAAATCTCCTAGACAAACATCCGAATTCATTTCCAGTACAATTACGCGCTAAGTATGATGAAATTCAAAATGATTCTTTACATGTAATAAGTAAAGTCACTTTTCACTTTCCCATGCGCTGAGTTCGTACAGATATTCTGGTGAGTTACGTAGCTTCACATCCTAATGCAGTTTAGCGCCATACCAACAGAACAATTCTCGACGCCAGTACAAATTTGAGCAACTATAATAAGAGATAAAGGTACCATTTATCATAAAATCTCAATATCAACTTCAACAGCAACATGTTTCGTTGCTTAATTGCTATTTGCTCAGAATAGAACTCGCTTACAACTGAACTCCGTTTATGGAGAACAGCGGCAAACTAAAACAGTGATTATAACAAACGTCTACAAGTTAGCGCAGCTATGCAACGACTGCTGAGATAGACGGATAGATGATATGGCCGCAACAATTAAGATTTGGCCGGCTGCTCATCATTTTAGTAATCACATTGCGTCACAAAAATCAACACCAACAAGTCACGCGATGTCATCAATTAATTTTATTCAGACTTTAGACTGGACATTGCAGGGTATCCTATCATTTTTTTAAATAGGCTGTCACTCGGGTGGTGAATGTGATACTTGCTCTGTACAAGAAACATATAGTACATTCAATTCAATGTTTTGTGAAAACTATAACCAAAATATAATTTTATCTCTGTACAATTTACTGTTTAAAACTTTTACTTATGTTGAAAAGGTGCTGGATAAAGACAGATATGGTCCTATATCTGACCGTAATACCGTTGTCTATTTTGATTTCCTTCAACGTGATTGTCTATGTCATTTTGACATTCAAAATGTGCAGGAATCACACAAAAACATGGGTATGAATCTTTATCTTCTAGGTTGTGATTAAATCACTTTATTTCAGCTATTTATACAATACTTTTTCATTTAGGGTCCCAATTGGAAAATATTAAGAAAGTCACAAAAGAAAAATATCATTGTCAACGTCTGTCTTGCCATTACCCTAGGGTTAACTTGGGTATTTGGTTTCTTTGTATCAGCTCTAAGTTTTAGTGACACCGCTGTTATCGTATTTGCCTATATTTTCACTATCTTGAATTCTCTGCAAGGTATGTAATACTTGATATATATACACTAAACACTTGATGCTAATAATTTTAATTGACGTGTGATTTTTTTGATCAAGGTACATTTCTTTTCTGTCTTTACATTGTGAGGAGTAAAGACATAAGAAAAACAATTGCCTCAGAATTTTATAGACTTTCACAACCAATATTTTCCGACAAAACAAAGCTTTCCACTGATAGAACAAGGTAGGTGAACAGAAACTTGGATTCCGAATTCCAACAGTAGTTAATGTGATTTTGTAGATATGTTGGGCTATGGCATATGCATTAATTATTTTACTTTTACTTATTAACAAAGTTAAATAATCAACATTCTTTATGTTGTATGTACCCGGCGATGTGGCGCATCGCGCTAAGCGTTAGGAATACGCTTGCCACCGTACCCATGATTACCTCTTCGTTGGTTCGCAGGTTTGAATCCCAATCGCTGGACTCATCGGCGTAGGGTTCATGTGACAGCTGGCCGCTTACGGTTTCCTCCACCACGAAGTCCATGCATTCGAAATAAATAACTGGCTACCTAATCCCATACCCGACACTGAATGGTAATCAGACGAAAGGTCGGTGTTCTCCACATGATTAATCCGCTTATCTGTTCTCCCTCCCCGGGATACATATGTATAATAATATACTATTCTATCTTACAATCTAAGGCGAGACGAAGATTTGCAGGGAAACCCGTATTCCATGAGCAATGATCTCAGTTCAAACCAGGAACAGTCTACACAAACGCACGAAGTAAAACCAAGGCTAAGAAGGACATTTCAAGGCACGGAAAATGTAGGATACTCCGTGTCCTGCTGAAACGTTTGGGAAAAGCTTTAATTGCAATCATTCCTCGTTAAAATCTGCCTTTAATTGACTAGAGTGGATATTTGAGTGTTTCAATTCTATATCTTCAAATATCCAAAGGAACCACCGCTACAACACTAAATTGCATTTACAAGATTTTTTGCCACAGTTAATAGATTACCCCTACCATAATAAATTAAAATATAGAAACACCATTATTGATATGAATATAGATTTCGAACGATACTTACTACAATTAATAATAAACATTTAGTTAAATCGTACTGAATGGAACGTATATTAATTACATTTCTATCTGTGGTATAATAACCTGAGAACGATAAATTTAATTTGTATAAGGGTAATTTTGTCGTTCTTGGTTATGATTTTACTAAATTTATTCCGAGAGTAAAGTGAACCCTTTATTGAAACTTTCAACAAAATACGAAGGTGTGAAAACAGCTTGGAAAAACTTTTGATAAATGGACTTATTTATATTCTATTTATTAATGTTATTTTGAATTATTTTCATTTGTCCAACGATAAACAGCATTAGGCTGTGTGCGTTAAAACTTACGGTGTCAATTTATGAGCAGAGGCAGTGCAAAAAAGCTCTCAAATCACGAAATACGAAAAATTAGCTTTGGCGCTGCTGCCAGGAATAGTCTAGTTACCTAGTAGAATAATTATTTGCAGCGATTAGGTGTGGAATCAGCCCAGAATCTCATGTTCTTAGTTTTCGGTAGGTTTAAAGCAGTTGTAAATCAAATATCTTAATAATTGTCATAATGTCTTCAAATGAGCATTAATTTAGTTGCTGTAATCAAAAATAGGTCTCGCAAATGCTACGATAAACTAATCTAAACTAAGCTATCAGTGCATGTTAGTGGCACATGGTTGATTAATTTTAATAAAAATGAGGGTTTCAAACACGTAAATGAGCTTATAAGCGCCAACACATCTCAACACTCAAAATAGGTATAATTTTTTTGCAGTATTTAAGTATAGGAACAATTTTTCTGGGGTCAAGAGTCGGAGAAAAGGCCTATATGGACTAGTCCAGTCTTTAGAGATTACCCTCACCTGCTATTGTCTACGAACAAATCGAGATGGGCATGTTTTCGTCCATCTTGCGAATTAGGTCACAAAGAATGTAGTGCCACATTATAAAATACTCCCATAGCGCGTGTTTTGGACCATTGTTCCCCACGCCAAAAGGGGCTTTTCCGGTGGTACGCAGCCAGAGTAAAAAAAACAGCAAAGTGGTACACGGTCAGAAAAAAGTTGAGAACCACTGTATTAGGGAATAGATTTTCGAAAGAGCCCAATTGCTTCACATGTTACATAGTACATGTTTTAAATCGAGTTTCCATCCATGAAATATAACACATTTTCTCAGCGACGACACGAACAGTAGCGGGAGTTGGTGTTGCAGTCTTGGTTCGACCAGACAGTTCTAAACTGGTGTTTCATGAAGATCAAATAGTCACTATATATCAGGGGTGGCCACCTGCTTTCGACCGCGGTCGACTAAAATCGTCAAAATAGCTCGCGATCGACTGATCGGCAATAAGATTATATACAAAAACAAATGAGTACTGTAATATGCATAGATAACTGCACACACATAAACAAAAAATTGTTAATTTGATTATGTAATTGTACCCGAAGTAAATGTTTCATCATTCACGTTCCTTTGAGTCCGATTCTTCGCTCGCTTGGAATTACATAAAATTCGGAACTCAGATGCCACTGCTATCGTTGCGAATAAAATATATCACACCACTCTTGGAGCGAGACATTAACTTTCGTAAACAGCCGAAGTTATTATAGCTTGTTATAAAGTTGGATTAGCTTGTCAGTCAAGACGCACGAAATTCATTTCTAAACCTTGGCAGCGGCTAAACTTGCATTTGTTACGTAATAATATGCTCTATTGGTCTTGTCGAGACTCAAATACTATATGTGTATAACGATCAGTAGAGGTTGCGCGAGACTAACTCCCAATCCTTTCTCTATGCCTTTGCGCTAGTGGATCCGTATGCATGTAATGCAAGGATGCTGTAGCAGGAATAAAATACCATAATATGCAATTCAAGAGTCCTGCTGCACACTATTGTTGTAAACTGCTTGTCTGAGGAAGTCTGATTTTGGTCAGACGAAACGTTACAGAAATATATTTGTGTTAGTGTGCAGCAGGACTCTTGAATTGCATACTATATGTGTATATCGTGTTTTGCGCATGCACAGTACTGTATTATGCCTGTTTTGAAACACGCAACAGGCGCTGTATGGAACTGGTTCAAGGCAATTTTTTGGGGTATTATATTAAATTTACGCAACATCAGACGCGATCGACGTGTTGGCCACCCCTGCATAAGCAGAGCTCCATTTTAGGCTTTACCAAAGTAAATAAATTTTACATATATATCACACAACCCAATGGTTGCATTACGGGTATTTCTGGAATATTGAATGAGGAGGCCACGGGTTCTGTAATCCTCCGGGAGGGAGGCCACGAGCGATAAAAGATTGGATTTAACGTGGAACAAATGAAAACACACACATAGGCATTTAGTTCAACGAACACTCTAACGAATCTTGTCACTCAATAGTTCTGATGGTGTGATAAAAAGTCAGTTGTGCATTGGGTTCTACTTTGTCAGTGCAGTATTGGGACATCACGCTATAAACGACATATTTAAGCCGTATTTTTTAGCCAGAAAGAGTAAAAATGCATATCAGATGCTGTTTGTCGCAAACTTTGCTCGGAGTTGAGGATTGGAAAACATCATATTGACGAATACAAATAATCGTTTTTGTTTAGGCTTGATTAATTAAATCAAAATTTATATTATATATTTGTACCATTTGTATATAACGTCACTTTTGAATAAGTATCCGAACTAGTTACAAAGTGAAGTCAACGTCCAAGCTACATTAAAAAATTGACATGCGACCAAGACATCGACCATAGCATCACCAAACGTTTCAACAAAGGCTCCATTTAGAGCGACAACCAAAGGAACCCGTCAATCCACTGCAAATACTCACTCTACTAAACCTTCAACTAAAGCCCACAACAAAACAACCTTCGGCGTTATGACTTTCCCTATAACAACTAAAAACTTTGTAACGACCACTCCATCCCTGGAAACATCAAACATATTATGCCCATATACATGGTCTTGATGCTGGGACTAACCATAACCTGGTTAGGTGCACTACCCTGAACAGACAATGAGCTCAGTAAATCCCACATAGAATAATGAAAAATTTTGTTACGTTGAGCGTGCACAATGTTACAACTCTCCACCAAAATATTTGAAAACAAAAAAAAATAAGGACAAAATATTTTTAATTACAGAATGAACAAATAAAGTTTAACTTCGGAAGCACCAGTCGTAATCTCACCCATTTATAGGTGGGAGGTCAGCCTGTAAAAAAGTGAGAAAATACGAAAATAGTGATTACGTTCTGTCAAATATCCATAATTGAACAAGGGCCGTTAAATTATGCCATAAATAATAGGATTCATGGGTCTCTATGTGAACACCCTAAACTAAATTAGTTCAATGGACCAGTCAACTATTAACTCTCGTCTAGGGCATTTCAAAAATTGGGTTATAATGCTGACTCTTACTTGAGAGCTAAACTCATGTCTTTATAACTTGTTTTATATAAGTAAGTCCCCTTAACTTTCAAACGTTTACTTTTAATATTCTTCGATATGTCATAAAAACAACAGTAACAATACTTCGAATAGTTACAAGACTCTCACTAAAATTTATCTCTTTCATATCAGAAATATGATTTAATCGATTATGGGTGATGTTAATGATATTATAGGATTTCTATAGAGTTCTTTATATTGTCATAACTTCATCTTTATTATCTACGTATTTATATTACTGTATTTCTTTTTTGTAACTTAAAATTTGACTTAGGCATCCTAGCTGCAACCCTATTCTCGTTAAAATGGACGATGGCAATGAAATGTTTTTTGTCTCGCAAGGACACATATGCCCTTAAAATATAAAAAAGATTAGGTAAATTAAATATAGTTATGGTATGTGTTAGCAAATTTCATCTCAAACGAAATATATTACATCTACTATAAAAGCTGATAAAATTTTTCCAATATTTTCATAGAGAAGACGTTTGAATAATAGTATTTCCTTGTTTTTTTTCGATGATTTTGTGAATATAATGCAATAAAATACAAAGAAAAACACATTGTTGCATTGAGTATTTGCAAATATAGTTTTAATTTAAGCAGGGCTCTAAGTTTTGAAATTAAAGTTATTACCTCTTTCCTGTCATGATTTGTGTTATAATATAAATATTGCATTGGTTACAATGAATGAATAATAGAGGTGTAACTCCGATGGGGCTTTGAGATGGGATTTAGGTTCAGGCATTCAGATTTGTCTCGACTTTCGGACCATGTTCGTGCTTTATAACGCTTTTTTGGAAATCTTTGACTCAATAAACCGTATGACGTATATATATATGCTTTTGCCCTCAGTCGGACGTTTGTATTTCAACGTGAGACTAGGAGGCACATATAACGCGAAAGCTTAGAATTTGTTAAGAATTAAGCTCTCATTGCTTTTCCACTCTAACCTAAACCAATTAACCGTTTTACTCCGATTTTTTTAATTGGGATAATTGGAAAGATTTGAGTAAAACAAATGTTGTAATAAAGCCCACAGTTTGGCGATGCATACAATAGCCAAAAGTATGAAATCTAGTATACAATATTTTTATTTGTTGCTATATATTGAGAAATGAATAAAATGCAATAGTTAATGTTCAATTGTGTCGACTTTCAAAATATACTTCATACCTGTGACGCTTGTGTGATACATTTGGCGTTGTCTTGCGAAATAAAGGTGAGGTTTCACCGGGCCAGACTGTTGCTTTTGTACTATACAATACAGAAACATAAACAGAGAAGGAGAGCGGCGCGGAAGGAGAGGCCAAAAAAATAATACGGGTATGTAGTCTGTTATTGTGGACCACGGGAACCGCAGTCTTTGCGACTTTGCTTGACCACCATCGATAACGTGAACGTGGAAAAGAAACAAGATGCTATTTTTAATTTTGGTTTTCAATTTGAAATCGCAAACAAAATAATGAATTAAATACAGCCAACAGAAATTTTTGATATAAATCAAAATAATAGCCTCCTAGCTTAAAAAAATATTTCAATACTGAAAATTTTAAAAAAATTGATCGACTTGTTGAAAATAAATGCGATTTTAGCATAACAACAAGAAAAACAATGTCCAATAACTAGCTGGTTGTTTTCCAAGCATTGTCAAACACGGACAGAGAAAGGAAAGACGTGATTTTATTTAATGAAATTTCCGTCGCGGTCTATAAATCTGTAGATGGAATTCTATCGGATTTATAAACTATTGCGTGTCGTTGTGTATCGACCAAATATCTGGACAAATCTAAATAAAAGGAATTAGTTCTTCGATATTATAGAATTTGTCTGAATGATAATTTGTTTCGCTTATGTAAGAAATTTATCAATCATCTTTTTGGCACTCCCATGTCCTTTCCCCACTTATCGTGTCCTTTAGCAAAATTTGTTTCAATAGATCTCATCCGAATGGAAAATATGACCCAGGTCCAATCAATGTGCGTATTAGTACTAGTGTGAATTAAATAATACAAACGAAGGAAAATGAATTTTATTTTCGACCAATGTGTTCAGGAAATATCGTTTCCTCAAGAGGGTTTAAAAGTTAGGCGACGTTCACTAAGGTAACGTGCCCTTGTGAAACTTTTTCCATTAAACGCTAAAGGTTTTCGATGTTATTTAAAGCTCATTAATTGAATAAAAACATTTTTTCAATCAAATCTTTATCATAAAAGCTTTGAGGGTTGTTTTCTTAACAATCAATTTGCAATAATGTAAACTAATTTATTCAAATTCATTTTTGTTCGCTAGAAGTAAAAAACATACGAGAATGATATATTATGTTATATACGTAATTAACAAACCCATATTTGCGCATACATTTTTGGAGCTTATTCTATCGGATCTTGGTTTGTTTTTTTCTGTGCTATCAACACTTTTTTCTCTAAGGTAATAGTCTAGGTCAGTGGTTCCCAAACATTTTTGACCATCGCCCCCCTAAAGTAGTTTATACAACGAATTACGTTTATACGTTTACACACGTTACGTTTATACAGAAACGAATATATTACAGACCAAATAAGAAGACAAATCATAGTTTATAGTGTTTTTTAATGAGATAGATGAGCTTGGTGTTCTTCAGCGAGTTTTTTATTATATCTAAAATTACCCCGTTTACTGATGGAAAGGTGATTTCGTTGTTTTAATAGCAATAGTAGCACGGCTGAAAACCCCCTTTTTACCATATAATAGGTCGGAAATGAAAGAATCCAGGGTTCTACCTCCTCAAAAACCGCCGTGTACTCTTGCCTTATAGCATTTCACTTCCTAAATTCACCCCATTTCACATTAAAATAATAAAACCAAAGTTAATTTTCCCAAACTTATAATAATGATTTTCGTACATCTCATTCATTCGTACTGCCTGATGACCTGCACCAAAAAACTTCGGAAAAATTCATCCCCGATTCCTCATCCTATCACGGCCTCCAGTCCGATCACCAGTCCATAATTAACCAGCCATTTGTTTTTGGATTCATAGACTCGGATGTGGAAGAAGCCCTGACTGACTATCGGCTACGGCCCAGGGGTCGGCAAATTTTATGTCGCTCGCAGGACAAAATTCAGGGTTGATAGTATTTTGCGGGTCGCATATATTTTTCGAAAGTTAAAAACGGAACAGCGCGCAAAAACTGCGACAACTCAACTCAGTCGTCTTATTAAAAAAATATTACAAGGACATTTAATGTGACACTGTCTTGTTGCTGCATCACGCTGGATAGCTTTACGACGCCAAGATTGAAACATTTTCTAAATGGGCATCACCAAACCCACTTCTTTGCTTGTTCTTTGTAATGTTCATTTTCGAAAATAACGGTTTGCACAAATACGTACTTTCAAACATCGAAGTGAATATTTCCGCATGATTTGTGAAATTTTGATAAATATTTTCTTTAAGAAGATACATTCTTACAAAAATTAAGCAGTGATCAATCTCTCGAATAGAATATGAATTTTATTTCCTTATTGCTTTGCAATATATTCGAATATTTACTGCGCTATTGAACCCCTACACTCAGCATCATCTGCGTGTTTCCATTTGTCTAATTATAATTAAATTGTAGGCTCGTTAAACGAGTGGCTGTTCACTAAATTGTTAGGATATAGTATAATTCAGTATAAACGTGTCTCACCATAAATTCTGTTACGTAAAAAAATGTAATTTACTCCTCGAGCGTAGATTATAAATAAAAAAAATTTCATGGTCAAAACCGCCGTTTGGATATTTCCCCGGGCATAGACTTCCTTGTTTACTTCGTGACATTGGCCAATCAGCAAGATGCAAAAAACGTAACAATGCCCCCTTTCGCATCCGCTCAGACACTCTCACTCAGACAGATTTTTAGGCGTGGTCGTGAACATTACCTCATTTTCGCGTTTTTGAATTATATTCGTTAGTTTTTAGTTGTTTTTCGGAAATTTGAATGTAAATCAAATAAGTCAATGATTACTTTGTCTTTCTATGAGTTTCAGTTTAAATACAGCAATAAAAAATTAGTGTAGATATAGCTGTGATATAGACTAGGCTAAAATTCTTTATCGGTACTTTTAAAAAACAGATTGGTAAATGGTGTGTATTAGAATGATAGTTTGAAACAAATACCCCATTTTACAGGCAACAACTCGCGAAACCACTCTTAAAATAAGTACCGAAAATTTTAAAATGGTGAAGTTTGGGAAGAATTTTCCGCGGTCAAAGGTCGGGGAAAGGTCCATTCAGTGAATCGTCCCGGGCCAGATTATTATATTCCGGTCGTATTTTGCCGACCACTGGGATACGCAAACTACCTTGCCTTACTGCGAAGACGAGACCAGAAATCCTTTCGCGTGTGATAATCGCCCACGTGATTCAAGCCTGCGAATGCACACAGAGTACAGAATTAAGTGCGCCGAACATAAAACAGGTTTCGCAAAATCGCCCCCTTAGACTTTTTCGCCCCCCTCTGTATCGTTTTCGCCCACTGGGGGGCGATATCGCCCACTTTGGGAATCACTGGTCTAGGTCACAGGGATGGCGAACCACTGACCCGCGGGTCACAAAGTGACGCGTTTTATTCGTGACCCGCCAAGGCACGAATGAAATAAAATGTGATATCAGTAATAAAAATTGTTAATTTCCGGGTCGGTGTGGTAATTTTCAAAACCCCCAATCTTGAACGCATGTCTGCACCGCTGTGTACCGTTATTCAGCTATTGGCCCTGACATCGTTTATGACATAACAATGCAATTGGTCTGTTCATTTCTCGTAACGCCTTGTCTCCTTCGGAAGTGCATCTGCAGACTGTTTTAGGGGTTATACGAAAACTAGATGCTACTCTGAATTTTATTGTTTCTCGCCTACAATGACGTTGGGAAAACAAAATCTTTCAGACTTGAAATAAAAACCTAGAAATCTGAAATAACAATGGAGCAGTGTAAAAGTGCTTTAATGTGGTTGAAAGCTGATCGAACAATATAACTAAATCAGATTGGGATTTCATCCAAACTCTTTGGAACCGTAAAATAATTTGCCGTATCATCCTAAACATTTTTGGTAATTCATATGCGTGTTTTCGTACTCTAATTTCATAAAATCGAGTGATATAAAAAGTAAAGTAAAGCCAAAACCACACCAACACCAGCTTATGAGATTTGTTTCAGAAGTTTCTGATACAGATACAGACATGGATTAAATATCTGTGACCCACTCTCTTCTGTTCCACGATAAAAATATAATTTTTGACCCATTCATTGAAAAAGTTCGCCATCCCTGGTCTAGGACTAGGTAATAGTAGTAGGTTACTTGAGATACAGAGAATGACAGGAAGTCAGGAAATACCCATTAACCTGATTCACGTAACTACTTGATTAAGATAACATGCGATTAGTCAAGTGCCTGACCAAAGAAAATTTAATAGCCGTAAATATTTTGCTGATTTATTGTGAATTACGAGTTTAGATATTCGAAGATTGTAATTAGCACATTGCCTGTTGTCAGTTTAAATGGCGTAAGCAACCTTTCCATAAGAATGGTGTTATATAATAGATAGATATGGTTCGCAGCTGTACCGTATCGGAACGCTAATGAACGTGTTAGTAAATGAACCTGCGTTTATTTATCGATTGACTTTGATTTTTGTCTGCAACATATATTGAAACCAAAATACAGGACAAAATTGTGACAACTATCAGGTCACAATACTTGGATTAGTATACAATTGTAATTTATGTTTTGGTTTGCCAATGGTTGTGAAAGATTGTTTTATATTTTGTATTCATTTCACAGGTATTACATTTAATATATGCATGTTTTCATTGCAGTTTATATGACTAAATCTCATAAAGACTGAAACAGAAATTTGCAGTATTTCCTCGTCCAAAAAATAAAAATGAAATATACATTTTTTGCAGTAATTTTGTTGTTCAATATTACCAATAGTTCCGCTCAAGGTAATTTGTTCATTCCGATTAGTAACTATTGTTTTTATTTCGTTCAAACACTTAGATGTTGTACACTGTACAGGATTTTGCTCGCCAATATAAACACAAATGAATCGTCGTGAACGATTAATTACAAATTGATCATTTACATTAAATGCGGTCATTTCTTTCAAGTAATCCCTATTAATCTCGGAAACATTTATGAAATTTCCAATTCAAGATATGTAGCAATTTAACCACACTTTCAATCTAGTTTTTGCACCGCTATGCTAAATTTTAGCCGATGGAATTTTACAATAAATATGTAAAACTATTTTGATAGCTGTTTATATTGAATGATAAGCTGTTTTGAATTTGCAGACCCTTGGAAGAAAAAATGCGTGGATGGGTTTGAACTGCCTTTCTTTAAAGAACGTAAACATTACGAAGAGGCAAAAAAATCATGTGAAGAATTGGAAGGTTACTTGGCTAAAGTTGATAATGAAAGAATAACTGCAGCTATTAAATCATTAATCGAGTGAGTTAAAAAGAAAATATAAATTTTGTGAATTTATATCAATTTTATCTTCTGTCATTAGTAAAATCAAAAACTTAATCAAACCACCCATGTTTTCAAATTCTTGTGTTTGCGTATAGTATATGCTGTAGATATAACTCATGACTCGTCAACCTCGCATATTAAAGTGAAAGTATTTTTTTGAATTTTAATTTACATGCAAATATATATTTGATAACTATTTGTGTTTATATCGGTTTTCTTTTTTTAACAACAATTTCCAGCTTTAATCGGTTGGCACTCACCCGTCATCTGTTCCAAAAGTGTTTTCTGTTTTTGTTTATTGATACATTCCTCTATTACAATTTGGCATTTATTTTGTCGAAACTTAAGATTTATATATTTTTAGCATAAGTGAGACAGAAATGGGGTTTTTTATCGGTGGAACCGACAGAGCTAATGTAGAAGATTGGAAATGGCAGGATGGTACGGATGTAAATATGAGAGGAGAAACGGGATATCAAAACTGGTTTGTTATTTGGTTTAATTTATCTTGCAGTAATAAAAAACTGAGAACAGCGTTTTTATTTTTCATGGGACCCTTTACTTCAACGGAATATCAGTGTTGGAGAAGCTCGAGTCATGGATCCGACTTGAATCCGACTCACCATTGATCAAAGACTGAAATGATACGAATATTCTAAATGCAAAATCTCGAACTCAACTAACCACCAATTAGACATATTTTAGAGATTGACTCAAATTCATGCTTGGACTTAACGCCTGGTGACTCGTGACTCAACACTACTCTTGAGTTCGGGTTTGCGGACTTTTACCTAACACTGGAGTAACTTAACTGGGATTGACAGTTTTCGTTACGGTACCAAAAAGCAATGGCAAACTTATGACTAGCAAATATGGAGTAATGTCTAAATTCTAGGTAATACTTTTTCTTTGAATTTCAATTTCATTTATGAAATATGAGTCTCTTTCTAAAATGAAACTCAATTTATCGGTTAATAGTTAGGGTTTCAATTTTTATTTAGTTTTATCAATAATATCATATGTATAAAGATTACTTCGAGAATTTAGATAATTGAGTTTACTGTTTTATCTGATTTAATTTGTTGAATGTTTTGTTTGTATAAAAAGAATATATCCAACTTCATGTGAAATATGATCAGAAATTCAGATAACCTTCAGATCCCAAGGTGAAACTTTGCAGTCTATGTTTATTATCTCGATAAGGTCGTAGTTATATGCAATTAACCCTGGAATATTTCAGCCTTCTCCCAATGCCAAAAAATCTAGCGATTGTTAATTAAAAATCCTGTATCTCCCGATACCAAAGGTTATTATTCAGTCGCTTCGAAATTTCCAATTTAGGGGTAGAATTCTCCCAGCGCATCAATGGAAGTCATTAGACTTGGTTGTTTTGGTGGGAATGATTCGAATCTAATCGATTTAGTCCCGAGTTATCGTGGTGGAATGAAAAAATTCGCGGGGTTATTCAGGAATGCCAAACGTTACATAGTAATGTTTTGTGATATCATAAATGATAATCTTTTCGACATATTCCGGTTAGATCCGTCTCCATCGTTGCAACTCTGTCATGCAAAGTAAATGTCCAAGATAAGTGAAGCACAACCGATGTATAGCAAAACGATTGATTTTGCCGACGTTTCGAATTTCTATTCAGAAAAACTTTATCAGGGCATGATATGAAGAAGTCACTATCGTATATATATATAGAGCAAAAAAGAAAAGGTAAAAAATTAAAACAGCGTGAAAAATTGAAAATGGGGACAATATGATATTAGATCCGAGTGAATTAGCTCGAACATATATGCGACTATCTAATCTAAACAATGACTTATACACATGCGGGAACAATGTAGTTTCTATATCGTTCATTGAATGTTATTCTCTTCGATAATGTGATATGATTCGAAAAATATCATATATCATGTAGAAAGGGACATGTTTCGAGAGGGACAGATTTCTATAGATCACAGCATTGATTGGGAAAACAGCGGGAAATTAGAAAATGAAATTCACTACAGAAAAAGACTATTTTTCGAATCATATCACATTATCAAAGAGAATAACATTCAATGAACGGTAAAGAAACTACATGTCAAAGATAAATAAAGCACAACCGGTGTATAGCAGAACGATATAATTTTCCGACGTTTCTAATTTCTATTCAGAAAAACTTCATCAGGGCATGATATGAAGAGTACACTATCATATATATATAGAGTAGGAAAATAAAAATAAAAAAAGATAGTAAAAATTAAACGGCGTGAAAAACTGAAGAAAAGGGACAATATGATAATAGATCCGGGTGAATAAGCGCAAGTTCAAACAATTACGCGACTATCTAAACCAGTGATTCTCAAACTAGGGTTTGAGAACCGCATGCGGCTCTTAGCAACTTTTCCTGCGGCTCTCGTTAATGCTTATTGTTTATTTGCGGCGTTTTTTTTGCGCAACGTTGACTAACCTACAAGATGCACTAGTTACGCAACAGTAAACGTTTTCTGTAATCATTGGCTTGCTTCCGTGGATTTTCAGTGTTTGTCGCATTCCCACATATTACCGGTATGTATAAATCAAATGCTCAATGATTAATTCTAGAGCATTTTAATTTTGTTCCAGTAATCGAAAATAGTCCCGAAATATCTGGCGATAATCTCAAGCAGCATCCTCCACGATTACGACCCGCTTTGACAAACTTATTAGAAATCAAAGCCAAATTAAATGGCTGTTAGTCTAGGGTGGGCAAAATCGAATCTTGTTTCGAATCGAATAATTTGAATATTTTTTATACATTTAATGGATCCAGAACATCAGAGGCCGATACACTATTTGGAAATTGATAAAAACATTGAAAAGTCGGCAAAAAAACTTTTTTTTTACTGGTTAATTTTATCATAATCACTGATTGTCACCGCGATCGTTTTGGCAGCGATAACCTAAAGTTGGTATTCTATATTCCCGCCCTTTCTCGTTTTTTTTGCAAGAATAAGCGGTCGCCGAATATCGAAGATTTATATTTCTAGTATATCCTAAAGTTCACATCAGCGACAGCTGTTGAATACATTAAGGGTTGATTTCAAAACCAAATTAATTTTATTCTGAGTTTAATCCTCTGCCTTGGATTTGATTTTCCCTATCACCTTGTAAATTAATTGTGCCTGTTTAAAGTGAACGGTAACCGAGATGCAGATATTTAAACGATAATTGAGTTTCTCATGCGTTTCTATGGTGTTCGTGTTATTTTAGTATTGGATAGATAAACCTAGCAAATTTACGATTGCGTGAATCCTGAATGTTGATTTAAAATAGCGATTAAATAAATTGACAACAAAGGCATTTCTAGGCCTTTGTGTCTAATAGAGGGTCAGACGCTAATTATACCTAATTCATTCAAGTTTTAACGTTTTTTTTTTCAACAAAACAACACCCCGATGGTTATTATAGCTAAAATACTTACTGAGTAATGCTCAATTTTCTATACGGAATTTGCAAATTCAGCACTTCGCCTAATGATTTCGATCATGTCATGCTATAAGGCTTAATTATTACTGCCCAAATGCTTCAAAATTTACCAATTGTAATCATTTTCGACGATAATAGACGCAACAATTCGTGAACGAGTCAGTGTGCATTGTCACAATAAAATTCACGATTGATTTTACGTTCTACTCTTGGCTCAACGGCCATGCATGGCCGAATAAAATGTTTACATATTCAAAACATTACTTGGCCAAGGATGGAAGGGATCACTAAATAGCTAATACAAAGTGCTTTGAATGGAGTAAGACATGACATTTCTTATCTGGTTACAACTTAATGAGTGTTTTTCATACAAATAACTCATACCAGCTTTCGAAAAAACTTTTGGTCATTTTTAAATCTATGCTATTTACATAACTAGAGTTTTTTAACGACCTAAAATAGCCTTTTACACAATGAAACGCTGAAAAGTCATTTTAACATTTAATTTCAATCAACTTTATGTTCGGTAATGCAAGAAGTGGCCAATGACATGACACCAAGCATGCGGAGGTTAAAATCTGAGATATTTATTTTAAATACCTAATCTGGTTTGATGTTTCTAAATTTACGGAACGGTCGGTACGTTTTTTTGCAAAATAAATATTTGAAACGATACGTCAATTGCAAAGACAAGCATTTAACACCAAAACGCAAGGCAACGACTTTTCAATTTTTTTTTTTTTTCTGATAGCGAGCGCCGTTGGGAAATCTCGCACAATTCATCATTCAGGTGGAGACGCGCGAGTTTGGTGTCCAAGCAGAGCGGCGCAGGTCACGTGGTACCGGATATTCGAAAAGTAAAATTTTATTATTCGAATATTTCGACCAGCTCTAGTTGTTACGATGACTTGGTATTTTAAATTCGCGCTTTCAGGGTTTGTTGCTATTTTACCTTGCGTTGTTTGTGTGCGGCTCTTCATAACGTTCCGTCAAATGCGTTCCGACATAAACGTTCCGACATAAACGTTCCGTTATTAGTAGCCTTATTAATCGCGCCAAATCTCTAATATCCGATGAAAGAAAACAAAAGGTGGAAATAAACTTCATTAAAAAGACCCTAAGACAAAATGGATACCCAAAGAAAATGTTTAGTAATCAGAGCAACCGTCAAGATACGAAAGAAGAACTAAAACCGATCACGTCAACTACCATTCCATATGTTAAAGGACTCAGCGAGAAAATTCGAAGAATTTTAGAAGATGTAAGGATTAAAGTTAGTTTCAAACCTCAAAACACAATTGGCCAATTACTTTCTAATGTCAAAGACCGCCCATGCCCCAACAAGAAAAACGGCGTGGTATATGCAATCCCATGCGTTGATTGTTGCTCTATTTACATTGGAGAAACGAAACGAAGTCTAGAAACTAGAAGAAAAGAACATCAGCGTGATGTAAAACAAAAGAAATTTGAAAAATCGGCCCTTTCGAAACATGCCCTTTCTACTGATCACAGCATTGATTGGGATAACAGCAGGATATTGGAACATGAAATTCACTACAGAAAAAGACTATTTCTCGAATCTTATCATATCAACAAAGAGAAAAATTCAATGAACGATAAAGATACTACATTGTTCCCGCATGTATATAAATCATTGTTTGGATAGTCGCGTAATTGGTTGAACTTGCGCTTATTCACCCGGATCTATTATCATATTGACCCTTTTTTCAGTTTTTCACGCCGTTTAATTTTTACTATCTTTTTTTATTTTCATTTTTCTACTCTATATATATATGATAGTGTACTCTTCATATCATGCCCTGATGAAATTTTTCTGAATAGAAATTCGAAACGTCGGCAAATTATATCGTTCTGCTATACACCGGTTGTGCTTTATTTATCTTTGACATGAATATACCTGGTGGCAATCATGCGCTATGCAAAGTAAATATTTACAAATACTCATAATAATCATATATTTCAACACAAAACCTACAGGAATCGCTATTTGTTTGCACAATATAAACATATATATTTATAGCTCATGACTCGAGTTGGGAAAACCCTAACAAATTTAGTTTCATGGGTACATTGAGCTTAGCCTACAGATAAAATATTACAGATAAAGGATTACAAACTTGGCCTGAAATACCAATATTTTAATGAGATATCTGGACATGTTTCCATGCGAAAAAGCTCTCTATCCTTGCGCAAGAATTGTAGTTCTTCTCACCGGATACTCATTTTATGATTTCAAATATCTTATTATCATGCTAAGAGTGTGTGATATTCCGTTTTGAATAACGTCGGCTAAGTAGAACTGCTGACTAATCTCAATGCTCGAATATAATTTGTGATTCAATGCTGCGGTTCCCAAACGGTGCGCCGCGGCGAGTTGCCAAATGCGCGAAAATTAACAGAATCAAATTATGATAAACTTAAGTATGGTCGAATATTTTACATACTATTTGATAAAAATCTTTTATTGTTTCTCATTTTAAATGTTGTGTACTGTATCAATAAATTCATTTTACCTTTTTCGTTTTTTACGTTTGTTGCGTAGTTGTCTGTCTCTATTACAATAGAGATAGACACTACTACACACTACAATTTAACAACTACATACAAACTTTAAAAGACATGAAGTACACATTAACGATCGCAAAATTTAGTTTTATTTAAAACCAGCATTTTTTCGTGGGAGGACACCGTGAGTTTTTTTCCCCTGATAATTTGGCGTAGCTCGAACAAAAAGTTTGAGAACTGCTGTTATAATGTCTTAAAAACTCGAAATGAGATTTAGAGATTCCAAAGTTCGCGCTGTGTATTCTTCTTATCAAACAATAGAACCACTTTAAACAAATCTACAAACTCGGTGAATTTGTTATGATAAATATGTCAATCTAAACAAATTGAGAAACAACAATTTGGCGCGGATATTCAAAGATTTTCAAGTTCGCGCTGTGGATGTTTATTATCAAACAACAGACTTTTTTACCAGAATTTCAAGCCAAATACGAACTTGGTGTATTTGTAACCATAAATATGTCAATCAGAATAAATCTAGGAACTCTAGTGTTTTGCGGAACACCCTCTCACGTGTGCTCCCAATGTTTGACAATTTCTAGTAAGTATCATGTTTATTCGAGTCAGCAGAAAGTTTTAGTTAAACGAAGAGTAAATATTTGTATCTGATCAGTCAGATTTCTTGGTGAACATTGTACTGGAGTGAGTGTTTTGTAAAGATATTTTAAATAGTCGTCACTTGTATCACAAGATTTTTATGCTTTTAATACTCAGACTTATGTAAATTCTGTAAATCGATTTTTGAGTCAGAAGCACTGGTGTATGATATATCCCATCAAACGCAATCAATTTTTATTGAAGAGGTACATTAATTAAGGGAGATGTAAAGTGAGGAGAGATTGTTTTACCCCTCCTAAATAGTTCCGCAAAGCAAATATCGTTCGTTAATTTTACACTAAAGAAAAGGTAGGTAACACCTGTACTAAAGTGACCTTGAAAATTTCAAAGAAACGATTATCTAATAACAAAAGTTGTAGTAGGGAAAACGTTTTTCATGTTTAAAACAGTAGTTTCTAAAAATAAAATCGCAATATTGAATTGACGAAAAATTTCATATTACTTGAAAGCAGTGGTGGGATTAAGATTTTTTGCTGATTTCATAAAATTCCGTGAGACGGTTCTATAGAACCGGTGCGAACCGGCTAAATCCCACCACTGCTTGAAAGTATTTATCTAATTAAAAATTGTTCTCATGGGTTTTGCTTTTCTATTTGTTCTAACGTTTGTAGCATACGATTATAATGTTTACTTGGAAATTGAAACACAATAGTGGGCTTTGGAAGTTTTTAGTGTTTGTTCCATTTTACGACAGATCTTGAATACTATGATTAAAGTTTTTTTATGAAGAATTTTGCTCAAATCAAGGCCACTGAGCGAATTTACAGGCGTTCATTAAATTGCCATAAGCTAACTATAAATCATGATAGGGTCAAGTATTGCGCCTTAGTAAACACTGATGAACGCAAGAATTTAGCATTTCATTCATTTCAATACGACCAAGAAAGCAGTTGTGAGGTAGCGAATTTCACATATCTGAAGTTCTTGAAAAAAATTTTTGTCTTGTGGGCAGGGCCGGATTTACCACTAGGCCAGGCAGGCCGAAGCCTAGGGCCTCAACGTCCAGGGGCCTAAAAATTCGGTTTCGAAGTTTGTAATTCTTTTAAAAACTTGACAAGTTTAAACCCTGCCTAAAGTATATATATATATCAAGCTTTTCAGAGTAAAAACTCCATACACAACTGGTTTCAACCACGTTGTAAACAGTCATTATTACGTCGTTTGCATCACAATAAGGGTAATTATTATGAGCATTCTGTTGGAAGCTTCTATGTTATAATACCGCAGTCTATTCTGCGAAAAACAGTATCGGTAGTTGATATGTTGCTGGAATAACCAATAGACATTGTGTTGCTTACTGTTAATGGGGTAAATTATACGTTTTATCAACTGAAATTTACTAATGTTATCGACTTATCTTAATATTAGACGTATTGGTATTGCTAACCTGCGTTTAAATCAAGCAATAATCTTGTAATTTTTCAAACCTTAAATTTGTTATGAGTAAAAGATTTGAAAGTGGAGCTAGCAAGCGCAAGAGAAAGAAATTAGAAAATGATATGGTAACGAAGATAAAACCAATCACTGCTTTCTTGCATCAACCTTTGACAGAAGCCACAGGTGCTGGCAGTGAAGTATGTGCTTTGACGCTAGCACAAGAAAATCAGTGTGACGAATCTGATCAGCCAACTGCTAGCATTCAACCAGAAGCAAGTTTTACAGTAAAAGCAATGCAGGACGTTGCACAGCAACCAGGTAGTGAGGAAAGAGCCATGTCCAGTGAAAATGAAAATACAAGTTTATTTCAGAACTCAGTTGCTGCAAAGAGAGGGGGGAAAGAAACACATGAAAGTAGTGGAGATAGTCAAATTGTTCAATTCAAACCTGGTGAGGTAAGTCAATCACAAGGTATTACAGATACTTATGCAGATAATGCCGAACATAGATCTACACATACACTGAGTTTGAAGGTCGTTGGTTTGTGAAAAGAATTATTAAATGAAGAAAAAGCCTATTGGATAGAGAGAAGCCCTTCTGAAGTTCAGCACAGCTGTGGACCATTTTCTAGTTTCGAACGAGTGTACATGAAGAAATCCAGGTTTTGCACAAAAGCTATGTTTTATGCAACGAAAGTCAATGGCTTGTATATTCCCCCAAAAATGGCGGGTATATTGCTTTGTATGTAAACTCTTTCCAAATCATGCATCTTCTTCGGCTTTAGCTTCTGATGGTTTTGATGACTGGCACAACTCTTATCTTATCCAAGCTCATGAAAACTCAGAAAAACACACAAATGCCATGTTAACCTACCTAACAAGGAAGCGAGGATATACGCTTACTTCAAAACTGGAGGAGCAAATAAAAGTAGAACAGCAGTATTGGAGGCATGTAATGGAAAGAATCACCGCTGTTATTTGTACTCTTGCAGAACGAGACTTACCTTTTAGAGGGGACAATGAACGATTTGGATCTCCCAATAACGACAATTATCTTGGTCTTTTAGAACTATTAGACAAATTTGATCCATTTTTACTTGCTCATATCAATCGCTATGGAAATTCAGGATCAGGAAATCCCTCTTATTTGTCAAAAACTATTTGCGAAGAGATGAATCAGCTTATGAATTTGCAAAATTTATTCCATGCGCAGGTCACTCCTTAAATTTGCTAGGCCGCTCATCCGTTGATTGCTGTCTTGATGCAGTGAACTGTTTTGGCATTATCAATGAAATTTACACCTTTTTTTCAGCTTCCACAAAGAGGTGGTTAGTTCTAAAATCATTTTTGCAACCTCAATCAAAGGTGCCAAAACATTTGTCAGATACTAGGTGGGATGCACATGCGAAAGCCCCGGAAGCTATTTTGAACAGTTACAGTGCCATCACTAGTGCTCTCAGTCATTTGCACTTCGACGTAAGTGAAAAGGGTGATACCAGACTTCATGCTAACAACTTTTTGCAAAAAATGGAATTTGTGTTTTTATTGCATTTTTGGTCCAGGGTACTAGGTCGTTTTCACAGGGTCAGCAAAGCCCTTCAGAATTCTAAATTGTTATTAAGTACTTGTGCCGAATTGTACGGTTCACTTGCAGACTTTCTAAGCAAAATTAGAAATGAGTTTGATCAGCAAGCAAAAGCAACCTTGCCGAATATTAACTACGAAGCTGTCACTAGAAGACAAAGAAATGCACCTGATGCTTTAAGGGAACTCCCTTCGAAGGAAAGGCTTAAAATAAATTTCTTTATCCCTATGCTCGACGCACTTGAATCCAATTTAAGGAGAAGAGCTAATGTGTACAGTGACATCGCAGAAGTGTTCCTCTTTCATGCTAATCTGGAAGCAACTAAGGTAGAAACAAGGCGTAGAACTTTTAAAGGAAGCGTATCCAGAAGATATAGACCTTTCCCCGAGCATCGACTTCCTTGTATACCTCGTGACATTGGCCAATCAGCAAGATGTAAAAAGTGACGTAACAATGCCCCCTTTTCGCATCTGCTCAGACACTTTTCTCACTCAGACAGATTTTCAAGCGTGGTTGTAAACATTACCTCGTTTTCGCGTTTTTGAACTCTATTCGTTAGTTTTCAGTTGTGTTTCGGAAACTTAAATAAAAACAGATAATTCAATGATTACTCTGTCTTCCTAGGAGTTTTAATTTAATTGCAGTAATAAAAAATGGTGTAGAAATAGCTGTGATAGACTATCCTGAAATTCTGTACCGGTACTTTTAAAAAACAGATTGTTGTATGCGATGAATCATAATGATGGTTTGAAACACATACCCCATTTTACAGGCGCTAACTCGCAAAAGCACTCTTAAAATAGCCCCGAAAATGTGCAATGGTAAAGTATAGGAAGAATTTTCCGGGGTTCAAAGATCCATTGACCCGAAACTTACTGATGAACTCTACATTTTCATTTGTACGTGAGACAAACACAAATCCAAGGGCTCGCCGGTACAGAGGAGCAATATTTTTCCTTGTCTCATGGAGGCCTTTATGAAATTATGTGCAAGAAAAAATTCACACTTCCTTTCCTAATGTGGAAGCAATATTAAGACTGTTTCTAAGCTTAATGGTCACTAACTCCTCAGGAGAGAGATATTTCTCAAGGCTCAAAAGCATCAAAAATAAACTGAGATCGATAATGTCTCAAGAAAGGTTGTCTGCACTGTGCATTGAGAGTGACAAACTTAAACAAATAAATTTTGATGAACTCTTGTATGATTTTGCTTTGACGAAAGCTAGAAAAAAATTTTTGTAGCCTAGTTCTACTCTATTTGATTGCTGTAACTATTTTTTATGTCCTTGTAAATAAATTTCACTATTATTGTAACGATTGTTTGATGAAAGAAATTAAAAGCAGAACTGTCTTGAGTAAATTTTTATTCTTTTAATTAAAAATTTGCATCTATGAATGGGGAGAATGAAAAGAACGAAGAGTTCAATGCACTCATATTTGTAACATTAAGCGATGCCATGTGATGTTGTTCAGAGAGAAATTCTGAGCTCAAAAATATTGAGGGGCCTCACAAATGGAATAGCCTAGGGCCTCTCATGGTCTAAATCCGGCCCTGCTTGTGGGTATACTAACGGGGACAGGGAGAAAGCTCACAGGCAATCGAGTTTGACAAGTTGAAACTTTTTTAATAAATGGACAATTACCGAAAGTTCAGAAGAACGCAGTCCATTATATAATCCGTAAAATAAGCACACGACGTAATATTTCTTGATGGGATAGAGTTTGAAGTTCGGACGCCAAGCATATTTGATATTACTTTTTGAATTCGATGGAGGCGGTTTAATACGGGCATAGGAGCATTACAGTGGCGGAGCGTCAATAGAGCCAACCGGGGCAATGCCCCGGTTGTTTTTTCGGTATAATAAAAAATATTCGAAAAATACCTCAATATCGGTTGCACAGACTGTCTACACTAGCCATATTCTCCCGACATGGTTCATTTTTCGCTCGCAAAGCCTTCGCCGAACGTCGACGGGGCGACGCCGATTTTGCCCCGGTTGCTCATTGTGTATCGTATTCTCTCTTTTATCTTCCACTCGCCGCGTTTGTCTCGTTTGTTTTCTGTTTCTTATACTAAATCATCGGGGCCGATCGTGGCTAGCCCCGAAATTATGACGACACAATGCCGACGTTTCTTACAACAACGTGTTGACATATTCACGCATTCCTTCTCGTTCGTTGGTTGCTTGAAGAGTTGATAGTTTCCTCGCCTTCGTTTTTGTCGCTTGTTTCGCTATTTGAATCAGTTAGAGACCTTTAGTCCATTTGCTTTCGATTTTCCACATTCCTTTTGAGCTCCTCACTTCTTTCCGGCTTCGCATTTCTTAGCCTTAGACCTCATAATGAATAAGGTTGATGCACTACTTCGCACTCCGTTTTCGCAGCTGCCGCTGGGACAAAAATTAGAGGTACAACGATATGTAGCCGCCGTCTCCCAGCTTGTGCACCAACACGTTGGAACTTCCAATCACGCGTGGTGCAGGGCGTGTCCGAAATTAGGTCTGAGCTCATTGAGTGTTTCAATGGCATTCAGAGCTCTCCGGTTTAGGACGAACGCTCTGTGAGGGAGACGGCAGGTCTGAAGCGTCTGTTAGCAGATGGTGATTTTCATTTTTTCTCGCTTTTTTCTCCACAATATTCTATCACGTGGATGTATTATATGGCGCATTGCAGTCAAGGCTAATGGATGGAGCGTCTGTGCAGTCGTGTATTTCAGACTTCTGCGATGCTGTATCTCGTATCAGGGAAACAATAAAATACGACGACACATGGAGTGCTTCTTTACGCCGCGGGCAAACAACGCAGCGTTTGATTTTGTCTGCAAAGGAATGCTGTGACATTCTGGTGAATCAAATAGGCGATCGTCTGCGCACTGGACACCTTGTCGCGTTCTCTTTGATGAACCCCAAAATTTTTTCAAAATTTGCACGTGAATTTCCCATCCATTTGTTGGCTACTGTCTCTAAATTTTACCCCATGATAAACGTGGGTAAATTGGAAAAGGAATTGCGATCTATATACACCAATCAAACTTTTTTGAACATCACATCAACTTGCGCGCTCTATGGGTTCCTCATAGATAACACTCTAGTAACTACCTTTGCGGCGTCTGCAAAATTTCTGGACATCATTTTGACGACGCCTATTTCTTCCGCCGACGCAGAGCGAACATTCAGCACGCTGAAGCGTATTAAAACGTATCTCAGAAACACAATGAAGCAAGATGGATTAAATTCCTTGGCTGTTTTATCCATTCACAGAGACGTTATTTCTGGGATGCATGACTTTAATCAGCGCGTTATTGAGCATTTTGCTTCCAAGAAACCGCGGCGTGTTGCATATATGTTCAAGCAGTAGAAGTCTAGCAGCATATATATCTATATCCTTATCTTTGCATTACCTTTCCTTTCTTCATAGTAACGTTTTAAACCTTATTTTAGGTTTTGTCTGCTTTCCCGAAGTTTCTGTTAACATGTCATTGTATTTATCTGGGTAAATATTGCCTTTCCTTCTGAAAGAGGTTTCAAAATAAACTATGTCTATATTTATTAATCCCTTGACTTGGACCGGTTTTAAAGACACTTTCTTATCGTTAAAAATTGTCGCTTTTGCCGATTGGTTGTTACCGATGGAATGGTTTTTATACTCATAAAATGATGGGAGAACTTACAGCGCTCATCCTGTCCCCGTAGATGGGGGTGACTTGGTCCCGCAGTAGCTTGCCCCGGTTGTCAAAATGACCACGCGCCGCCACTGGGAGCAACCCCAATAGAACAGCAATACTATATGCATGGACATATCAGTGATTTGTTCAAGCGAAATACGAACTCACAGGACAAATATCAGCAAGCACAGTATAGAAATCTAATTTTAATTGGCGAAATTTGAATAAATCATCAAGCTAGCCTAAAGATGTTCTACGACAGTAAAATGGCGTCGCTGCAGAAGTATGTTTACCAATGTTGAGGTAACTAATTTTGTTCGCCTACTACACCAAGTTGTGTGAAGGGACGGAAGTCTATGGACAGGGTGTATATTCACTTGGCTAACACAAACAGTCCGCGAACTCGTAATAGAACTAAAATAAGGAAAGTCGAAATAAAATTATGCCTTAACCTGGTACACATACTACGGAAGTACCGAAATGAGATCTGTATCGGAGTTGATATAAGGATTGATTGACACGAATTTTCTAGTTCAGAGAAACCTGTCACTGAAAAATATGCGTTGTGGCCAGCCTTGTGCCACTGCATTTCACAATAGGCCTTGCACTTACAGAGGCCCTCGCTTGTTCTAGGTGTAAATTGTTAAACTGAACCATTTTGCCCGATTCCGTCGTATCGTCATGATCTTTCAGACAAAAAGTCTGCACTGAAAAGCAAAGTTATTGTTTCATTGATGCAAGGTCACACAAACAAATTCAACTCTAAAAATCCAATTGCCCACACGATGTCGATCGTAAAAAACAGTTATGTATTGCAAGACTGTATAAATATTAAAAAAGCTAAAATTAGAGTCGGAATAAACGTATCCGAAAGAAACGCATAGTACTTTGATGCAGTCCAACTAATACTACTCTTGAATTCAGGTTAATATTAAATTATTACATAGGCAATACACAATTTTATTTATGAAATAATGGCTGTGGTTTTCATGTGCTCAAAACATGAGAAAATCAGAATATCAATTATTTTTATAACAATGCTTGCTCGATGCTGCTGTAATGAAGGTGAGATATATTTTTACTGGTGTGATTCTTACAATGTGACACAGTGGATATGTTACTTAGCCGGGGTCAAGTTGTTGCAACGTCTATTATCTAGAAAGATGTGTAAAGTAGAATACCTCACTAAATCCCAAATATTATATATACTAGAGTAACTAGACACTAAACTTTGTATTATTTTCCTCTTGAAATCACAGTTGCTGCGTTAATAATTTGTGACACATTACTTCATTCTTTCCTTTTAAAATAAAATTCCCCGTTCAGGCGTTCACCGCGGATTCATTAGCTGAATAAATAGGTCATTTACTCTCTTAAGCGTGACATGCTTGATCATAATGAAATTTGGAATATACAAATCAAAATAGTTCTAACCTGCAGAAAAGCAGTTTCACTCGACTGCGAGATAACTTTTGCCATCGTAGTGTAGATTGTACACTGAAAAGCTTTTACTTTCTTGTCTATGGTTTACTTTTGCATTGCATAATAGGTCGTAAAAACATAATACAACGCAACACGTTTAGTTATTTGGAATGAAGAACGAGTGCAAGAAGGCTCCGGGAGGGGGGCACGAACCGTAAAAGGTTGGGAACCACTGGGATATACCATAACATCAAATCGGTTTTTTTTTAAGAAAATAATCGTTTGATGAAAGCAACGAAATAATCGCCATCAGTTTTATTTGCTTTTTACAAGTATTATGTTACATACTGCTGTTCAAATTTACGATATAAATATGATGCGAGAAGGTTGGGCAATTCCAAAGTAACCAGATGAGCACGTTGAGGGTTTGTTATATCTACAAGAAATGAAATATAAAGGATTAATATGATTAGGAATATAATTCTTTGTGTTAATTTCGAATGCTTACTTAATACGATAAAAAAGTATGTAATTTGCAGATTCAGGCAGTGGATTTGAAGGAAATACCACAGGAAGTAGCCACGACTTTGGTATGATATTGCGGCTTATTTGATTATTGTTAGTCAAGTTTTGTTTATTCGTGAGACAAATCAGAAATTGAAGGCGGGATATTCACTACATGATGGGATTAACTCTGATCAATGGCCACACGCTTGCTAGCTGGGATATTAACAGTGCCTCGCACCAATTTCACGCAACCTGATCAACTGAACCGTTAACGATGCCAAAATGTTCAGACTGAGTTGTTTATGAAATTAAATTCATTAATTTGGAATATTAATTATTTTCAAATCTACTCGTAATAACTTAAGTGTTTTTTTTCTCAATTTTTAGAGACTACCACCTATCAACTGGGGAATACAACTGGCGAATTATTCACAAGTAAGATGATAATACAGGCGGTATTATAAAAATGCTATAGTGTTACTAAATTATTTTTGTAGAAAAATAAGTTGTTCGAAAATTGGACAGCAAGATTTAGTCACAGCTGTAAAAATCAGATGAATAGCGATTTTCAAATTAGAAAAAACATGAGAAATGATCAATTAATCAGACTACCAATAAAACGAATTCTATGATGATAAAACGAATCTAAAATGAATTCTATGTAGACTACTCATAAGCATACGCCTCATTTTAGACGTGTTTTTGCATGATAAGATTTAATAATTTTATTTATGATGAGAATTTTCACGAAGCAAAATCACGTACACTCACTTAGTAGTAAATAGTAATGGAATCGCATATTTGAGCAAAGTCACGTTTAACTACCGAAGCCATAAACATATATGGCTGTGCACGAGGGGAAATAAATTTTGATTTACACGAGACTCGAGATATTTTAAAAATAGCTAATTATAAATGAATTTTAAATTCTACATAACAAAAGATTTCAAAAAGTAAAAAATATTTAGTTTAGAACATGAACGTCAGCAAAACGTTGAAGTTTACTTTCGGAAAGATGCCGACAATCACGGTTTTTGAATTTCCTCCAGCAAATTCAGAACACCCACGTTAGCCAAACTTCAGTGTAAAAAAATGAAAAATTTTCCTCTGGAAAAAATGGAGAAGAGTATAACAGAGCAGCATGTCTTTTGTATGACTACGTATTGACATTTTGATTTTATATAAATATCGCGTTTCCAACCCTGGCTTTGAACATCACACATATGAACAAAAATTGTTATTGGTCGATATGCTTAATCGTCATCAGGCCAGAGTGAGTCTCGATGTAGAAATATTAAAGTATGTATGAACCTTCGATACAATTTTATCAGGTACAGCACAACTTCATAACGTTACAATGACAACATTGCAGCAAACGACGGGTGAGTAATTTATCTTTTATAAGTAAAGCACATGACTCCAAATTTTTTTGGTGCCATGTCATAAAGTCTTGGCTGTATTGTTTTCTTTGTAACTTAATCTGAATCAACTGGAAAACATGGATTATTTCACATGCAGTGCAAGTTAATCTTAGAATATCATTTCTAAGATCTTTACTATCCGGTGTTACCTCCTTTAATAGTCTTTTTCTTTATTTATTTTATAGAGACAACTACCTACCACTTGGGGAATACAAGTGGAGAATTGTTTACAAGTAAGAAAATTATGTGAGGTGGTTTCATAAAAATGCTGGTACTTCGAGTTGTTTTTATAAAAAAAAATAACGAAGAGAATAGAATATATAAAGCTGTTCGAATGATCAACTGGCAACTTGTAATAAATTAGACAAAATTTATTTACAGTCGCAATGCATATAAATAACCCTGTACAATTGCGACCCAGACTGCATGTGCATAAATGTGAAAATCCTTTCTCGGAAAAGATGCCGCGAGTATATGTATTTTATATTTGCTGCGTATTCACATATTGGTCGCATATAAATATTGCTATATCATCACTGTCGGTGAATATTACACATTGGAAATATATTAGTTTCGATTATGGGCGATCTGCGCCATAGTCTTAGTTGCGTCATCACGCAAGAGTAAGTCTCGATGTAAAAATGTATTTAGTATGTATGAGAACATTATCACAATCTTATCAGGTACAGCACAACCTCATAACATTACAATGACAACATCTCAACAAACGACTGGTAAGTAATTTTTACATTATAACTAAAGCGCATGGGTTTACGGATCTTTTTTATATCTCGTTATACAGTCTTGGCAGTATGGTCCCAAATACTCTTTGTAACATATTTTGAAGCAATTTTAAAATATGGTCCTCACATGCTTTTGCTATATATTGTTAGCTTATAAAAGTTAATTGTAAACTGAAAACATAATTTACACAACAATGAACACAAATGAAATCGGTTTTAATCCGAACATGAACAACACTTCTTGATTGAATCATTTCAATCTATCCCTTGTTATGTGACCATTGGAGATTTGTTCAAAAAGAATAGTTTTAAGTTTTTTTTGCCTGTTCTGTTCAAAATGGCTGTACTATTTGATTTTTTTGTGTTAAATAGGTTGAAGTAAAATGGATGTTAAAACTAGCCAAGCGCTTCTTATATGCAATATATCTTTCAAAACGCCACAAATATCGATAGAGGCTCATGCACACTTTCTTAAGCTGTAGTTCAGTGGTTGACGCAACCGATAGGCTATTACGTGAAACACCCTGCTGCGATGAAACTACCTTGCGAAAATTAAAATGCGATCGAATAAATGAGTTTGTATAACCTTGAAAATTCCACTTCAACCTTAAAAAACAAAGTATGCTAAGCATAAATTAACCGAACAGTATTAACCGTAACAATGATTTCATTTTATGAGAAAAATGTCAATACATGACCTCGTTATCAATAGTATGGCTTCATAACAGATTAGTTGTGGCAAATGAGTTTGTATAACCTTGAAAATTCCACTTCAACCTTAAAAAACAAAGTATGCTAAGCATAAATCAAATGAACAGTATTACCGTGACAATGACTTCATTTTATGAGAAAAATGTCAATACATGACCTCGTTATCAATATTATGGCTTCATAACAGATTAGTTGTGGCAAATGAGTTTGTATAACCTTGAAAATTCCACTTCAACCTTAAAAAACAAAGTATGCTAAGCATAAATTAACCGAACAGTATTACCGTGACAATGACTTCATTTTATGAGAAAAATGTCAATACATGACCTCGTTATCAATATTATGGCTTCATAACAGATTGGTTGTGGCGTCTTTGCATCAGAGGACTCTTACAAATAACATAGGCTAGGTTAGGGTGTCTCATCGTTCATATCAGTAGACTATACCGCCGATATAAGCATATTCTTCATTATCGTAACCCACTCGTTTTGCCGAAGGGATGCACTTGATCGAATTTCTTTGTAGTAGGCTCGTGAGCTAATTTTTATGATTTTTCTTACTCAAAACGTCTCTCTGATATCTCGGATAAACATTCCGGGTAAAATCTTATGACTTTGGTGAAGATATAAAGTGGCGATAAATGTACGCAATAGTAATGTAAAGGTCAAAATAAAAAATTTTACTTACATTTTTGAAATTGTAATTCCGGCTGCGTGTGCAGCTGCCAGAATGCAACGTTTTGGCTCAGTTTCGAGGCGATGCGAGGGGTATTTCAATGAAAAATACAGAAAAAATTTGATTTAAAACAAGCCCTCGTTTTGAAACATGATGTTTTTTTAGAATTAATAAAAAACAAACCCTAGTTACCATGCGTTCCCTGGGGTAATAAAGAGGTTGGAATTTACTGTTTTCAAGCCTGTCTGATTACACTTTTAACGAATGTAAAATGTACAAACTGGGGTGGAAAGAATATAATTTTCTTTCTTCAAAGTGTTGTTACTAGGTTTGTTATAATTGTAAAAAATGTCTTTTGAATGACAACACTATTGAGAAAAACCCTCTCCCACTCCTCGAACTTAATTTAATATATATTAATCATTTTCAAACCTACACGTAACATTTTTTTTACAATTTTCAGAGAATACCACCTTTCGTCTGGGCAGCACAACTGGGAAAATATATACAAGTAAGAAAATATTACGAGATGATGTTATTAAAATGACAGGGTTTCGAGATCTTTTTATAGAAAAATAACCAAGGGAAGTAGAAAATTTAAAGTTGTCCTAATCAATTACCGGCAACCTGTGCTCGTGCTCAAGAACTAAATAAATTCATACGTACTACTCATTTGATTCATATGCTTCATTTAGGACGTGTTGATAGTATGCAAATTCAATAAATTTCACGCCGGGATCACCAAAATATAGGGGATAATTGACCCAACTTTACGTTTCCACACTCTGGTGTTATTTAACATACAATGTATTCTAATTCCAAATGTTCGTATATTGCAACCCAGACTACATGTGCAAAAATGTAAAATCGCCTGGCCGGAAAGATGTCGATGAATGCGTTTATGTAAGAGTATTTTGCATGAGCTGCGTATTCACACTTCGATCTACATAAAATATAGGTGTTACCAAGGGCGTGCCAAACTTTTCTGCTGCCCGGGGCGGGTACGCCCTTTATCCCTAACTTAAAAAATAATTCGTGGGTTAAACAGATTATATATGTTGTTATACGCGAAAATAAATAAATTAAAGGTCATTGAATAAATCATCAAACTAAACAACAAACTTGCATGTATAAAATCGAACTCATTCATTAACAAAATAGAAGTCACTTATTTCTATGTCCAGTCGCTACTTTGCTGTCAACAAATGTCTGAACGACAGCCTCCTCCACCTCGCTCGTCAGCAATTTCTTTTGATTCTAATCAGAGATAAACTTAAACTGCGTTAGTTTGACATTCAACTTTGAAAAAGATCGTTAGCAAATAGCAATTGATTATTCAATTTTGAGTAATAAACAATATGCAATGCAAAAAGTTGGAAAAAAAGTAAACATTTTGGCATCCAGATTTCGCATTGGCATTCAGTCTTCGTAGTATGGTCCCAAATACCCGTTGTAACATATTTTGAGGTAGTTATAAAATATGTTTTTTACATGTCGTTACCAACCGTTGTTAGCTTATTAAAGTCAAATTTATAAGATTTATAAATAACAATTTCAAATGAAGAGAAAACAGATAAGAAACTAAACAAATTTTTACGTACTAATTTAAATCATATACTTCATTCAAACCATATTTTTATATGATAGAAATAATTTTTATTTCATGGGTATTTTCCGAAAGTAAGATTAAATAATATCCCTGTACAATTTGTCCGCTATTGCGAGCCAGACAGCATTTGCAAAAATGTAGAATCCTCTGGCGAGAAAGATGACGACGAATGCGAAAAAGCAGAAAACCTGTATTTTGCATGAGCTGCGTATTCACATTTTGGTGGGATATAAATATTACATTATCATTCCTGTCGGTGAATATTACACATTGGAAATACAATAGTTTTGATGTTGGGCGGCCTGCTTCGTAGACTTGGTTGCGTGATCACGCCAGAGTAATTCTCGATGTAAAAATCTATTTAATATGTATAGAAAATAAAAACTTCATTACCATGTTATCAGGCACAGTCGAACCTCATAATATTACAATGACAACACCTCAGCAAACGACTCGTAAGTAATTTATATATTATAAGTAAAGCTTATAGATTTATAGATCTTTTAGTATATATACCTCGTTATACAGTCTTGCCAGTATGGTTCCAAAAAATCTTAGTAACATATCGTCACGCTAATACCCGAATTGCGTAAGTCATTTTCGGCAGTTTTGAGTTTTTCATAAAATTGGTATTTATGTAATGCTGCGCACCTGTCTGTCAACTCAGATTTTTTTTTAAGAATTCCGAAACCCATAAAAATAGAGATATTAGACCCCATTCATTAAAAACCCATCCTACGCGCAAAATATAAAAGTGATGTAAAAAATTATTTTTTAACATTAGCTCTCATGGGAAATGTGATCACCAGAGCAGAAATTTGCTTTTTTTTGTAATTTTCTAGATATCTTTCCTTGTATACGTGAGCAGTTTTGAGGATAGAATATTTTTTACATCTTTTTTGATATTTTTATCATGATAAACATGGTCAAGATTTTTGATAATCGTTCATTAAAATTTTAATGAGCGCGGTGTTTCCGATGACGTCATTCTCACTAGACCATGAGATTCTGCCAACGCGCCGTGCTCTGTGGGATACGCGCTGCAAATGCGGCCCTAATGTCGCTTTGGGTCCGTGTCCGTCCGGTACTGGAAGCGTTTAACATTGACAATCTATACCCGTATCATTTCTATCACGTTTGTTTACTGGTTTTACGCATTTATACCTGTACAGCTAGCAATCATTTACTGAAGGCATGCTGACGTGTTATTTAAACTACCGGTACCGTACCAAGGCTGCAAGAGGTGAAAACTAAATTATTTAGTAAATACTGAAATAGGCCTACAAACAAAACTGTTGGCCATCTTGCCAATAGGCAGGACAAGTTGTACGGTACCGATATACAAAAAAGATGGATATCTACAACCTATAATGGTACAATACCGGTCTCGTAACTAGGTTAAAAAACATGGCTGAATACGAGAGGGAGATATATTTTGTCAACCAGAATACAAGCATTGAATCAATAAAAATCATATACAAAACACACAGTTATTCGGTATAGACTGGGGAGCGATACGTCCATCACAGTCAACTGAAAACCATTTATTTCAATCTGCTGAGTGATTAGGGCCAGAAATTTGCTGTAGGGGCCATCACCAGGGCTGGATTTACCAATAGGCTAGGCAGGCTGAAACCTAGAGCCTCGAAATTCGGTTTCAAAGTTTGTAATTCTTTTGAAAACTTAACAAGTTTATACCCTACAAAAAGTATATATATATATCAAGCTTTTCAGAGTAGAAAATTCTGTATTCAACAAGTTTCAACCACATTGTAAACAGCCATTATTGCGTCGTTTGCATCATTCTGCTGGAAGTTTCCATGTTAAAGTATGGCTGTAGCGGCTGTTTAATCAAAGAAATTGAAAGCAAAACTGCCTCAAGTAAATTATCATTCTTTTAATTAAAAATTCACAAAAGTTTAATGCTTTCATATTTTTAAATTTTAAGCAATTAAATGTGGTGTTGTTTAGAGAGAAATTCTGAGCTCAAAAATATGAAGGGGCCTCTCATGGTCTGAATCCAGCCCTGCACATCACCAATTGTGGGATAGGTACCGTACATGGTAGGTACCGTCAACATATGAACTGAGTTAGGCCATTGGATTTTGAAAGGTGTACCAGAAATGTACATGGAATTCATGAAATATATAACATCCAATTAAAACCAAAATAGGTCTTTCGTTGAACGCCAGTTGTGGTTCAGGTACCGGTATTCCAGTATTCTGTTATCACAAGCAGTTGGAGCACATATCCCACAGAGCACGGCGCGTTGGCAGAATCTCATGATCTAGTGAGAATGACGTCATCGGAAACACCGCGCTCATTAAAATTTCAATGAACGATTATTAAAAATCTTGACCATGTTTATTATAATAAAAATATCAAAAAAGATGTAAAAAATATTCTATTCTCAAAACTGCTCCCGTATACAATGGAAGATATCTAGAAAATTACATAAAATGCAAATTTCTGCTCTGGTGATCACATTCCCCATGAGAGCTAATGTTAAAAAATATTTTTTTAAAAAAAAAATTTTCGCGTAGGATTGGTTTTTAATGAATAAGGTCTATTGTTTCGCCATAATGAATTATCCTTGTTAACGCGGGACTATTGTGACGTCGCAAAGGCAAAACAACCTCGGCGAAGGCTTTTGAGTATTTGCATCTCAGATTCTAGCTTAGCGCTTATAAATTTCAATTTATACTACGGTATAGGAAGACGTGCACTTGTGATATTCCCTGTCTGAGTCGAATTCACCTTGGTTGGCTTCTTTATAAGGGTACATTGCTGTTTTATTCTTTATATTTAACTTTAGTCTTATTTTGGTGGATGTGCAGAGCGTGTTATGTTGATGAAAAATATATTTTTAAACATAAAAAATAATGTAATTAAAACAGATTAGCTATTTTGGGGATTAGACATCGTATATACTAAGAATTACAGATAGTCAAGTTGCAAAATTGCGTATGTCCCCTAGTCATAGACACATTTCTGCCTAAGCACAGTGCGCCATTATGACGTCACATGACTGCGTCATACAAATTAACTTAAATCCGGCTACGATCAAAAAATTGAACTATGGCAAATTATTGACTCTCAGTGGCATAGCAATATCATTAGGAAGTTTTTTACGTTTTTCTCAAAACTGCTAAAAATGACTTACACAATTCGGTTATCAGCGTGACGATATTCTAAAGGCTAAGTGATTCGGGAGTCATGCTGCACACTGACACAAATATATATTTCTGTAACGTTTCTTCCTCAGACAAACATCACTTGACTACCACTACCGATAGTTAGTAACTACTAAGTCAGACGAAACGTGGCAAAAAATTATTTGTGTTTTTGTGCAGCAAAACCCTTGAATCACTTAAGATAATTGAGACTACTCTTGCTATCCTTGAATTAGATGCATACGGATCCGCCGGAACAAAAGAATAGTAAGCGGGATAAGTAGTTGGTCCCGTAGAGACCCAGTCAATATTTAGAAGCAATTGTGAAATATGATTTCCACGTGTATTTATTTCAATGTTAGCTAATAAAAGCCAACTGAAAATTCCCACTGTAATGTTACATTGTTACTAACATTGTTAATAACACAAATGCAAACTGTTGTAATCCGTAGGCTATAAGGCCATTAATTAACACTATTAGGCAGAGCACTTTCAATCCATTTGTTTCTCATTTGATCACGAGTGGTTTGAAGTACTAGAAGGGTTTGGAACCTATTACAATAAAGCCTGACTGATTAAACTTCGACGTTGCCAAATGTTCGTGCTGTGAGTGACAAAGGAAAATATAAATTTGTTTGAATTACAGCCTACTCGGATTGTAATAAGTGTAAAATATGACTTTTGGAAGACAAACAATATTTGACAAGGTTCTTTCCATCTACCTCTTGTTCCATCGGTCACGAATTTATTTTTAAAATTGGTTATGTTTGATCCTCTTCGTTAACATTAAATTCTTCTTTTTTTACAATCCTCAGAGAATACCACCTATCGACTAGGGCAGTGGTCACCAAAGTGTTGGTCGCGACCCCAGGTGGGGTCGCCTTAAATATTTATGGGGTCGCAGAGTGTCCGGCGATGTTTTCTCCTGTAATTATTTTATTGTGTGTGTAATGTCTTGGATATTACCAAATTGCCAGTAGACAAAAATATTACAGTTATTATAAGTAAAACGTCAGTATAACACAGTTTTAACGCTATAGCCTACATTTCACACGAATAATATGCATGCAGACAAGGAGTAATTACGAGAAAGTAATTATGACATGTTGATCACAAATGGGTTCGTGTGAAAAAAAATGAGCTGATACACAACAGTGTGCAGTCTACGCTTCACTAGGCCGACTAGCGATATTCTGAATTAGAGTGATATCTCTATAATAAAGCTATTGTGTAACGACAATAATTTAAATTTTAAAGTAAACAGTTGTTGTGTTTTCACTGTAATGGACTATGACCGTTGCTTTTGCTTTATTGTTTGCTAAGTTTCACAAATGGCTGATAAACATAAAAGAATAGGTCATGTAATCAATCTTTTTTTAAAGCATGGTTTATCCGAAATAAAGTGCCAAACGAAATGCGCTGTTTGTCAAAAAGTTCTATCGATAAGAAGCTTGAGCTATATTATGCCACAATCTCAAAAGCTCTGCGAAGAGAAGCAATCGGGTAAAGGTGTGATCAATTTTCATTGGTTTCATTTTTTTCATTTCAATAAATATACTTTGAGGGCGCCAGTGCTCATCATACGTCATAATTTTTGGAATGGGGTAGCGTCATGAAAAGTTTGAAGACCACTGGACTAGGGAATACAACTGATGAATTATGTACAAGTAAGAAAATATTATTAGCGTTTAGAGCTGTTTTAGATTTTGTTTGTTTAAAACCTTCATCACAACTTTATCAGGCACAGCAAAACTTCATAACATTACAATGACATCTCAGCAAACGACTCGTAGTAGTAAGTAATTTATATTCTATAAGTAAAGCTCATGGGTTTACAGATCTTTCTGTATACCTCGTTATACAGTCTTGGTAGTATGATCAGAAAAAAAAATATTTTGAAGCATTTTTAAAATGTTTTTCACATGTTTTTACTATCCGATGTTAGCTTATAAAAGTCAACTGAAACTGATAACATAAGTTTACACATATAACTATGAACACAATTGCAATAGGGTGTAATCCTGACATGGACAAACAATGTTTAACAATGAATCGTTTCAAGATTTATGTACAGTCGTAAATTAGATAAATAAATATTTCAAATTGGGACACAATAGATCAGAGGTCGGCAACCTCTGGCACGCGTGCCAATTATGGCACGTCAAGTGATTTCACTACTCTCCGAAAAGCAATGGTTCAGCGGCCAAAATCTGTACGGGGAATCAGTGTAGATAAGCCTGTGCGGTGCAGCTTTGCCAAATTTGGCTACTTTCGGAAACGCTTCGCTGCTTCAAACTACTCGTTTAACTACCTGCGACTTATTGTGCTACTGTTTGGTTACTTTTTGCCCTTCAAAAATCGTGAAATATTGAATATTATTTTATCAGTTCATTATTTTGGGCAATTCCTACAGCTTTTTGCTAAAATCGCAGATTGTTCTTGTCAGTGTGACGTGTTATTTAGGCTGTAAAAACTTTTAAGTTGGTGTTTATCTCCCTGAACCACAAAAAATTATTTCACGACAATGATAATTATTACTTTATTTTTGTACTCGCCCAGAATTAGGAATTTGCTGAGATTTATTATGGAATCATCCGCGGGGCTAAAGTCAAATAAAGTGAATCGGCGACGCAAAGTTTTTGATTAAAAAGCGGCAATATAAAATACTAAAAATAAAACCGTAAACAATTTGTTGTAGGAGACCCGCAACAGATTAAAAACGTTTCTCCAGGCATTGTGAATTTCGTGTGCCTAGAGCACATTCTTCAGACTTCTTCTTCAGACAAGCATTTTACAACTATATCAAGAAACGCAATTGCATGCACATAAATGTTGGTTTCAAATGTTGGGTCTGTTTGCGATAGAGAGATATAAATAAAATTGGGACAGTGCCAGAACAATAGGAAAGCTAACTTTGATTTAAAATCAATAGATACCCCACAGTGTAGTGAGTGACAATTAAAAAGAAAATTAAACAATTTCAGGCTGTTATCCCGACTGTGGTATCGCCTGAGTTCATTTAAGGGTCATGGGCATGGCTGCAATGTAAGGAAATGACTTGAACCGCGAAATAGAATTCAAGTGTAAGTGACAATGAAATGTAATGTTCAAATTAGCATAAATTGTGAATTTATCCATCTCTTAAATTCATCCCTAGAGGTTCTAATGTTTTGAATTTGTTAATAAAATAGGTTTCCTTCGTTTGCCGGTATACTTGATCTCGATATAGTTTTTCTATTCCAATTACCAAAAAGTCGTTGATGGAATGGCCTGATTGATTGAAATGTTTACCAACTGCAAGATCTTTGTTTTTTTGATTGATGCTTCTAATGTGTTCTGTAATTCTTTATTTTAAATGTCTGCCTGTTTCACTGACGTACTGCATGCCACACTTTCTACAGGTCATCAGATATATGACATTTTTGTAATATTCAAGGGCTTGAATCCAAGTAACACAGGCTTCAATTGCTCACAGAATATATTATATTGCATGAAAGTAAATAGAAATACAACATACGTCCATCGCTCACCTAAAGTAGTTCTAGAATGTTCTATCATGTGGCCTAAACTAGATCACTAGATGTCCTCATATTATTACGTCATAGACCAAATATAAGACATAGAATATAGCAGTATTCCATGGACATTACAATTTTCTGAATTGCACGTTATCGGACACGTTTAGTGGCCATAACGATCGTTTCAAAATTTTGTTGTTATTGTTATTTTCTTTCGTCATTATCATTAAAAAATCGCTTTTCTCTTTGATTACTGGACCAATTGCTTTGAAATTTTCAGTGGTTAAAGATAAAATTTTTCTCCAGAAGGCTATTGCTTTTTTTTCGCTATGACGTCATCAAAATTATTGCCATTGGGTGGCGCTACGTGCCCATATATTTGAGCACAGCTCTCTTGTTCTTTGATTGATGTTCATTTGAAGTCTTGTGATACTGCTAGTGCTTGTTTTAGTTTCCTCTGAATATTTGCAGGTTGAGCATGATTTTCTGCTGCATTTATAGAAACCTGATTTTACTTCTCTTAATGATTCCGGTTTCAACTTGGCCCGAACTAGTCTGTCCTGTAATGTTGGGCACTTTCTGTATGCAATTTTGGGGGGTGCCGGGAAGATGTTTTTCAGTCTTTCGTTGTTGTCTAGTATGTATTGATATTTAGAGAAAATTTTTCCGAAGTTTGGTTGATTAGGATGGTACTTAGTAACGAATGGCAATAGTTGTTGATCATTGTGTTTTCTTTTTGGTGTTAACAGTGAATCTCTAGTTATTTCTTTTACCATGCCTATTGTTTTGTCAATCGAGGTTTGTTTGTAATTTCTTTTTATCAGGTAGCTTTTCATAATTTCTGCATGCTTGGTGAAGAATTCTTCTGTTGAACATGTTCTTCTTATGCGTATAAATAGTCCTTTGGGAATGTTTGCAGTAACGTGCTTAGGGTGGCACGAGGAGGGTAGAAGGTATTGGTGAGAGTCCGTTTCTCTGGTGAAAATTTCAGTTTCTAATTTAGTTCTAGTGTTCAATCATAATATATTTATTTATCGGATTTTTATTACAGATCTTAAGATTTTTCTAATGGCGATAACGAATTCGCAAGATCACAAAAAAGTATTGAAACTAAATACAATTAGTCATGTTCATCTCATATATTTACGTCAAACGATTGAGACTAGTAATGTTTATATTTTGACGCAAGAAGACGCAAATTTTATAGATTCTCGTAGCTGTCATGAATTGATTATTTTACGCGACAGAAAAGTCGGTATACACTGAAAAATTCGGCTCTTTTTACGATCGCGTAATCATGGCTACTGTTCCACAATTAATTTTAAATCCCCCCCCCCCACCCCTTCTTTTTGAAAATCCTGACTGCGCACCTGGCTGACTGGGCACCTCACGGAAGCCAAAGTTTTCATCATTTCAGAGTGAGCTACATGTAGCCTTAACAAAAAGATAAAATTTTATCTTTTTCTTTAGTATTGTCGCGTTCACATTATTCCTGCCTACAAAACTAATCGTAAGGGGCCTCCATACCTATTACTTAAGTCGTGTAAAGACAGGTCGAAGGTAGAGATGCCGTATGCCGAAATCTCTAATTTCCATGCACGTTATCATGTAAAAGAAATTTGTTTTTCATCCTCTTACTATTCAAATCAGGTAGTTGACTACGCAAACCAAACACATAAAAATGTTTGGCACGCCGACGTGTTCATTATTCATAAAATGGCGCGCTGAGTTCAAAAGGTTGCCGACCCCTGCAATAGACCATTTATGCTCAACCAATCACGGTGCTGAGTGAAGTGAACAAAATCCTACGCACCTATTGGAATCATATGCTTCATTCTAAACGTACTTTTCGCTTATTGGACACGAAGTGGACATAACGATCGTTTCAATATTATGTTGGTCTTGTTGTTGTTGTTGTTCTTTGACACTTTTTAGACATCTAGTGGAAAATCTAAAAAAAACGCTTTTCTCTTCGATCACTGGACAAATTGCTTTGAAATTTTTAGTGGTTAAAGATGAAATTTATCTCCAGAAGGCTATTACTTTTATTTACTTCAAATATTTCTGTTAGCTCTATGAGATTTGTTTTTGTTTGCTATGACGTCACTGAACGTTCTGCGGACGCATGTGCAGGCACTCCTCTTTTTGATCACGCGAATTCGAACGTTGGCGTGACGGCGGATTCTGAAAGTCGTTACTCAAGAATCGCAAGTTTTTCGAGGTTACCGGTGAATGGCGGTGATGCTAAAGGTACGGTAGACCGTAATGTACTGCTTCGCTTGGTGTGAATATATTTGTAGACTGTGGTCTACAAGTACGGTAAACCGTACTTCACTGCTTCGCTTGGTGTGAATATATCTATAGACTGTGGTCGAAATGCTTCGCTGTGGTATCTGTTATAATACCGTGATAAATCGAATAAGTTGGTTTTGCAAAGAAGAAGCGTCTGGCATTACAGGTAGAAAGGGGAAAAGGGGGGTGCGCATTTCCAATGCGTCGATAATATCTTTGTCAACCAATTTGCGACCACCGTGTTTTTGTCTGTTTTATTGCTGTGGTGTAGTGCTAACCAATTTGCGACCACCGTGTTTTTGTCTATTTAATTGCTGTGATGTGGTGCTTTGTTTATAATTTGACGAGTTTTGTTCGAAATAATCGTGTTCTTAAAATATATGACGGTCAGAAATGCAATTAGAAGCCCAATGGTTTTAAAGATAGAAAAGTTTTGTTACTACTGTAACACAGCGCGGTGACACTGATCTAACTTGAAAATCCATACAAATATAAGAAATAAGAAGATGAAACTTGGCAGGTTGGTAGAGTTGCTGGAGTTGTGTTTCTTTTAACCATCTTTGAAGGTTTCGCGTTCTTACATTTAAAGTAGGTGGAAAAGGGGAGTGCGCATTTCCAATACGTCGATAATATCTTTGTCAACCAATTTGCGACCACCGTGTTTTGTCTGTTTGATTACCGTGATGTGGTGCTTTGTTAATTTATACAGGTACTGGTAAGTCACTGCATATGATTTTTGGGGATTTGTTCTGAGTGTCCATATATTTGAGCATTGCTCTCTTGTTCAGTTTTATTTTTATTAGCATTTTCTTAAAGCTAGCCGTGGTGCGCCATGCAGAAGATATGTAGTAAATACCGATTGACTTGAGACTTGACGTCGCTAAGTGTCAATAAGCTCTATAAGGCTCATTGTATTCACAATATTCAAACTGTACATAAATAAGTATTGCATTGGCAACCGTCTTTAAACAATACACATATGAAAAATAACACTAATGAAATAAATATAGTTAGTATGTATGAAACTTACAATTTTATCAGGCACAACAGAATTCCATGAAATTACAATGACAACATCTCAGCAAACGACAGGCAAGTAATTTTTATATCATGCGTAAAGGTTCCGTATTTTTTTCAGAATTTTGAGCAGAAGAGTCTTGGAAGTATGTCTCTAATTATAATATCGATATATAAACATATCGATTTCAATTCACTAAGACCCTGGAACGATACTGAGTGTTGAAAACACTATGATTCGTGTTCAAACACGAAAACCCATTTTATCAGTTGTATCGGAATCAATCAACGCAGTGAGCAAATTTTATTGTGCACAACCGGTGTTGCAATAATAAGTTATCATGATAATACACAAGTTAAATGCAACCCGCCTATATATATTGTAAAGCTGAGCTGTAACAAAGAATACTGCCTTTTTACTAAATATTGGAACAAAAAGTCAAATATACCAAATTCACTAAATTTTTCGATGCATTTCATATTACCAGTAGCTATACGAGAAATAGTTGATTTGAAAAATGTAAAGCATTGCATATAGCATTGCATAGTAAGTAATACTAACAATATTGTAGTTTAAAAAATAAGTTAACAACATTAAAAAATTAAAGTTTAACAACATTGAAAATTGACATTTACTTTTATCAGATGCGGTTACTTTACATGAAATCACGATCTCTACTGAACAGATTACAACAAGTAAGTATCTAAAACTAATGTTTTCTACATTTTGAAACATTTTTTGTATAATATATTATTCAAGATTAATTTGCAACATTGAGAAACACATATATATTTTGCAAAAAACATTTATTTCCTTGAACTGTTGAACAGCAGTAATTGCTACAACATTGTAACAAAAGTTGCAGTACCCCTGGCAGAGAACTTAACATCATATTGAATACTGTTTTGCAATGAAACAAAAGAAATTTAGCCACGTTTTTATGTAAAAGTATAATTAAATGCAATAACCTATTTAATTTTCCAGCACTGAGTTGTGAATTATTATGCAACGGAGGCAACCAAGAATGCATTTACGATAAGTGCGTATGCAGCGATGGATATGAAAGTGTAAATAAATATTGCACCAAAGGTAATGCTAGATTTTTAATCAACTCGGCGTAGAATATAATTTACATATAATGTTCTTATTTGATGTTACTCAGTGGCGGCGCGTGGTCATTTTGACAACCGGGGCAAGCTACTGCGGGACCAAGTCACCCCCATCTACGGGGACAGGATGAGCGCTGTAAGTTCTCCCATCATTTTATGAGTATAAAAACCATTCCATCGGTAACAACCAATCGGCAAAAGCGACAATTTTTAACGATAAGAAAGTGTCTTTAAAACCGGTCCAAGCCAAGGGATTAATAATTATAGACATAGTTTATTTTGAAACCTCTTTCAGAAGGAAAGGCAATATTTACCCAGATAAATACAATGACACATTAACAGAAACTTCGGGAAAGCAGACAAAACCTAAAATAAGGTTTAAAACGTTACTATGAAGAAAGGAAAGGTAATGCAAAGATAAGGACATGCGTCGCTCACTCATAGATATATATGCTGCTAGACTTCTACTGCTTGAACATATATGCAACACGCCGCGGTTTCTTGGAAGCAAAATGCTCAATAACGCGCTGATTAAAGTCATGCATCCCAGAAATAACGTCCCTGTGAATGGATAAAACAGCCAAGGAATTTATTCTATCTTGCTTCATTGTGTTTCTGAGATACGTTTTAATACGCTTCAGCGTGCTGAATGTTCGCTCTGCGTCTATTGACGCGCCGCCACTGAATTGTTACTAATACTTAATGTTACTAATTTGAGTGTGATTTGCAGTGTGTCCTGACGCATGCCCTAAACACTCTTCATGTAAAAACGCCGAGATTGGATGCCAGTGTGATAGCGGATTTACGAACTACGATGATGACTCTGGATGCAGTGGTAGTATTATTTTTATAGCTTGTAGCATTGTAATTTATGTTTGTCATAGTTGAGCTTTCAAGTGTAATGTTTTGTTGCTCAAATTCCTATGCGTCATTTTATCAATTAAATGGAATAATCATCTATAGGTAACGCTATTACTTATTTTTACAACTAAGAAAGTTTTTTTTTATATGTGAGACGGGCCCTGACCCAAAGAATTGGACCCATTTACAATTGTGGTGATTATATAGGACGTTTTCAATTCGCTAATAAGGTATTGCTACATTACCTAAATTACATATTGGACGCAAAAATGGAAAATATAAAATTGGTTATTTTTTATTACAGATATCGACGAATGTAAGACTAACTGCAACGATATTATATCTCAAAATTGCACAAATTATCCAGGATCTTTTTCTTGTTCCTGTAAAGAAGGCTATTACTTGTATGAACACAGTTGCTTACCTCGTAAGTTAAATTACTGATTACTAAAACTAACCGAGTTATCGTTTACTATACTGAAAATTTATATATATATACTACTTGATCTAAAGTAGCATTAGTTATCATTATTATATTTCAAAGCTCCCGCACTTGCCACGAATCGGTTATTGAAAAATATATGTCTAGATTTCTTGGAAAATTTTTTGTTTTGGATGAAAAAATTTAAAATGTACCATGTTATAAGTCTAGTACAGGGCAACCTTTTTCGGATCGCGTGCCCAAATCGGCTAAATTTAACGGCAAAATTCTTCCGCGTCCCGACCATAATTAAAAACAATGCTTTGTTACTTTTAAAGCAAAAAAACACAATAATAAACCTTCTAAACATGTAAGCTACAGACAGATTCACTATTCGGGAAAATATCAGCCCGACAAATAGATTTGATTACTTTCCCTTTTCTATATAAGTGAGACTTCTGCTGCTGCATTACCGTTTATAGAGATTTACATTGTGATTATATTTTGTAACTTTCAAAGAAATGTACGAACTACTGGTTATATTTCTTCCAAAATAAATTTATTTCAGTAAGTTAGCAAGTTACTCTAACCAACATGAGCTGTACAACTTCATAAATCAATCAGAAATGAAGAAAAATGGTGACACAGACGAACTATATATTACGTAACAATGAACCTCCAATGAATGCTATGTGTCGTCACAATTCGTCAAGAGCTAACTCAGTTGTTACGTCATAATATATTTCTCTGTAGCCATATGTCATGGAAAGACAAAAATAGTTTAAAAAATTCTAAATGAATAACAGATTGTTAACAAACGAAAATAAATAAACAAACACCGAGTTTCATCAGATAAATCAGAGCCTCGAAACTTTTTATCTGAAAGAGAATGATCTCATTTCTGAGGCCTCGCTCGCCTACCGAATAAATGGGCTCGCGTGCCAAGTTTGGCACGCGTGCCAGGGGTTGCCCACCTCTGGTCTAGTATCTCAGCATTCTTTTTTATTTATTAAAAACCAACTGAAAGGTGATGCGACTTTGCTAGGAACAGCCTTTCCAAATACTTGAAATGAAAATGTGTATAAGTATGTTTTCCCGCCGACAGCTTTCCATATAAATATCGCACGGTCGCATGGATAGAATTATATCATGTTATGTGAACTTTTTATTTACACCAGCCGTTCAATTTTAAAACAGAATTACGGCGCTTTTGAGCCAGTTCAAACGTAGAAACTTATGATGGAACAAACAAGCCCAAATATAAAATTACAAAAAGTAAAGTTGTAAAGGAATGATGTATATGGAAATTAGTATGTGTTTATATTTTATTTAAAGCTGTATAGATTTGCATAACACCGCTTCCCGAAGGACCGATTCACGGATTATTGTTATGACTGCTGATATGTGGAATGAGCTATTTTTTGAGGGACAGGCGATCATAACATGTGTTAAGATTAAAATTAAATACATACTCGTATACATTGTCACACTACCTTCTTTAAAACCGGTCCGTTCTTTAATGACGCGTACATATCGGAATTTTGAAACACAAAAATACAATATCTAGTAATACCTCTAGTAAAACAGACATCGGGCATACATATTTTGGTGACCCTGACGTGTTCATGTCTCAAACAAAAGCATACTTCATGATGTCTACAAAGTGGCTACAAAATATGTATGTTTTTTTTTTTGTCATTGGGATGGTAGAGAAACCCAGCTTCACAATACAACAGGCGAAAATGACTTAACAGACCTGAATGTTTTGATGGTAAAGAAATCTAAGTAATAAACTGAAAACGAAGAAAAGAATTCCTTGTTACACACTGTTATCTACTTAAAACGCGAAAGAACTATACTGGCACAAAATGCTCAACCGTTAAAATGTATTAGATAGTTCAAGGATTAGAAATTGTACATCACGAAGTGATGTAAAGAAATAAAATGTTTAAAAACTTATACAGACGGTAATGCGCACTATTCATAGTCCAACATACGAATATAATGCGTAAAAGATTTCAATCATCAGCCATGATTCAATATGATGAAATTGTGACAATAAATAGGAATATTGTTTCAAACAGAACCAGAGGAATGCCCAAACGACTGTGGAGAACATTCTGAATGCAAAGACCCCAGTAAAGGATGCGAATGTGCTCCAGGTTGGACATATGGCGAGATTGATGAAGAGAGTTGTCCAAGTATGTGTTTAATTCGACGGTTCCATCACTATTCCACGAATATAATATGAATCAAGTATTTACCTCAAATCGTTAAACTAAATAAAATTTATGAATATTTTATGTACTCATAGAAAAACTATTTTGTATCAACTGACTTTGACTTCTTTGTCATGAAACTATTTAAGCATCAACATTCTTGCTGGAATTCACTAAACATCGTAATTTCGAATTCGAGTTTTTGGTGAGGCCAAATAAAATTCTCGGATTTCGATCCGAAATTAGTATTTATCAATCATATTTAACATGCTATAGCTATCGCAAAGTATAACGAGGCTAAATTTTTCTTCGTTGGAAGCGCGGTGAGTTCTTACTAGAGGGTTGAGCATATCAAATGAAATAGAAAACGTTGGGCAACTCGAAAAATGAAAATCTTTGATTTCATTAGATCAGGGGTGTGTAACCTTTTTTATTGGCGGGCCAAATACAAGTAACTGGGTGAAGCCGCGGGCCGCACCTTTATTTAATTTAGGCTTTCTGGTAGTTGCAAGCACAAAAATTGCCTATATTTGCTATTGATCTTACGGCATTATTAGAGGGTTCTTGTAGAAAAAGTAGATTTAGAACGCATAAACTTCTGAAGAAACTGCTATTTAAATTTTTTGTCACACCGACTTCAAACGAATGCAGTGAGAAACACGTTTTTGTAATATAAATCGTGTATTTTGCAACAGAATTTTGCTAGCTTGTTTTGCTAATATGACTGGTATGGGCTCTGCGACGAAAAAGAATAAATACTCGTTTTGCGGGTACACCATTCGAAATTGGTATTACTCCGCGGGCCGCACAACTTCTTCTTGCGGGCCGCATTTGGTCCGCGGGCCGCAGTTTGCGCACCCCTGCATTAGATTATAATATTTTTGACTTTCTTTCAGTTTTAAATATTTATACAAAATGAGTGCGGCACAAAAAATATTATAAAAATGTCTGCCCAGTTGTGCATACCGTGTGCTATGGACACTGGAAACCATTTATCTTTATACAGGCTGATACAACACCATAATAACGTAATATTTGACAATTTAGTCGAGCTCTTCTGCATTGTCATATGTACTTTGGACTAGCAGAGTGTCCCAATTTATATGTAGAGCCGAAGAATTTGTATCCCTCAAAACAAACTTTAATCTGCCTGTATCCCATTTCAAGTTGGATGTACATTGACTGTTGTTATTATATATTTATGCATATATCAGTCGTTCACTGTATTATATGAGTACACTGTACATATCACATTATTTTTGGTTGACTTATGATTCAAAATATGAATATTCAAATTAAACATTTATTACTATTTCAGACGATGTTGACGAATGTAAATACGTCTGGGCATGTTCGGATCCGACACTTTTATGTAAAAATACTCCAGGGTCGTATATGTGCTACTGTATAGATGGCTATCGTTATAGCGAAACTGAAAGGGACAAATGTGTACCAGGTGATTATTTTGTCACTTTTGTTACAGGAATTACTTTGCGCACGAAAAAGTGAATTACTTCCCACTGTTTTTATAATTCATTTAGAACGATGCCCTGAAGACATAGTTTCCTGTTCATCTGCCCCGTCGGACTTGTGCTTAAGTTCTGGCGAAGAAATAATCACTTTCCCGTCTACATTGTTTGGATATTCAAATATAAGCGACAACTCATGCCCTTCTGATACTGAGAATGGTCTGGGTTTTTTTTCTCATGACTTTAGATCCTTAAAATCCTCATACATTTAGACGCGTACATACTCATCCAAAGCAATTATATCAACATCAAATCATGAAGTTGTTAAACTACTAATTTAAGACGGATTTAGACATAATCATCCTGAGTATTTCCAGAATGAAAGTATTTTTCACCAAAAAATAGGATGCACTTTGACCTTGTGAAATTCTATTTTCTCTAAATATTCCAGTAGTGGATATTTGAAGTGTTTAAACTATCAATCAAATTTCTTATTTTCATAACAATATATTTTGTCATATGGCTGCCTGCCATTGGTAAAAACAAGTGGCTAAATAATATTCACAGAAGGTAAACCATATGGAACCAGATTATGTTCAATTGAAGGAAGTTGGGAGACGCCAATTTGGTTATCGTCATGTAACTTGGGAATTGAGGTAAATAAATGATTTTGCTTGCTGTTAGAAAATTTGACTTATGTAAACAATATTTTTATTATATAGAATTTGGGTTCCAAACCAATTGAAACTGAAGAAGACCGAATACAAACTTCTGACGACCTCGAAGTTTTAACTTCATCATCAGAAGAACTGGATTCCGCTGATATTGCTACCACCACTGAAATAATTGATAACGTCACAAACACGGAGAGTATACCAAGTTCAGTAAGATATTATAAAATTTTATCTACATAGTTGAGTGCAATGTCTGATGTCAGTGTCTGATGAATCGGGTAAATGAATAATCAAACAAAATTAACAACTCATAAGGTTAGGTAGGAAATTTTCAGACGCCGTCATAAAAATGTCGTTCATACAATTTTCAAGTTGACATATATACGCGTAAAATGGTGCATGGAACTTGCGTATAGACCGCGAATTTAGTTGGTTGGCCTCTTAACCAAACATATATCCAAATTCTGAATGAGTTATTGATATGTCTTGCGCCATAGAACTGTTTTCATATTTATACTCGTGTTTTTTTACCTAAGTTGTCATTTACAAATTTTTTAGGTAGCTACGTCTGTCGTTTCGACTATCAGCAATATTATGGAATCTCCAAGCTTAGAAGAAAGTCAGCAAACAGATGAGTATGCTTCAATAATATTGCTTCAAAAATAACAATCATGCAGCACTGAGTCTAATTGAATGGCAGAGTTAGCAACTAGGCTATTTACATGAATTGACACAGCTCAGCATTTCTGAAGCTGTACTCGCCAAAGATAACAGTGTTCCAAAAACTAAATTTCCGATCTAGTAATTTAATTAGATATTGAACCTTGGATGTCGCTGCTCGATAACTAGTTTCGTTTCCCCGGGGCCTCCCTTACCCTGTAAAAATGTGTGTTGAATTTTACATTTCTCAATTTCGTATGTTATTTTTTACTGAAGGGAAAAATAAACTTGACTATTATTATGACATTTAAATGATATTTATTTTCAATAACTAATTGGTACTCCCGAAGTATGTGAACTAAGATTGCGGACATCAGAACGTATTATGTGAACCTGGTTAGGGTTAGGCCATAATTTTATTCCAATTTTCCTTATTCTAGTTCTATTACGAGTTCGGGGATTAGCCAAGTGACTCCCTTAATATTTGTACCTGAAATTATGGCCTAACCCTAAGTACACATACTACGTTCCGGTGTCCGACATCTTGGTTCACATACTTCGGGAGTACCAACTAATTTTCAGATACGTAAAACATATTTTAATTTTTTTTACTAGATTACTCATGCAGCTTGACGACATTGCGTCAAAAGTGATACTAGATGAAGAAACAGAAGTTTTTACCACAACAAGCAATAATGTGTCTATGCTGGTTTATGAAGGTGATATTAACTAAACGTTTTGCGCCCTTTCATTTAGTGAGGGAGCACGGTATACCGATAGCCACGTTTCAGATGAATATAATAGTCTCGAAGAGACAAACTTAGCCAGCTCAAATCACACAATTGCATTAACGCAGAACATCTTGAAGTTATAATTGCTTGATTTAGGTTTCAATAAGAATAAGATGGACAATATGCAGCTAACTTAAAGATATGCATTTAAAAATTAAATATGTCATTTTTTTTCGAAAAAATCATTCTTTTTCTATTTTAAAGCATTTGCTCCAACTATGTACAATAAGAATAAACGTGCATTATTTACATGCATTTTCATCATTAAAGCTTACGTTTTGTTGCTTAGGCTTTCCCAAGTACCAATAAATTGACCGAGTATTAAAGTATAGCCATCAATCCCTCTTTTCTTATTTTGCAAAGTACCTACAAATGTACCAACTATGGTGCCTACCGGTCCCAATTTACCATTTGAAATATAACTAATAAACTCGAGTGTTTTCCTTTACACCTGAATGAAGTCCATTTATACATCTCAAATAAAAATTCTAAACGCAGATGTCTTAAATTCAGCTTTCGTTCATGAAATATACATTTTCCAGTGAATACGCAAGCTGTGACAGGAGTCGGAGTTGCAGTCTTGGTTCGACCAGACAGTTCTAAACTGGGGTTTCGTGCAGATCAAATAGTCACCATATATGAATCTTTGACAGCCGGTGGCATAATAGACAATAATGTCATCGAAGCTACAATATATGTTCCACACGCTGCCTTTAAAAGTATGTGAATTGATTTTTAAACGGTATATCGATTAATGAAATGAATATAAAAACACTGTGGTTATCTTTTTTTCATTATCTGTATACCATTTTAAGTACACTGCGGAACAACTCTTAAATGTCTTTTGGTAGATTCGAGAGTTGCTATTTATGTTTTTGGAAATAACAACTTGTTTCCGCGAAATACGGTGCAAGCCAAGACTGGCCAGGAAAGAAGGACAAGTCAAGAATCAGCACCACCAAACGCAATAGTTAATAGCATTATTTTGTCAGCTACTGTTGACGGTGTCAACGTTTCAAATTTAACCAAAGATAATCAACTAACGTTTTCGGTAAGCTTGTATATTCCTACGATTGGCTACATGGTTTTTTTCGTAATATAATATGCGTTTGATTTCAGACTCCGTCAGATTTCGAGGCAATAAAAGGAACTCCATTTTGTGCTTACTGGGATGAAACCCTAGAAGATTGGTTTACTGATGGATGTACCGTCAACCATAGTAAATCGACGGACGTATCTATAGCCTGTGAATGCGATCATTTGACCAATTTTGCAACATTATTTGTAAGTTTTCTTTATTTTTTATCAATTGTTCGATATCCCATGCCATGCAACGCATATGTCACCGATCAAGAACTGATATAAAAGTCACAATATTTATTGCCGTTTAACTGAAATAAGGTCTAGCAGAGACTCATATTTTTTCAGAAGCTTTCGTAGCATGTTCCGCAAATGTGCATGTAGTCAGTGACCCATCCGTCGAATTTGAAATGGATCAATCTCCAACAACTTCCTTTTAACGATTATCATCATAAAACGGAATGGCCCTAAAATATTGGTCTTGTACACTTATCTCTTTTATGAGCCATTGGAATTATACAGAATATTGATTTGACCCGATTCAATCAGCGTTGGAGCCTTTGAAATCTGCAAATATTCCAAAACCTAAAACTAAAAGCTTTATGTATAACTGTAGACGGGAAAATTTGTTGTTATTATATATTGCTTATAGTTGGTGCCCATTTTCCCAAGTTATAATTGTGTTATCTAAAGTCTTGCTTTCACGTAATATTTTATTAATTTTCAGGATATCACGGGCACGACTGTAACACAATACGGACTAGATATTGTCACTATCGTAGGGTGCTCTTTATCATCAGTTGCTTTGATTCTCCTAATACTAACTTTTGTTTTCATACCGTAAGTTCATGAATTATTTTGGTACATTATTGAGTTTAATCGCAGTTTTGAAAAAATAATCTTATCTTATTACATATCGTCACGCTAATAACCGAGTTGCGTAAGTCATTTTTGGCGATTTTGAGTTTTTTTTTTATAAAATAGGTATTTATGTAATGCTGCGCACCTGTCTGTTAACTCAGATTTTATTTTAAACCCATAAACCCTTTTTATCGAAACCCATAAAAATGGAGATTTATTATGACATGCATATTTGTGCAATTGTTTGGTCATAATGAATTATCATTGTTACAGCAGGACTACTGTGACGTCACAAAGGCAAAATAACCTTGGCGACGTATTTTTGAGTTTTATCATCTCGGATTCTAGCTTAGCGCGTATTAATTTAAATTTATACTACAGTATAGGAAGGCGTGCACTTGTAATATTCACTGTCCGAGTCCAATTCACCTTGGTTGACTTTTATATTGGGTGCATTGCTGTTTTATTCTTTATTGGACACGTTTAGTGGACATCCTTTTTTAAAAATCGCTTTTCTCTTCGAATACTGGACCAATTGCTTTGAAATTTTCAGTGGGTAAAGATAAAATTTTTCTCCAGAAGGCTATTACTTTTTTTTCGCTATGACGTCATTAAAATTATTGCCATTGGGTGGCGCTACGTGTCCATAAATTTGAGCATAGCTCTCTTGTATTTAATCCTAATCTTATTTCGGTGGGTGTGCAGAACGTGTTATATTAATGAAATATATATTTTTAAACATAAAAAATAATGTAATTGAAACTGATTAGCTATTTTTGGGATTATACATTGTAGATACTGAGAATTACATTCGTTTTTGGAATGTTAAGTTTTCAGGACTGGTGCATATAGTAAAGTTGCAAAATTGCGTATGTCCCCAAGTCATACCACATTTCTGCCTAAGTCACAGTGCGCCATTATGACGTCACGTAACTGCGTAATACAAATAAACTTAAATACGGCTACGATCAAAAAATTGAACCATGGCAAATTATTGACTCTCAATGGCATAACAATATCATTAGGAAGTTTTTTACGTTTTTCTTAGCGTTACGATATTTAGACCGGGGGAGAGAAAAGCCAATAGCACGACTGATTCATATGGCGAACCACGGCCTCTTGTCCGGTTACCAATCCATGTCGGTTATGGGATTGGTTAGCCAGGTATTTGTTTCAGATGCATGGACTTGATAGTGGAGGAAACCGCAACCGACTAGCGGTTACGTGAACCACATTACGACGGCGAAGCGTCAAGCAACCAATCGTCTTGCACATAATTATTGGAGAGGTATTTATTTTATTAACGTGTAAGATAAAACCTGACTTCGAATAGTTTACAATCATTATGTTTATTTATTAAAAGCAGTGTTTGTTTCATATTTTCTAGTAAAACCAGAACGGGAAGGAAATTCTTGCCAGCCTATTTATTGTTAAGTCTGTCTCTCGCGTTGTTGGGATTGAACATAACGTTGCTTGTGAGCGAGATGTCATTTGTTTCATCGCCAGAAAATGCTTCTTCATGCACTGCGATAGCAGTTTTTTTGCATTTGTTTTTACTGGGATCGTGCTGTTGGATGAACTGTGAAGCTGTAATTCTTTGGATAAATATAGTAAAGGTAAATAAATTGTGATCTTCCAATTATGATAATAATGTAGCTCAGGCTGCTTTGAACATCATTTTTGATCTCTTATTGTTTCTTATATCTGAAAAATGATAGCTCAGGCGAATGAACTGATTTAATCAATCGTGCACCATCGTTTTATATTTCAGCCCATTTACGCAAGAAGTCGAATGAAATACAAAAAAGCCGCTTTGTTTGCGACTTTATATGCTTGGATGTTTCCTATACTTTTTGTTGGAATTGTATTAGCTGTTGATAAGTCTGTATATGATCGACCATATGAGGAAGGGAAAGAAGTAACGTAAGTACTAAAATCTACGATGTAAAAAGTAATATAAATAATTAGAAACAGTCCTGAAAAATGTTATGATAATCTACCTTAAAATTTGTATCTATCGCATGTATCGACAAGGGAATCTCCTAGACAGTCACCCGAGATCTTATTATAAGTGCCTTTATTTCCAGTACAATTACGCGCTAAGTTTGATGAAATTCAAAATGATTCTTTGCATGTAATAAGTAAAGTCACTTTTCACTTTTCCGTGAGCTGAGTTTGTACAGATATTCTGGTGAGTTACGTAGCTTCACATCCTAATGCAGTTTAGCGCCATACCAACAGAACAATTCTCGACGTCAGTACAAATTTGAGCAATTATAATAAGAGATAAAGGTACCATTTATCATAAAATGTCAATCTCAACTTCAACAGAAACATGTTTCGTTGCTTAATTGCTATTTACTCAGAATAGAACTCGCTTACAACTGAACTCCTTTTATGGCGAACAGCGCAAACTAAAACAGTGATTATAAGTTTATAACAAACGTCTACAAGTTAGCGCATCTATGCAACGACTGCTGAGTCAGACGGATAGATGAGATGGCCGCAACAATTAGGATTTGGCTCGCTACTCATCATTATAGTAATCACATTGCGTCACAAAAATCAACACCAACAAGTCACCCGGTTAATTTAATCAATTAATCAATTCATCAATTAATTTCATTCAGACTTTAGACTGGACATTGCAGGGTTTCCTATCATTTTTTTTAAAAAATAGGCTGCCACCCGGATGGTGAATGTGATACTTGCTCTGTACAAGAAACATTTTTTACATTCAATTCAATGTTTTGTGAAAACTAAACCAAAATAAAATTTTATCTCTGTACAATTAACCGGTTAAAACTTTTACTTTTGTTGAAAAGGTGCTGGATAAAGACAGATATGGTCCTATACCTGACCGTAATACCGTTGTCTATTTTGATTTCTTTCAACGTGATTGTCTATGTCATTTTGACATTCAAAATGAGCAGGAATCACACAAAAACATGGGTATGAATCTTTATCCTCTAGGTTGTGATTAAATCACTTTATTTCAGCTATTTATACAATACATTTTCATTTAGGGTCGCAATTGGAAAATATTAAGAAAGTCACAAAAGAAAAATATCATTGTCAATGTCTGTCTTGCCATTACCCTAGGGTTAACTTGGGTATTTGGTTTTTTTGTATCAGCTCTAAGTTTTAGTGACACCGCCGTTATCGTATTTGCCTATATTTTCACTATCTTGAATTCTCTGCAAGGTATGTAATACTTGATTTATATACACTATACACTTGATGTTAATAATTTTAATTGACGTGTGATTTTTTTGATCAAGGTACATTTCTTTTCTGTCTTTACATTGTGAGGAGTAAAGACATAAGAAAAACAATTGCCTCAGAATTTTATAGACTTTCACAACCAATATTTTCGGACAAAACAAAGCTTTCCACTGATAGAACAAGGTAGGTGAACAGAAACTTGGATTCCGAATTCCAACAGTAGTTAATGTGATTTTGTAGATATGTTGGGACCTGACATATGCATTATTCCTACTGACTTATAATCTAAATTATTTTACTTTTACCTATTAACAAAGTTGAATAATCAGCATTCTTTATGTTATATGTACCCGGCGATGTAGCGCATCGCCCTAAGGCTTAGGGCCTAAGCGTTAGGAATACGCTTGCCACCATACCCATGATACCCCCGTTGGTTCGCAGGTTTGAATCGCAATTGCTGGACTCATCGGCGTAGAGTTCATGTGACAGCTGGCCGGTTACGGCTTCTTCCACCACGAAGTCCATGCATTTGAAATAAATAACTGACTACCTAATCCCATACCCGACATAGAATGGTAACCGAACGAAAGGCCGGTGTTCTCCACATGATTAATCCGCTTATCGACTGAACACCCTCCCCGGGATAAATATGTATATATATATATAATATACTATTCTATCCTACAATCTAAGGCGAGACGAAGAATTGCAGGAAAACCCGTATTCCACGAGCAATGATCTCAGTTCAAACCAGGAACAGTCTACACAAACTCACGAGACAAAACCAAGGCTGAGAAGGATATTTCAAGGCACGGAAAATGAAGGATACTCCGCCTACTGCTGAAACGTTTGGGAAAAGCTTTAATTGCAATCGTTCCTCGTTAAAATCTGCCATTAATTGACTTGAGTGGATATTTAGGTGTTTCAATTCTATAACTTCAAATATCCAAAGGTTTCACTGCTACAACACTAAATTGCATTTACAAGATTTTTTGCCACAATTAATACATTACCCCTACCATAATAAATATAGAAACACCATTATTGATATGATTATAGATTTCGAACGATATGTACAGAATACGATCAAAACTCTTAATGCTTAACTTTCCTCGAAAAGGTATTAAGCAGTAAATATATATTCTTTCAATTAAACAGTGAATAAATATTAAACACGAACATAATATCGTGACTTCACGTCATCAACAGCTTCTTACTTACTACAATCAATAATAAACATTTGGGTAAATCGTACTGAATAGAACGTATATATATTAATTACATTTCTATCTGTGGGATAATAATCTGAGAACGAGAAATTTAATTTGAATGAGGGTAATTTTGGGGTTCTTGATTATGATTTCACTAAATTTATTCCGAGAGTGAAGTGAATTGAAACTTCCAACAAAATACGAAGGTGTGAAAACAGCTTCAAAAAACTTTTAATAAATGGACTTATTTATATTCTATTTAGTAATGTTATTTTAAATTATTTTCATTTGTCCAACAATAAACAGCTATGAGTTGTGTGCGTTGAAACTTACGGTGTCAATTTATGAGCAGAGGCAGTGCAAAAAAGCTCTCAAATCACCAAATACGAGAAATTAGCTTTGGCGCTGCTGTCAGGAATAGTCTAGGAGAATAATTATTTTCAGCGATTAGGTGTAGAATCAGCCCAGAATCTCATGTTCTTAGTTTTCGGTAGGTTTAAAGAAGTTGTGAATCAAATATCTTAATAATTGTCAATTCAGTGGCGGCGCGTCAATAGGGCCAACCGGGGCAATGCCCCGGTTGTTTTTTCGGTATAATAAAAAATATTCGAAAAATACCTCAATATCGGTTGCACAGACTGTCTACACTAGCCATATTCTTCCGACATGGTTCATTTTTCGCTCGCAAAGCCTTCGCCGAACGTCGACGGGGCGACGCCGATTTTGCCCCGGTTGCTCATTGTATATCGTATTCTCTCTTTTATCTTCCACTCGCCGCGTTTGTCTCGTTTGTTTTCTGTTTCTTTTACTAAATCATCGGGGCTAGCCCCGAAATTATGACGACACAATGCCGACGTTTCTTACAACAACGTGTTGACATATTCACGCATTCCTTCTCGTTCGTTGGTTGCTTGAAGAGTTGATAGTTTCCTCGCCTTCGTTTTTGTCGCTTGTTTCGCTATTTGAATCAGTTAGAGACCTTTAGTCCATTTGCTTTCGATTTTCCACATTCCTTTTGAGCTCCTCACTTCTTTCCGGCTTCGCATTTCTTAGCCTTAGACCTCATAATGAATAAGGTTGATGCACTACTTCGCACTCCGTTTTCGCAGCTGCCGCTGGAACAAAAATTCGAGGTACAACGTCTTGGGCCTTATCAACTAAAAAATTGTTCACTGGAACAATCCCATGACGGAGGAAAGCGTCGGCGTACATTCTGCGCAGAAACTTGGTATAAAAAACACGAATGGTTGTGTTACAGCGAGGACAAAAATGCACTTTTTTGTTTTCATTGCCTACTTTTGCTACCGCCCGTGACTCACGTTTGTGTAAATTTGGTCTTTCCGAGCGTGCCAGGGATCATCAATCTTCTATGGAGCATCTGGACAATGCAGTAAGATACCGAACATTCGGAAATGTTAATATTGCAGCACAGTTGGATGAAGGACGCGCGGTTTCTATTCGTCGGCACAACCAAAACGTCGAGAAAAACCGCCATGTTCTCGGTCGATTGATAGATGTTTTGAAGTTCATTGGTTGTCACGAGCTGTCCCTCCGTGGGCACGATGAACGGGCTGGCTCTTCTAATAGAGGGGTATTTTTGGATATGGTGGAATACACCGCATCCCCAGATACAGTATTGAGAGATCATCTTGATGCCGCAACTGTTTCGAAAGGGACATCTAAGGATATCCAAAATGATTTGCTCGACTCAATGTATAAAATTTATTTACAACATCTGGCTCTGGAAATTGAGAATTGCCAGTTCCTTTCGATTCAGTCTGACGAGACAACTGACATCACGTGCGTTTCCCAACTGGCTGTGATTTTTCGGTTTGTGAAAGATGGTAAACCTACCGAGAGATTTCACAGCTTTGTACCAATCGTTGATCGCACGGCTTGCGGGATATCGGCTGTACTGAAAGAAGTGTTACAGCCTTACAACGCGAAGTCAAAATTGATAGCTCAAACTTATGACGGCGCGGCAGTCATGAGTGGGTCGAAACATGGTGTTCAAGTTTATATAAAAGAAGATTTTCCTCATGCGCATTTTTTACATTGTTATGCACACCAATTTAACCTCGTTATTAAAAATATGTGGCTTGATACCCCTCTCGTCCGTATATTTTTTGCAAATGTTTCGGGGTTTTCTTCATTTTTTCCGTTTCGCCGAAGCGCTCTGACCTCCTTCGCCAGATATGTAGCCGCCGTCTCCCAGCTTGTGCACCAACACGTTGGAACTTCCAATCACGCGTGGTGCAGGGCGTGTCCAAAATTAGGTCTGAGCTCATTGAGTGTTTCAATGGCATTCAGAGCTCTCCGGTTTGGGACGAACGCTCTGTGAGGTAGGCGGCAGGTCTAAAGCGTCTGCTAGAAGATGGTGAGTTTTCATTTTTTCTCGCTTTTTTCTCCACAATATTCTATCACGTGGATGTATTATACGGCGCATTGCAGTCAAGGCTAATGGATGGAGCGTCTGTGCAGTCGTGTATTTCAGACTTCTGCGATGCTGTATCTCGTATCCGGGAAACAATAAAATACGACGACACATGGAGTGCTTCTTTACGCCGCGGGCAAACAACGCAGCGTTTGATTTTATCTGCAAAGGAATGCTGTGACATTCTGGTGAATCAAATAGGCGATCGTCTGCGCACTGAACACCTTGCCGCGTTCTCTTTGATCAACCCCAAAATTTTTTCAAAATTTGCACGTCAATTTCGCATCCATTTGTTGGCTACTGTCTCCAAATTTTACCCCATGATAAACGTGGGTAAATTGGAAAATGAATTGCGATGTATATACACAAATTAAGCGTATTAAAACGTATCTCAGAAACACAATGAAGCAAGATAGATTAAATTCCTTGTCTGTTTTATCTATTCACAGAGACGTTATTTCTGGGATGCATGACTTTAATCAGCGCGTTATTGAGCATTTTGCTTCCAAGAAACCGCGACGTGTTGCATATATGTTCAAGCAGTAGAAGTCTAGCAGCATATATATCTATGAGTGAGCGACGCATGTCCTTATCTTTGCATTACCTTTCCTTTCTTCATAGTAACGTTTTAAACCTTATTTTAGGTTTTGTCTGCTTTCTCGAAGTTTCTGTTAATATGTCATTGTATTTATCTGGGTAAATATTGCCTTTCATTTTGAAAGAGGTTTCAAAATAAACTATGTCTATATTTATTAATCCCTTGACTTGGACCGGTTTTAAAGACACTTTCTTATCGTTAAAAATTGTCGCTTTTGCCGATTGGTTGTTACCGATGGAATGGTTTTTATACTCAAAAAATGATGGGAGAACTTACAGCGCTCATCCTGTCCCCGTAGATGGGGTTGACTTGATCCCGCAGGAGCTTGCCCCGGTTGTCAAAATGACCACGCGCCGCCACTGATTGACATAATGTTGTCACTGATCTAAACTATGCTATCAGTGCATGTTAGTGGCACATGGTTGATTAATTTTAATAAAAATGAGGGTTTCAAACACGTAAATGAGCTTATAAGCGCCAACACATCTCAACACTCAAAATAGGTATAATTTTTTTGCAGTATTTAAGTATAGGAATAATTGTTCTGGGGTCAAGAGTCGGAGAAAAGGCCTATATGGACTAGTCCAGTCTTTAGAGATTACCCTCACCTGCTATTGTCTGCGAACAAATCGAGATGAGCATGTTTTCGTCCATCTTGCGAATTAGGTCACAAAGAATGTAGTGCCACATTATAAAATACTCCCATAGCGCGTGTTTTGAACCATTGTTCCCCACGCCAAAAGGGGCTTTTCCGGTGGTACGCGGCCAGAGTAAAAAAAACAGCAAAGTGGTACACGGTCAGTAAAAAGTTGAGAACCACTGTATTAGGGAATAGCAATTTTAGATTTGCGAAAGAGCCCAATTGCTTCACATGTTACATAGTACATGTTTTAAATCGAGTTTCCATCCATGAAATATAACACATTTTTTCAGCCACGACACGAACAGTAGCGGGAGTTGGTGTTGCAGTCTTGGTTCGACCAGACAGTTCTAAACTGGTGTTTCATGAAGATCAAATAGTCACTACATATCAGGGGTGGCCACCTGCTTTCGACCGCGGTCGACTAAAATCGTCAAAATAGCTCGCGATCGACTGATCGGCAATAAGGTTATATACAAAAACAAATGAGTACTGTAATATGCATAGATAACTGCACACACATAAACAAAAAATTGTTAATTTGATTATGTAATTGTACCCGAAGTAAATGTTTCATCATTCACGTTCCTTTGAGTCCGATTCTTCGCTCGCTTGGAATTACATAAAATTCGGAACTCAGATGCCACTGCTATCGTTGCGAATAAAATATATCACACCACTCTTGGAGCGAGACATTAACTTTCGTAAACAGCCGAAGTTATTATAGCTTGTTATAAAGTTGGATTAGCTTGTCAGTCAGGACGCACGATATTCATTTCTAAACCTTGGCAGCGGCTAAACTTGCATTTGTTACGTAATAATATGCTCTATTGGTCTTGTCGAGACTCAAATACTATATGTGTATTTGAGTTGGGTTGCGCGAGACTAACTTCCTATCTTTTCCCTATGCCTTTATGCTAGTGGATCCGTATGCGTATACTGCAAGGATACTGTAGCTGGAATAAACATGACTATTCTATTCAATTAAAGAGTCCAGCTGCACACTAACACAAATGTATTTCTGTAACGTTTCGTCCGACCAGAGTCAGACTTCCTCAGACAAGCAGTTTACAACAATGGCAAGAAAGAAAATTTGCTAAATGAATTTGAAATATCAAATCAAGTATGACGTAACAATGCATAAACATTTAATTTGCATTTAGCCGTAGAAGTAATGATTAGGAAGATTAGAACCACAAATATCAGTGGAGCTCATTTCAGATGTAATTGAAAAAAATAAAATAAAAAAGGGTTTTATTATTGCATTTACGAAAATGATGGGTAACTAAATGTAATTGAAATTATGGGCACTTAGAGAACCACGAGGAAGTAAATCAACATTTAAACATAAATCAAGGCTTAGTCTGGTGAGGACCAATTTCAAAATTAAAAAAGGTTAAAAGTTATTGCTGAATTTTGATCTTAAATAGCGTTAAAATATAATATTAATTCATAATAATAAATGAATAAATTACCCATCTAGCATATTTCGAGTAGGACAAAAGAAAATAAATAAAAAATTTTATCGCAAGCACATAGCTCCAAGGTTTCGAATTATAATTAAAATTAAACTTGGGACACTTGAAAATAGTAAAATAAAACGCCAATCAAGGGGCGAGTAATAATATAAACTTAAGAAAAAGAGTGATTGTTAAATTTAAATATTATATGACGTTGGAATGAAAATTATTATTAAATAATAATTCTTAGATGAGTCTACAGTCTATTTCTCCCGTGAATTGAGTCCTTTTGGTTCCAATGTTCCGAATTTGTTGATGTAGTATGCTTCTACTGTTTGTCGATAGCCCTGGTCTCTGAATAGTTTTTTTATTCCAGTTACTGAAAAGTCACTTATTGAATGTCCCAGTTTGTTGAAGTGTTCTCCCACTACTAAATCATATTTCCTTTTCGTAATACTTCTCAGATGTTCTGTTATACGATATTTTAACGACCTTCCGGTCTCGCCGATATACTGCATCCCACATTTCTTACAGTTTATTAGATAAATAACATTATTTGATTTACAACTTATCCTTTCGTTAATGTTTATATGGACTCCCGTCACGTTCCCGGTACTTATTTTGTTTCTTCGGAATATTTACAGGTGGTGCATGCTTTTCTATTACATTTATAAAAACCAGATTGTACTTTCTGTGATATTACTGGTTGTAGTTTTAGCTCTAACCAGTCTATCGCGTAATGTAGGGCACTTTCTATATGCAATTTTCGGAGGTTGAGGGAAAATCTCTTTAGTCGTGCATTGTTGTCAAGAATATATTGGTAGTCCGAAATATTTTTCTAAAGTGCGGTTGGTTTGGGTGGTAGTTGGTAATAAATGGCAATAGTTGCTGACCTTGTTTTGTACTTTTCGGTGTTAAAAGGTAATCTCTGTTCATTTCTTTTACCAATTTTATTGTTTTGTCAATAGAAGTCTCTTCGTAATTTCGTTGCATGAGATAGCGTTTCATAATTCCTGCATGCTTGTCAAAAAATTCGACATTTGAGCACGATCTTCTTATTCTTATGAAGAGTCCCTTTGGAATGTTTGCAGTAATATGTTTGGGGTGGCATGAGGAGGGTAAAAGATATTGGTGAGAGTCCGTGTCTTTAGTGTAAATTTCCGTTTCCAATTTGTTGTCTATGATATGGACTTTTACGTCTAAAAATGTAATGTTTTCCGTTGAGTATTCGAATGTGAACTTGATAGAAGGGTGTATTGAATTCGCATGGTTTATAAAAGATATAAGCTCGGTTTCGCCGTGTGTCCAGATCAGAAAACAGTCATCGATGTATCTATAGTAGTATTGTGGCCTAATCTTCGCTGTTTCTAGAATCTCAGACTCTAAGTATGCCATAAATATGTTTGCATATTTGGGGAGCCATCTTAGTTCCCATCGCTGTCCCATTGATTTGGAGATAATGCTTTCCGTCAAATAAAAAATTATTATTATCAAGAACCATATTAACTGCTTCTTTAATATATGGAATTTCCCGTTTTTCTGTGGTATATTTACTGAGATACTTCTCCACCGCTAAGATGCCATCTTTATGTGGAATATTTGTATACAAGGAAGTCACGTCCATGGTTACTAAATAAGATCCTGGCGGAATATTGTCAATTTTTTTCAGAATATTCAGAAATCCATACTGTCTCTGACATATGATGGTATAACCTCTTTGCACATGAGGTTAGTTAATTTGTAATCTATGAAAGCTGATAATTTTTCCGTTGCAGTTCCGTTTGTTGATATGATTGGCCGACTGGGGTGATTTTTCTTATGCACTTTTGGTTGTAAACGTAAACGACCTGGTTTAGGTCTTTTTGGAGTTATCCCTTTGAGTAGTATGTCATCAATAATGCCGGCTTCCCTCATATTATGACATAATTTGGTTACTTTGTTGCCAATTTGTATAGATATGTCTTTTGGAATGCACTTGTATACCAAGTTATCCGATAGATGCCGCATACCTTCTGTGATGTAGTCAGTTCGGGAGAGTATGCAAGTTCCCCCGCCTTTATCCGCAGGTACTGTGATGATATCCCTTGCTGCTCTTTGTTCTAGTTCCCTCAAGGCCTCGACTTCGTCTTTTTTGAGATTGGAAAATGTACGTTTCTTTGATGTCGTTTTCTGGATTTCCCGTTTTAGAGTGTTAGCGAAGTGATCTAAGTCAGAATTTCTCCCAGTAGGCGGTGTCCATCTACTTGGAACACGTAAGGATTTCGGATATGTTTCAGCTACTTCGCTGATGGTTTGACTGGAGAATGGATCAAAAAAGTATTCTCTCAAGCGGTAGTTGCGAATAGTTTTATTAATGTCTGTTTGCAGTTGAAAGTTATCGAATCTGTCGGGAGTAGGACTAAAGCCAAGGCCTTTTTTTAGGACTTTTTGTTGTGACTCAGTTAGATGGACATTGGACAGATTGTACAAAGTTGAGGTCACTGTCGCGATCTCTCCTTTTCTTTTGTTTGTTTTGTTTTGTTTTGTTTGTTTTGTTTGTTTGTCAAATGTCGAATTTTTTGACAAGCATGCAGGAATTATGAAACGCTATCTCATGCAACGAAATTACGAAGAGACTTCTATTGACAAAACAATAAAATTGGTAAAAGAAATGAACAGAGATTACCTTTTAACACCGAAAAGTACAAAACAAGGTCAGCAACTATTGCCATTTATTACCAACTACCACCCAAACCAACCGCACTTTAGAAAAATATTCTCGGACTACCAATATATTCTTGACAACAATGCACGACTAAAAGAGATTTTCCCTCAACCTCCGAAAATTGCATATAGAAAGTGCCCTACATTACGCGATAGACTGGTTAGAGCTAAACTACAACCAGTAATATCACAGAAAGTACAATCTGGTTTTTATAAATGTAATAGAAAAGCATGCACCACCTGTAAATATTCCGAAGAAACAAAAATAAGTACCGGGAACGTGACGGGAGTCCATATAAACATTAACGAAAGGATAAGTTGTAAATCAAATAATGTTATTTATCTAATAAACTGTAAGAAATGTGGGATGCAGTATATCGGCGAGACCGGAAGGTCGTTAAAATATCGTATAACAGAACATCTGAGAAGTATTACGAAAAGGAAATATGATTTAGTAGTGGGAGAACACTTCAACAAACTGGGACATTCAATAAGTGACTTTTCAGTAACTGGAATAAAAAAACTATTCAGAGACCAGGGCTATCGACAAACAGTAGAAGCATACTACATCAACAAATTCGGAACATTGGAACCAAAAGGACTCAATTCACGGGAGAAATAGGACTGTAGACTCATCTAAGAATTATTATTTAATAATAATTTTCATTTCCAACGTCATATAATATTTAAATTTAACAATCACTCTTTTTCTTAAGTTTATATTATTACTCGCCCCTGATTGGCGTTTTATTTTACTATTTTCAAGTGTCCAAGTTTAATTTTAATTATAATTCGAAACCTTGGAGCTATGTGCTTGCGATAAAATTTTTTATTTATTTTCTTTTGTCCTACTCGAAATATGCTAGATGGGTAATTTATTCATTTATTATTATGAATTAATATTATATTTTAACGCTATTTAAGATCAAAATTCAGCAATAACTTTTTAACCTTTTTTTAATTTTGAAATTGGTCCTCACCAGACTAAGCCTTGATTTATGTTTAAATGTTGATTTACTTCCTCGTGGTTCTCTAAGTGCCCATAATTTCAATTACATTTAGTTACCATCATTTTCGTAAATGCAATAATAAAACCCTTTTTTTATTTTATTTTTTTCAATTACATCTGAAATGAGCTCCACTGATATTTGTGGTTCTAATCTTCCTAATCATTACTTCTACGGCTAAATGCAAATTAAATGTTTATGCATTGTTACGTCATACTTGATTTGATATTTCAAATTCATTTAGCAAATTTTCTTTTCTTGCCATTGTTGTAAACTGCTTGTCTGAGGAAGTCTGACTCTGGTCGGACGAAACGTTACAGAAATACATTTGTGTTAGTGTGCAGCTGGACTCTTTAATTGAATACTATATGTGTATATCGTGTTTTGCGCATGCACAGTACTGTATTATGCCTGTTTTGAAACACGCAACAGGCGCTGTATGGAACTGGTTCAAGGCAATTTTTTGAGGTATTATAATAAATTTACGCAACATCAGACGCGATCGACGTGTTGGCCACCCCTGCATAAGCAGAGCTCCATTTTAGGCTTTACCAAAGTAAATAAATTTTACATATATATCACACAACCCAATGGTTGCATTACGGGTATTTCTGGAATATTGAATGAGGAGGCCACGGGTTCTGTAATCCTCCGGGAGGGAGGCCACGAGCGATAAAAGATTGGATTTAACGTGGAACAAATGAAAACACACACATAGGCATTTAGTTCAACGAACACTCTAACGAATCTTGTCACTCAATAGTTCTGATGGTGTGATAAAAAGCCAGTTGTGCATTGGGTTCTACTTTGTCAGTGCAGTATTGGGACATCACGCTATAAACGACATATTTAAGCCGTATTTTTTAGCCAGGAAGAGTAAAAATGCATATCAGATGCTGTTTGTCGCAAACTTTGCTCGGAGTTGAGGATTGATAAACATTATATTGACGAATACGAATAATCGTTTTTGTTTAGGCTTGATTAATTAAATCAAAATTTATATTATATATTTGTACCATTTGTATATAACGTCACTTTTGAATGAGTATCCGAACTAGTTACAAAGTGAAGTCAACGTCCAAGCTACATTAAAAAATTGACATGCGACCAAGACATCGGTCATAGCATCACCAAACGTTTCAACAAAGGCTCCATTTAGAGCGACAACAAAGGAACCCGTCAATCCACTGCAAATACTCACTCTACTAAACCTTCAACTAAAGCCCACAACAAAACAACCTTCGGCGTTATGACTTTCCCTATAACAACTAAAAACTTTGTAACGACCACTCCATCCCTGGAAACATCAAACATATTATGCCCATATACATGGTCTTGATGCTGGGACTAACCATAACCTGGTTAGGTGCACTACCCTGAACAGACAATGAGCTCAGTAAATCCCACATAGAATAATGAAAAATTTTGTTACGTTGAGCGTGCACAATGTTACAACTCTCCACCAAAATATTTGAAAACAAAAAAAAATAAGGACAAAATATTTTTAATTACAGAATGAACAAATAAAGTTTAACTTCGGAAGCACCAGTCGTAATCTCACCCATTTATAGGTGGGAGGTCAGCCTGTAAAAAAGTGAGAAAATACGAAAATAGTGATTACGTTCTGTCAAATATCCATAATTGAACAAGGGCCGTTAAATTATGCCATAAATAATAGGATTCATGGGTCTCTATGTGAACACCCTAAACTAAATTAGTTCAATGGACCAGTCAACTATTAACTCTCGTCTAGGGCATTTCAAAAATTGGGTTATAATGCTGACTCTTACTTGAGAGCTAAACTCATGTCTTTATAACTTGTTTTATATAAGTAAGTACCTTAACTTTCAAAAGTTTACTTTTAATATTCTTCGATATGTCATAAAAACAACAGTAACAATACTTCAAATAGTTACAAGACTCTCACTAAAATTTATCTCTTTCATATCAGAAATATGATTTAATCGATTATGGGTGATGTTAATGATATTATAGGATTTCTATAGAGTTCTTTATATTGTCATAACTTCATCTTTATTATCTACGTATTTATATTACTGTATTTCTTTTTTGTAACTTAAAATTTGACTTATGCATCCTAGCTGCAACCCTATTCTCGTTAAAATGGACGATGGCAATGAAATGTTTTTTGTCTCGCAAGGACACATATGCCCTTAAAATATAAAAAAGATTAGGTAAATTAAATATATTTATGTTATGTGTTAGCAAATTTCATCTCAAACGAAATATATTACATCTACTATAAAAGCTGATAAAATTTTTCCAATATTTTCATAGAGAAGACGTTTGAATAATAGTATTTCCTTGTTTTTTTTCGATGATTTTGTGAATATAATGCAATAAAATACAAAGAAAAACACATTGTTGCATTGAGTATTTGCAAATATAGTTTTAATTTAAGCAGGGCTCTAAGTTTTGAAATTAAAGTTATTACCTCTTTCCTGTCATGATTTGTGTTATAATATAAATATTGCATTGGTTACAATGAATGAATAATAGAGGTGTAACTCCGATGGGGCTTTGAGATGGGATTTAGGTTCAGGCATTCAGATTTGTCTCGACTTTCGGACCATGTTCGTGCTTTATAACGCTTTTTGGGAAATCTTTGACTCAATAAACCGTATGACGTATATATATATGCTTTTGCCCTCAGTCGGACGTTTGTATTTCAACGTGAGACTAGGAGGCACATATAACGCGAAAGCTTAGAATTTGTTAAGAATTAAGCTCTCATTGCTTTTCCACTCTAACCTAAACCAATTAACCGTTTTACTCCGATTTTTTTAATTGGGATAATTGGAAAGATTTGAGTAAAACAAATGTTGTAATAAAGCCCACAGTTTGGCGATGCATACAATAGCCAAAAGTATGAAATCTAGTATACAATATTTTTATTTGTTGCTATATATTGAGAAATGAATAAAATGCAATAGTTAATGTTCAATTGTGTCGACTTTCAAAATATACTTCATACCTGTGACGCTTGTGTGATACATTTGGCGTTGTCTTGCCAAATAAAGGTGAGGTTTCACCGGGCCAGACTGTTGCTTTTGTACTATACAATACAGAAACATAAACAGAGAAGGAGAGCGGCGCGGAAGGAGAGGCCTAAAAAATAATACGGGTATGTAGTCTGTTATTGTGGACCACGGGAACCGCAGTCTTTGCGACTTTGCTTGACCACCATCGATAACGTGAACGTGGAAAAGAAACAAGATGCTATTTTTAATTTTGATTTTCAATTTGAAATCGCAAACAAAATAATGAATTAAATACAGCCAACAGAAATTTTTGATATAAATCAAAATAATAGCCCCCTAGCTTAAAAAAATATTTCAATACTGAAAATTTTAAAAAAATTGATCGACTTGTTGAAAATAAATGCGATTTTAGCATAACAACAAGAAAAACAATGTCCAATAACTAGCTGGTTGTTTACCAAGCATTGTCAAACACGGACAGAGAAAGGAAAGACGTGATTATATTTAATGAAATTTCCGTCGCGGTCTATAAATCTATAGATGGAATTCTATCGGATTTATAAACTATTGCGTGTCGTTGTGTATCGACCAAATATTTGGACAAATCTAAATAAAAGGAATTAGTTGTTCGATATTATAGAATTTGTCTGAATGATAATTTGTTTCGCTTATGTAAGAAATTTATCAATCATCTTTTTGGCACTCCCATGTCCTTTCCCCACTTATCGTGTCCTTTCGTGCAAAATTTGTTTCAATAGATCTCATCTGAATGGAAAATATGACCCAGGTCCAATCAATGTGCGTATTAGTACTAGTGTGAATTAAATAATACAAACGAAGGTAAATGAATTTTATTTTCGACCAATGTGTTCAGGAAATATCGTTTCCTCAAGAGGGTTTAAAAGTTAGGCGACGTTCACTAAGGTAACGTGCCCTTGTGAAACTTTTTCCATTAAACGCTAAAGGTTTTCGATGTTATTTAAAGCTCATTAATTGAATAAAAACATTTTTTCAATCAAATCTTTATCATAGAAGCTTTGAGGGTTGTTTTCTCAACAATCAATTTGCAATAATGTAAACTAATTTATTCAAATTCATTTTTACTCGCTAGAAGTAAAAAACATACGAGAATGATATATTATGTTATATACGTAATTAACAAACCCATATTTGCGCATACATTTTTGGAGCTTATTCTACCGGATCTTGGTTTGTTTTTTTCTGTGCTATCAACACTTTTTTCTCTAAGGTAATAGTCTAGGTCAGTGGTTCCCAAACATTTTTGACCATCGCCCCCCTAAAGTAGTTTATACAACTTCATCGCCCCCCTGTACTACAAAAAAATATAAAGTCAGAAACGAATATATTACAGATCAAATAAGAAGACAAATCATAGTTTATAGTGTTTTTTAATGAGATAGATGAGCTTGGTGTTCTTCAGCGAGTTTTTTATTATATCTAAAATTACCCCGTTTACTGATGGAAAGGTGATTTCGTTGTTTTAATAGCAATAGTAGCACGGCTGAAAACCCCCTTTTTACCATATAATAGGTCGGAAATGAAAGAATCCAGGGTCCTACCTCCCCAAAAACCGCCGTGTACTCTTGCCTTATAGCATTTCACTTCCTAAATTCACCCCATTTCACATTAAAATAATAAAACCAAAGTTAATTTTCCCAAACTTATAATAATGATTTTCGTACATCTCATTCATTCGTACTGCCTGATGACCTGCACCAAAAAACTTCGGAAAAATTCATCCCCGATTCCTCATCCTATCACGGCCTCCAGTCCATAATTAACCAGCCATTTATTTTTGGATTCATAGACTCGGATGTGGAAGAAGCCCTGACTGACTATCGGCTACGGCCCAGGGGTCGGCAAATTTTATGTCGCTCGCAGGACAAAATTCAGGGTTGCTAGTATTTTGCGGGTCGCATATATTTTTCGAAAGTTAAAAACGGAACAGCGCGCAAAAACTGCGACAACTCAACTCAGTCGTCTTATTAAAAAAATATTACAAGGACATTTAATGTGACACTGTCTTGTTGCTGCATCACGCTGGATAGCTTTACGACGCCAAGATTGAAACATTTTCTAAATGGGCATCACCAAACCCACTTCTTTGCTTGTTCTTTGTAATGTTCATTTTCGAAAATAACGGTTTGCACAAATACGTACTTTCAAACATCGAAGTGAATATTTCCGCATGATTTGTGTTGATAAATATTTTCTTTAAGAAGATACATTCTTACAAAAATTAAGCAGTGATCAATCTCTCGAATAGAATATGAATTTTATTTCCTTATTGCTTTGCAATATATTCGAATATTTACTGCGCTATTGAACCCCTACACTCAGCATCATCTGCGTGTTTCCATTTGTCTAATTATAATTAAATTGTAGGCTCGTTAAACGAGTGGCTGTTCACTAAATTGTTAGGATATAGTATAATTCAGTATGAACGTGTCTCACCATAAATTCTGTTACGTAAAAAAATGTAATTTACTCCTCGAGCGTAGATTATAAATAAAAAAAATTTCATGGTCAAAACCGCCGTTTGGATATTTCCCCGGGCATAGACTTCCTTGTTTACTTCGTGACATTGGCCAATCAGCAAGATGCAAAAAACGTAACAATGCCCCCTTTCGCATCCGCTCAGACACTCTCACTCAGACAGATTTTTAGGCGTGGTCGTGAACATTACCTCATTTTCGCGTTTTTGAATTATATTCGTTAGTTTTTAGTTGATTTTCGGAAATTTGAATGTAAATCAAATAAGTCAATGATTACTTTGTCTTTCTATAAGTTTCAGTTTAAATACAGCAATAAAAAATTAGTGTAGATATAGCTGTGATATAGACTAGGCTAAAATTCTTTATCGGTACTTTTAAAAAACAGATTGTTAAATGGTGTGTATTAGAATGATAGTTTGAAACAAATACCCCATTTTACAGGCAACAACTCGCGAAACCACTCTTAAAATAAGTACCGAAAATTTTAAAATGGTGAAGTTTGGGAAGAATTTTCCGCGGTCAAAGGTCCATTCAGTGAATCGTCCCGGGCCAGATTATTATATTCCGGTCGTATTTTGCCGACCACTGGGATACGCACACTACCTTGCCTTACTGCGAAGACGAGACCAGAAATCCTTTCGCGTGTGATAATCGCCCACGTGATTCAAGCCTGCGAATGCACACAGAGTACAGAATTAAGTGCGCCGAACATAAAACAGGTTTCGCAAAATCGCCCCCCTATCGCCCCCTTAGACTTTTTCGCCCCCCTCTGTATCGTTTTCGCTCACTGGGGGGCGATATCGCCCACTTTGGGAATCACTGGTCTAGGTCACAGGGATGGCGAACCACTGACCCGCGGGTCACAAAGTGACGCGTTTTATTCGTGACCCGCCAAGGCACGAATAAAATAAAATGTGATATCAGTAATAAAAATTGTTAATTTCCGGGCCGGTGTGGTAATTTTCAAAACCCCCAATCTTGAACGCATGTCTGCACCGCTGTGTACCGTTATTCAGCTATTGGCCCTGACATCGTTTATGACATAACAATGCAATTGGTCTGTTCATTTCTCGTAACGCCTTGTCTCCTTCGGAAGTGCATCTGCAGACTGTTTTAGGGGTTATACGAAAACTAGATGCTACTCTGAATTTTATTGTTTCTCGCCTACAATGCCGTTGGGAAAACAAAATCTTTCAGACTTGAAATAAAAACCTAGAAATCTGAAATAACAATGGAGCAGTGTAAAAGTGCTTTAATGTGGTTGAAAGCTGATCGAACAATATAACTAAATCAGAATGGGATTTCATCCAAACTCTTTGGAACCGTAAAATAATTTGCCGTATCATCCTAAACATTTTTGGTAATTCATATGCGTGTTTTCGTACTCTGATTTCATAAAATCGAGTGATATAAAAAGTAAAGTAAAGCCAAAACCACACCAACACCAGCTTATGAGATTTGTTTCAGAAGTTTCTGATACAGATACAGACTCGGATTAAATATCTGTGACCCACTCTCTTCTGTTCCACGATAAAAATATAATTTTTGACCCATTCATTGAAAAAGTTCGCCATCCCTGATCTAGGACTAGGTAATAGTAGTAGGTTACTTGAGATACAGAGAATGACAGGAAGTCAGGAAATATCCATTAACCTGATTCACGTAACTACTTGATTAAGATAACATGCGATTAGTCAAGTGCCTGACCAAAGAAAATTTAATAGCCGTAAATATTTTGCTGATTTATTGTGAATTACGAGTTTAGATATTCGAAGATTGTAATTAGCACATTGCCTGTTGTCAGTTTAAATGGCGTAAGCAACCTTTCCATAAGAATGGTGTTATATAATAGATAGATATGGTTCGCAGCTGTACCGTATCGGAACGCTAATGAACGTGTTAGTATATGAACCTGCGTTTATTTATCGATTGACTTTGATTTTTGTCTGCAACATATATTGAAACCAAAATACAGGACAAAATTGTGACAACTATCAGGTCACAATACTTGGATTAGTATTCAATTGTAATTTATGTTTTGGTTTGCCAATGGTTGTGAAAGATTGTTTTATATTTTGTATTCATTTCACAGGTATTACATTTAATATATGCATGTTTTCATTGCAGTTTATATGACTAAACCTCATAAAGACTGAAACAGAAATTTGCAGTATTTCGTCGTCCAAAAAATAAAAATGAAATATACATTTTTTGCAGTAATTTTGTTGTTCAATATTACCAATAGTTCCGCTCAAGGTAATTTGTTCATTCCGATTAGTAACTATTGTTTTTATTTCGTTCAAACACTTAGATGTTGTACACTGTACAGGATTTTGCTCCCCAATATAAACACAAATGAATCGTCGTGAACGATTAATTACAAATTGATCATTTACATTAAATGCGGTCATTTCTTTCAAGTAATCCCTATTAATCTCGGAAACATTTATGAAATTTCCAATTCAAGATATGTAGCAATTTAACCACACGTTCAATCTAGTTTTTGCACCGCTATGCTAAATTTTAGCCGATGGAATTTTACAATAAATATGTAAAACTATTTTGATAGCTGTTTATATTGAATGATAAGCTGTTTTGAATTTGCAGACCCTTGGAAGAAAAAATGCGTGGATGGGTTTGAACTGCTTTTCTTTAAAGAACGTAAACATTACGAAGCGGCAAAAAAATCATGTGAAGAATTGGAAGGTTACTTGGCTAAAGTTGATAATGAAAGAATAACTGCAGCTATTAAATCATTAATCGAGTGAGTTAAAAAGAAAATATAAATTTTGTGAATTTATATAAAGTTTATCTTCTGTCATTAGTAAAATCAAAAACTTAATCAAACCACCCATGTTTTCAAATTCTTGTGTTTGCGTATAGTATATGCTGTAGATATAACTCATGACTCGTCAACCTCGCATATTAAAGTGAAAGTATTTTTTTGAATTTTAATTTACATGCACATATATATTTGATAACTATTTGTGTTTATATCAGTTTTCTTTTTTTAACAACAATTTCCAGCTTTAATCGGTTGGCACTCAGCCGTCATCTGTTTCAAAAGTGTTTTCTGTTTTTTTTTATTGATATATTCCTCTATTACAATTTGGCATTTATTTTGTCAAAACTTAAGATTTATATATTTTTAGCATAAGTGAGACAGAAATGGGGTTTTTTATCGGTGGAACCGACAGAGCTAATGTAGAAGATTGGAAATGGCAGGATGGTACGGATGTAAATATGAGAGGAGAAACGGGATATCAAAACTGGTTTGTTAATCGGTTTAATTTATCTTGCAGTTATAAAAAACTGAAAACAGCGTTTTTATTTCTTATGAGATCCTTTACTTTAACGCAATATCAGTGTTGAAGAAGCTCGAGTCATGGATCCGACTTGAATCCAAGTCACGATTGATCAAAGACTGAAATGATACGACTATTCTAAATGCAAAATCTCGAACTCAACTAACCACGAATTAGACATACTTTAGAGATTGACTCGAATTCATGCTTGGACTGATTGGCTTGGTGACTCGTGACTCACCGGACTTTTCCTAAACACTGGAGTAACTTAACTGGGATTGACAGTTTTCGTTACGGTACCAAAAAGCAATGACAAACCTATGACTACCAAATATGAAGTAATGTTGTATGGCTATATCACTAAAAGTAATCGATTAAACAAAATTCTTTCTTTGACCATTAAAAATTATTGGCTTGGTGACTCGTGACTCACCGGACTTTTCCTAAACACTGGAGTAACTTAACTGGGATTGACAGTTTTTGTTACGGTACCAAAAAGCAATGACAAACCTATGACTACCAAATATGAAGTAATGTTGTATGGCTATATCACTAAAAGTAATCGATTAAACAAAATTCTTTCTTTGACCATTAAAAATTATTATTAACATAGACCTACTGTCTAAATTCTAGGTAATACCTTTTCTTTGAATTTCAATTTCATTTATGAAATATGAGTCTCTTTCTAAAATGAAACTCAATTTCTCGGTTAATAATTAAGGTTTCAATTTTTATTTAGTTTTATCAATAATATCATATGTATAAAGATTACTTCGAGAATTTAGATAATTGAGTTTACTGTTTTATCTGATTTAATTTGTTGAATGTTTTGTTTGTATAATAAGAATATATCCAATTTCATGTGAAATATGATCAGAAATTCAGATAACCTTCAGATCCTAAGGTGAAACTTTGCAGTCTATGTTTATTACCTCGATAAGGTCGTAGTTATATGCAATTAAAAGATAGTATGCCAACCTAGAAATTATTTAAGCTTCATATAATCAGTGAATTTTCATAGACTAGAACATAGCTGCGCAGAAATTAATCGAGATATTGTTTAAACTAGTTTAAAACTGGCATTATTTTTATATTTGATTATGCAATGAACTAAATATTAAACCAAGACAATTAATTGTAATTCATGTGAGTTTTTAGGGAGTTAAATCAACCAAGCAGCGTGATTTATAAAAACGACTGTGTGATAGTTGGCGGAAAAACGTATCAGTGGACTTCGACAACTTGTGGTCGATACTATTTTTACATTTGCCAAAAAAGTAAATATGAATTCTTTTATTTGTTTAATTACTCAATGAAAATATGCATTTATTGGCAATAATTTGAACATCGAATCGTATAATTCGTTCTCATAATCCTTTTGTTTTATGTGAAACTAACATTCCTCGTAAAGGTAATTTAATATAATATTATGCGAATGTTTTCACGATGAAAGCTTACTCAAAAAAAGGTCCAAAACCTATAATTGAATTCAGGCGTATTAAAACGACGTAGATGGGGTAGATGCATTTATACAAAAAATCGTATAACTGAGATAAAAAAAATTGAAACCAATACGTAGGTAATGAGAAAAACATATTTCAAAGTCACTCTTATAAATATTATTCACTGAAGTAAGTGTTTATTTATTGCATGACAAATGCACTCATCATGTTGAAGTGTGTTTTCAAATTAGGCCCATTCATAGCTTTATATTTTTATTTGTTCAAATGAGCGCTTATTAAAGGAAAATCGTCAATTTCTTTGTTTAACAAAAATACTTGTTACCCATGTTTCATCATTCTAAAAACATTGAAAAATACAGCTGACCAAATGGAACTGTTATATGATGTTCTCACAAGAACCCGATTTTTTGGAAATCCCATTTTCACGAAAAAAAAAAAAATATTATTTTTCTACAATATTATTTAGAATCCAATAACAAAACTCTCGGTACACAGAGTTATTCGTTAGCAATCGATTGTTTTATAAATATACAGCATTTTGCTTACATTCATAAAATCATCTATGAAATCTAAAATCATCATCTTTCATGAACGTTTTTGTGGCATTCATGGATATCAAATTTTAAACAGAATTTCAAGGTTCTGAAGTTGAAATACAAACCAATGTGAACCAGAAAAAGTGTTCTTTGACTGACTGCAGCACTGCAACACAAGTTGAATGGTATAAAGCATCTAACAAAGTATCAATGGCAACAACAAGTACAGTCTATCAAACTATACAAAATGGATTAGCAACATTGAATTTTCAAAATGCAAATATTTCCGATGCGGGATCATATAGTTGTCGTTTTCTTATTGGTCAAACGTGGAAAATTGAAACAGATACATTGGAAGGTACGATGAATTAAACTAAAACAAAATAGCAGTGATCTAGTATATGAACACACCGGCATAATGACTAACCGCAGCACCGTATCCTATGTGACTGACACTGACATCCGTTATACCCTCGTCATTAAGATGCTTCATTCAAAATTGAAAATCACACGCCTGCCAAGGCTGGGCAGTGAATATGGCTTTGTTGAAAAAGATGGCGTACTTGTCTGACAAAATGCCATATAGTGGCGCAATATTGGTAAAATTAATTTTGGCTGAAATATCGAACCAACTAGGACTCTGTTTGAATTTGAGAAAAATAAAAAAAATAGTTTTGTAGCAGATATATCTTCCTTGAGTACAGAAAAATAAAAATAGATCGGTTTCTTAGTTACGAAGAAAGTGTTTGATTCAATAACAATCACTCTAAATACATCAAGAATATAGCAAAACGATCCATGGTTAGGCTATTCTTCGTGTCCACTAACGATATCATTCTATATTCTCTGTTCTTAAATTATTTGTTATGTACATTTCAGTGCCTGGAAAACCCACAATCCATCAAATATTGAATAACGTCTGCAACTCTAACTTAAACATTTTATGGCAACCACATAAAAATGCAGTTGCATTTCCTCACACGTGAGTTTATATATATGATTAATTTCTGACAATTTTCAAAAATATTTATATTTCAAGACTGAACAAGTCATCTATACTTAATAAGCTACATGTCGTCGATTTTGTTACACCTATGTTTGAGTTTGCTACAAACAATACTTGTTATTTCAATGCTAATTATACGAGAATCCATACATTACTATAATAATTTCATCCAAGAGACAGTGGGCATTAGTTAAGAACATATATAATGAAGAACATCATATTACCAATTCTTCTATTAATTGAACACGAAGTGGAACTTTGAATTATTTTGCAAAATATTTGTTAGACAAAAAGTAGGCCTATTGATCGATTTGTTATTACTATTATTGTTCTTCTTTATCTTGTTGTTGTTGTGATAAACAAACGCTTTTCTATTTAACCTCTAAACCAATTGTTTTGAACTGTTTGGTGTGTAAAGAATATTGTTGTCGATAGAAGTTTGTATCTTTTATATATTTCAAAAATTTCTGTGGGCTCTATGGAATTTGTTTGTCACTTTATTGTGCTGAAGTCATCAGAATCACAAATTGCTCATAGTATGTCGGTTTCGTATGCGCGTTCGCAATCGTAGTATTTGGTGATCCGTGGAAGTCAGGACGAACACGGTACAACTTCGTTTTGAATTTTGTGTCCATATGTTTAAGCATTGTTCTATTACTTTTTTATCGTTATGATTGTAATTGACGTAATTTATACTCTTTGTAACAAATAGAACAAGTGAATTTATATGTTACGCTTATTTGATCCAAAATCTTGTATTTTCATTTTAATTAATTTGTTTTAAGTATCCGCTTGTCCGCCGTCTTCACGCCATTATTAGTCAAACCTTATCATACCGATACCGACGTGCAATCTTCGTCCCGATATAATTGAGCACGGCTCTCATGTTTCATTTCAAATCACTACTGTTTTAAAGAATTAAAGTGAGTCCATCCAAAAATGGATCAACAATATGGGTGGATTCACCGAAAGATGGGAAGCAATTATTCACACTAACCGGTTTGTCTCCTACCACAACCTATCAAATCAAAGTAAGCAAAAATGGTCCAATCTAAAATGTTCTCATTTTTCTGTTTTGAAATTGGAATCTAATTTTTTCAGGTAACCATGAAACAAACGCTCTTCATTGTATGTTCTTATTGTATCAGAAGGTAGAAGATATATTCATCAAAAATAATTTTCTTAGCATCACACAATCGGGCAAAGCCAACTTCATATATATGTTGATTTAGTTCAATTCTGACATAATTCTTTTTTTGCCAGATTACCGCGTGTGTAACAAAAAAAAATTGCTCATCGAAATATTCTATCATTCGAAGCGCAACAACAGAGGGAGCATCTTTAACAATTAAAACGTCGTCTATTACACAGTACAAGAAAAATCAAACTTGTGTTATTGTCTGGTCATTTCCAAACAATGTGACAATTGGTAAATCGGAAGCTATGGTTAGTATATATCACATATTTACTCAAATTAAGAAAAATATATTGTGTATATTTAAAATGAGAGGGAAGTATTTCTACATTTTCATATTGGCAATATCTTTCATACTTCAGACTAAAACGATTCAATATTCAAAAATACGTAGCTATATAGCGAGAAATCAGAACGTTGTCATATTAAAGCTAAATGTTTGTAGGTAGTCTACAAAATTTTAAGACTTTATATACTTAACAAAAGTTAAACAAATTGATAGCAGCTTATATGTAAATTATCAGAGGTATGTTATATTATATTTTGTAAGAGTGTATTTCTATTTGTCACAGGAGATCAGCCTAATATCGGAATTAGCAACATTTCGAGGTTCAAGCAACCAACCAAACAAAAGACTGTTCAATGTAACATCGTCGTTGTTGTATTCATTTGAACCCGAACCAAATCACATTTATTCTGCTTCGTTAAAAATATTTTATTGTACTGGAGCGAGTCAACCTCACACTGCAAACGGGTCTTGCATTGGAAATTCGGGAGGTGGAAATATTAACATTTGCAATGCAGTATACAATATTACCTAATGAGATTTCAAACTTAAATATTATTATGCTCCCAAAACAAAAACGGGTCTACGACAAAAGCATTTTCAGCACTAGAGTGGTCAGCACTGTCATTTTGTGTCTTTGTGCAATTTTTATTTACGATATTTTCCTTCATCTCCCACATTTGAGAATAAAATATAATTCAGAAATATATTAATTTAACAGCACCTGCAACAGTTTCTCCACTTCGATTGATCGGAAATGACGTTAATAAAGATGGAACGAAAGAAATGTTTTTACCGCGACCAGATGAAACTAACGGACTTGTAAGGTGCAGCCAACGTAGATAGCATAAAAAAGATTTTTAAATAAAATTTATATGATAAGGTGTCCAATGTTCTTATCCAGTGATTTCCAACGTTTTATGGCATCCTTCTGGAGGCAACCGCTCTATGGCTCTATTTTGAGGCCACTGGGTCCCGCTCTTCTTGGCTATCAAATCGCCAGTAACATCACTAAATATTGGATTGTTCTTGTCAAAGTTTTTTTTTAATGCGAAATTAAATTACGAACAGTTGCATGTTAGTGCTCGTTGTAAAAAATCGATCGGTAGTTGATGATCAAGTTTCATTGAGCGATTTGAAAAAAGGAAACGAATCTTCAGAATGCGGAGGATATATTGCAATGGCCATACCAGTCTCAAGGTTGGTAATGAAATGCTTGTTTCACTTTTTTACTTTGTTTGTGTTGTTTTATTTTAACTTCAAAGAGGCTTTAGACAAGAGCTCACGTATAAGTCCTTTATTTTCCAATTTAGAACGAAACATGTGGCTAATCCGTGGGATCCATTTTGTTCAATTAGCAATATTTTGAGGCGAATGAGTTAGCCTTATTATTTGCATCAATTAATTCCAAATCATCACAATTACTGCATTAAATACACAATTCGCTTTTAGACCGGTAAACATGTTTACTGTACTATGGTTATTGAATCATCAGGTACCGTTTGCAGCTTCGACTTTATAACAGCTGCTAAATTGTAAAAAATATACGTATAAGTTTGAATATATACTGAAAATACCTATCCACAAAACCCTTTGTGATTTGTTGGTCGTTTTTTGTTTAGGCAAACATAGGCTAAGTATGATATAACTCCATTGAATCTCATAGCATGAACAAGAAAGGATTGCAAATCATACTAGGAGATAAATCTACGTCATCCTGTGACGTATATGATACTGGTAAAAAAAGCTCAGTGAAGAGGAGAAAACGATCCACACATGGCGGATATATTTTTGTGGGACAAAACAAACAATTATACAAAGAAGATTATAAGTATTTATATATGTTTGTGGAACTTTGCTTAGACCAAGGTCGTGTCAATAAGGTGTAAACAGGTTTTTAAAATCTTAACTAAATGTAAAAGGATTATTGATAGAAGTCACAAATGTCCACTTACGCGCGAAGAGCTTTATATATTAGCGAAAATATTAAAATATATCGGTTGAAATAACGCAAGTTATCTCTGCCAATAAAGCTTGGGACAAGGAAAACTTTATATTTCTTGTCAGGACGTTATCGGAAATAAACAGTTAGCACAGAATTTTTGTTGACAAGACGGGATCCTGTATATCGACAAAAAATTTCTCACCAGCTAGAAATTGGCAATTCCGTATTAATTTCTCATGGTTAATTAAAAAGATTTTATATGGATTAAATATAGGAATCTCCAATAATATAGAACGTCAAGTATCCGAAAAATACAATTAAAATTTAATATATGATTGTCAAAACAGACTAGATATATATATACATCTTTTATTTATATTATGTTGGGAAAAAGCGAATAATGTCAAAATTTTGAAACCAATGTTCCTGCAAATGTTTACAGATAAAATAAATGTAATTTCATGATATTTTATACCTTGATTAAATGTGACTTACAACGAAATTTCCAAAAAATACCCTCCTAGTACTCATAGTAAAGTATCATCAAGTTTATCGTTTCGAATAAAGATGTCAATTTTTTCACAGAGCTTATGTTGTGACTTCAACACCATCTGTTAATCAAATATACTATAAACGGAGCCCAGAAATTACATTAAAATGGGCAAAAGAAGTAGAGAAAGATGCAAACGCGGCAGGTAAATATATATTTGAAGACAATGATAAAATTCAAAATAGCTAATATTATTTAGGTAATTACTTGTTGTTTAGTATATATATTCTTTAATTACACATTATTGTTTACTTTGCCTGCTCTTGTCATAGCTGGTCTGAAATAATAAATAAAAGTGTTAATTCAGAAAAAGTTGTTGTTTAAAGTTTAACTTTTTTTTTACTAAATTACAATTTACAACGAGTCGTTGATGCCAGATCTAAATGATATAGGATTGCAAGTTGGACAAGTTATTTTATTTCTCATGCAGCATATACTAGACTGCTTAAGATACTCTGCGACAAAACCCTTAGTTTATTTCTAACTTTTGATCAAAAAACCTATAAAAAGCATACACATATATTTATATTTAATATAGATATAATATTATGTTTTAAATATGTCATTGAAATAACGATTTCGTCCCCAAATTGACCTAAAGCAGTATTGGATTATTCAGAATTTAATTCAAGAGTAAGAAAAATTATACATTTTTGTCCTTAAAACTGTATAATATTCAAATCAAAACCTCATTTATGAACCTATTGAAGTGACGGGAAACTTCAACCCCGTTTTGGACGCTACGCTGCAGATCATTGTGAACTTATGGACAAAAAATAATGACAATTGCTTATGGATTCATAGTTTATTTAATATTTGAAAACCTAATTTTGCCAATGTCATCATTATCATAAAGTCAACACCATCTTTTTTGCTTATAAACCTGAAATTCGTTAATGATATTCAAAACGTTTGCAATACTTAATTTATGAAGTGAAATTATAATTTTAGAAAAAAAATTGTTCGAATTCAACATCGTCAGTTTTCTGATTGGCTTTCTTATTCCTACGATCTTCCTGGTAATATGTCTCGTGATCATATGCAGAATGAACAAAACAATAAAAACTGCAGAAGCAAAGGAGCATAATTACGAAACTATTCAAGAAAGAGGTACTAAGAATCCTTACTATATAATTGAAATGATTATTATTGTCAACCAAGTTACTACAATCGTATGCAAAATCATAGAACCGTAAGCTTTTTTTTTATTTTTCCATTCAGTTGTAGTAATTAAATACCGGAGTTCACTATCAAAATTGTTAACTTCCAAAATATTGATTAGATTCAACCGTAGAATTTAAATATCACAAGAAAAAACATTTTAACGTTTAAATATTAGTAGACTAAAATAGAGAAATTAGAAAAGTCATGAGATTTCACTTTCAATCACTAGATTTTGTAATAGCTTGGTATTGTATTTTATGCATGAATAAGCTATTTTGCATAAACATGATTCATGAGCATGGAATAAATTAGAATATTAGGAAATGGGAAACACTCATCTTTTTCACTCATTCCATATCACAAGTTTTATTAGGCTGATTTTCCACCAATACCACGATTTTAAATCTACACCATATAACTTCTAAAGTTATTAATTAAGCTTTTTTAAATAATCAGCGAATCCAACTGCCTCCAACAACTCAGCTTTTCGACCACAATATTCGAATGAGCTGCAGGAAGCTGATGGGTACTTACAACCTTTACCCAAAGCAATAACTCAAACACAAGTGGAATCAGCGTACGAAACTTACAACGTCTAATAAACTTGCATCTGTGCTGTAATCATATGTATATCACCAAATAATAGAAGGTTCGAAACGTTTCATGTTTATTAAACGTTCAACAAACTTCAATATATCACCTGTTATGGTATTGTCAGTTCAATCTATCTGCGTCAATCAGCTCTTACCCAGTAAAACTTTATCACCCAACTTATAATGATCTCAGAAGACTATGTCTAAGTTTTAATAATTTCAACGTTATTTCTTGATACTTTAAAGCGATTTCTGCAGAGTTTCAAATTTCTAGGCAGTTGGGTATATGGTTGTCGATACTAACTTATGCGTGATGATTAAACTTTTATGCCTTCTTTTTAAATCCAAAAATATAGTTCCATTTTATGATCTTTTCCATCTAAATTCTATCTTCTTCTTTATTTCTTTAGTCCTAAATAAGTTTGAGGAGTTTTATTGTGAATTATGCTATTATAATGGTTTTGTAAACAAAGGATAATGGAATTTAATATGTGATCTTGTTGGCTCCAAGCTCAGAGAGCGAAACATATAAAAATTCATTCAAGAAAAAACGGAAAATAAATATTTTTTATTTTTGAACATCTCCAACTTTTTATTTAAATACTTGGTTAACATGGCTTAAATTTTTGATTGGAAAACAAGCAATAAACGGCTTTACCTTTATAATTTTCCAAAATTAATTTTTCTTGAAACTCTCCCTTTGTCATAACTTGAGATTGCAGGTATTTATTTAATTGTAATTTCAAACATATTATTAGAAATATACACATACATATATACATGTTTATACACATATTATATATATATTCTTGTCTCGAGTCGTTTTCGGAGCAAAAATGTGGAATAGTAAATTCCTACTTATCATTGCCACTGCCTTGTACAGAGCAAGAGTTTGAACATATCCGTACATATTAGTGACTTCTATAACGCTCTACATAAAATAGATCTTTTTATTTGTCTTTTCATTGAGCACAAAAATACTATAAATATAAAGGAAATTGAGTTGATTACAAGTGCAGCATTGATTGTGATATCGCTAAAAATAAATCGATTAACTGGTTAAATGCATGGGCCAGTCAAAACATTGTTGAAGTAGATTTTAAAAAGTATGAAGCAAGAATTTTGAACTAGTAATTTTTAAATGTATGATACTAATTTAGTTATAGCTGCCAATACAGTGTGTTTAATTTTGTAATTTATCAAATATGATAATACAATATTTTATTTGGTGTTTCTCATGTGTCTCACTTGCCCCACATCTGTTTCATTTGTTCCAAATGTTCCCACACTTTCCGTATCTTGCTTAGTTGTCTGAAATATACAAATCTCACTTTGTATGAATACTCCAAACATCTGTCAGAGTAATATTTACCACTTCATCGGCTTACTTTTGAAATTTTTCCACAATATATATATATCCAGAACAGTAGAAAAGGTTAGAAAAAACATCGGCAAAGTGAGACAACTACCTGATCCGGTAATACATAATTGACTCATATCACGAGATATTTTAATTGATGTTTCAATATAATCAAGAAAAATAGATCATTGTCACAGGACCTAAAAAATCTATGACAGTCCCAGTACCGTCACGGTACCCCGATACAAGTACTGGTAAGTCACCGCATATGGTTTTTGGAGAATTGTTTTGCGTGTCAATATATATTTGAGCTCTGCTCTCTTGTTAAAGAAGACTAATACTTTCAATTACTTTATCAGCCTATTATCATCTTTCCGCAAATTATTCCGAAAAGCGAATACCAACATACAAGTACTTTACATCCCACAATAAAATTCAATTTCATTCAACATTTGAATTGCAAGTTACATACCACGATTTACAGCAAAATGCGCCTCTTATAAACAGTTACCTTACTTTATTTGCTTGCAGTGGGTAACAATTGATTTCTAATTCTATATTCGAAATCTAGCTACACAACGCAACATATTCAGCATACTGCATTAGCTGATATTTTTACCCAGATAGCAAAATTAAATTAGCGCTTTCAGATGAAATGTGCTGTGTAAGATTTATATATACGTTATTCTATCCGTCCTTGGAAGAAAAAGCCTGCCGAATTTATACTTATATTACAACAATATTTTCATATAAACTTGCAGTGTATTGATGCTACTTTCAGACAGCGTCATTGTCTCGAAGACATTATCATCATTACAATATTTGTCAGCTATTGTGAGATTGATTGGTTACACAGAGAATTATATACTCGGAAATTAAATACAGGAAGTGAAATATTTTGTTGTTTCGATTCTTATCATTGGACGAAATGTGTATGTATGAATCGTGTTTATTTATATCAGGGGTGGCATGCCTGCTTTCGACCGCGATCGACTAAAATCTTTATAAAGTAGCTCGCGACCGACTAATAGGTAGTAATGCCATACAAAAAACGAATGAGTGCTGATTATATAGAGAACTTCACTCACACATACAAAAAATTCCAGCGCGGTCAATAAGCTCGGCTCTGTGTGCGCATTCTTAATTAATGGAATCGTTTGTTACGTAATGATATGCTTCATGTGGCTTGCCCAAATTCAAATACTATATGTGCATATAGTCTAGAATACTGTATTCTTCCCGTTTAAAAACACAAAACAGCCGCTGCATGAAACTGGTTCAAGTCAATTTTCAGGGGTATGTTATTAAATTCATTCAACATCTGGCGCGTTTGACTACTCGAGACGTGGGGATCAACCGCAAGAACCCGGTTCATTTTGTAATATTTTTACGAATATTGCACCATCAAGTTCATCATACACGGCCATTACGTCAAACCAGTCCGGCATCCTTTTGATAACATTTGGTGCTCACTGCTCAGTTAATGTCTTACCAACAACAATGTGAAATGCTTCCACAGTGGACTGGATTTGGTATTTTAATTTGAAGCTTTTGAGACAAATTCCAGTCATCATTGCATAGGTCACTGGTATTTCGGTCAGTCAATATAATTTTGTGTCCGGGGGCCTGCTCTTGTGTGTTTATACGACTGTTCGATAACCATACGACAATTTTGAAAAATATACTAAATAGCATCTATTTCGGCTAATGTGATACAATTTGTATACAAACATGGCTACCTGCGAGTTTTACATTTACACAAAAGTCTGCGTGATGCCCAAAATGGTGAGGTGGCCGTATCAAACCAAGCAATTTTAACTGCTACACCAAGTTACTACTGCTAGTCTTTAAACTATTCAAATGTGCTGTTCGATTATTGGGATAAATTAGTTTAGTAGGTCAGCAAACAAACTAATTTTCATTTTAGAGAACCATAATCGTTTCTCCCATTCTCTACCTAAAATAATCAGCATTTCCTCGATGTATAAACAAAAATATCACAAAGTTAACACAAGCAAGTTATTCCCAGCGTTGCTCAAAATATATTTCAAAACATTTTCAGAGTTACAACTTTCATACTATTTTATTGCTTTTCTGTATATTGCTTTGTATATATTCACAGCAAATGATTAGACAAGAGTCTGATCTAGAAAGAATTCAATATTCAGTCACTTGCGAACAATTTCAAATCAAAAACACGGGATCTTTCATTTAAATTATATATGATTTTAATGATAAGTCGCATATCTTCAAGGTGTTAGCACATGACTTCCATATATTTTATTTTGAAAGTGACATATATATGTGGATGGACCTTTCCCCGAACATTCACTTCCTTGTTTACTTCGTGACATTGGCCAATAAGCAAGATGCAAAAGTGACCTAACAATGCTCCCTTTTTGCATCCGCTCAGACACTCCTTTAGTTCCTCCTTTAGTAATCCAAGGTTTGGAGTAGAATTTATTTTCTCTACACGCAAAAACTCGTCTTTCGCCCCAATGGAGCTTTTGATTGATCAAACACTTGAAGTGGCTAAGAAAAGATCGAACGAGCTATTGAAGTTTTCTTCACGTAATAAAATACTAGTACAAATGTTACACATTGACTCAACCTAGTCAGCACAAATATTTTGCGCATTACGGGAAAGTGGTCGGTGAGAATGAGATCACTGAGCAGAATAAATGACGATGTGCAGAAATTTGCGCACAGCAACGTAGCCTACGATCTTTAAACTTTAGATGATACAGTGCAAAATCAAAAGATTACCGGTAACTTTTTCAAGCTATTTATAATGTTTTAAAAGTCAACCCACACTCAAGCCTAGTTCCTAACGAAACTGCAATCCTAATCCGCACTGAGTAGCCTGCCAGCCGTTCGACTTTCTGGCGTGGTAGTACGCCGCGTTTGGATGGAGTCGAAACATTCAAATTTAGAATCCGAATCCGTCCGGCACAAGACTTATAAAATTCAGCAGCATTGAACAAATACTGTATTGTAACTTAAAAGTATGCGAAAAATGTGTAGACTTTTGTCAGCCATATAAATGATATTAACTTAATTTGAATCTTATCCGGCGCATCTCAAAACCACTAAATTTACCAGCCGTGGACTACAGATTTTGAATAGATCCGCGCGTTTTAGTATAACTGTTATCAGTTTGAACGCGAGTGTATATGAGGCTAAAAAGTAAATTATCCTCCTGTTAATATTCGAAGCGGCATTAAAACTTTTCATCATAAGCTATATATGCCATGCTGCAAGACTCGCTGCGACGACATACAAGGCCGAAAGTGTACATGGCTCTGTATTTGCGGTGTTGGTATAGATGTGGTCTATGGGTGAATGCTGGAATATTATTTTTGGGGTGTTTATATATTCCAGCACCTACAAGATTGGTTGAAAATACTTTAAGTCAATCCACATGTCTTCACAGTTTTTCGAAGGCCGAATTCAGTGCATGCATGATAATTTAAATAGTTTTTAATATAAAAACACCACCCGCTCAAGTTGAGGATGGATCATGTACGAAGGTGTACCCAGGAATGGTTTGAACATTTGACTGATTTATCTTGGTACTACTTACTTTTGGTGTGTTTACGTATGGTTCACTGCATCGCGATTATTGGCTGATTACTTCTTGTTATGGTTAACTGTCTAGAGCTTTAGTCTGTCTTTAGATCTGTTCTCATAAGCTTGTTAATGGTGCTATAATCATTGGGTATGAATAATCTATTTCTTAAGTTTCTTACATTGGGATAATCTGTTCTGACAAAGCCTCATTTAAATGTAAGTGAATTGGTATATTCTTGCTTTGTATTGTGCCTGGTTGCCTGTACTCATTTTAATATTCATCTTTATTGTTTGTCAGGTCACTTTGTCTTACTGATATCTGGGTTAAATCACTTTGGGAGAAATCTATTCGTTTCATTTCGGGATATTAGTTAAAGAGACATAGTAGGCAAGGGTGATTTGTCAATGGGCAGAAATTCAAACTAAGGAATATTAACATTCACAACAGTGTCACTTTTGATTCTGGTCTCACTTAGGGCGATAATTTGAAGCCGAATACAAAAATTGAAAATCAGTTCAACTGAATTATCAGAATATTTGGCTAAAATATTAAGGTGCAATATGAGGAACTTGGATGGTAGAAAACTTGAAGTTACCCTGTTGATACCAGATATTTCAAGATATCGACTTGCAATGGAGAAAATTTCAGAATGAAGGTGTATTGATTCCCAGTTTAGGTTAGGATCACTAGTTAGAAGATGCCAAAGTATATTACAAAGACCAGCATCGGATGCAGATTCCCAGGTCTCAAAATAGCAGGGTATGCAAAAACTTTTTTAATTTGAAACTGAAAAGAGCTAGCAAACTAGAGATACATGAAACTAAATCAGATAGTGTCCACATAGTTAAAGTAGGTATAATTTTTCAATATTCACTGATGGATGGCATAAAATTTATTATGAATCAAGAAAATCTGAATTTCTGCAAACTGAACCGATTTTAATCTTAAAAGTTTCATTCATACCACACTGATATACGAGTTTATGTTATATAACTTGTGACAGAAACATCATTCCTGAACATCAGAATAGTCAAGACCCCTTTTAAAGTCTTCTCAAGTAGCCAGTCACCCGCAATATTGTCATATAGTTCACTTTAAATAATGTGAGATAACATATCTTTCTCAATATTTGGCAATTTTTAGGATAACATCTCTTGGAGTGTTTTATTCTAGAAAAATTTATTTTTAATTAGTTGGCAACTGAGCAATTAGGAATAAAGTATCAGAATAGCCCATTGTCTGAATGTAATATCTCGTTAAGCTGTATTTAATCTGTTGAGGGGAAGACCAACTATGGCATAAAAATATACCTTGCAATCTACAGACCTATCGTTTGCAACCTGAGTTTTATAGTCTTTTTGAAGGAGGGGGGGGGGGGGGTAATTATATATCAGTAGGCTTAGGACCGGTACAGTGGTACGGAAATGAGTACTCATGGTTATTCAGTATCAGTAGTTAGTGTTACTAACGCGGTCAGGTTATTATAGGTCAGGAAGTTTCATGGGTGTCG